ATATAAACAAATAAAGTTTATTATAGTCAAGAACCTATTAACATTTTTTGCCAACATGCACTTTATATAATAATGCCATAGAATGTACCACGTGAAACAATAGATATTTGTAATTACATTATGAACAAGATACTCGTGATAACAGGTGCTAAATAAACAGTTATTATCATAATATGTATATATTTTATCAAACAACAATAATATTTGTATCAATATGTTTAATTTATGATGGAAACCTAAGTATTTTAGCATGAAAAATAAATATTTTGTGGACTTAGCCCTGGCTAAATATATTCAATGTGGGTTGTGACCCCGTGTATGCAATGTCTATATTTTACTGTTATAATAGCAGTATATTGATACAAATATATATATTTTTTTAAAACCTTTATAATAATTCATAATTCGGACTCTTTATTCAGATAACCGATATCATTTTTTTTTTAATGACTTGTAATAAAGATGATCTGTTAACATTAGACGACTTTAAATGCAGATGATTATTAAATGGATATACATCCATGTTTAAGGGTTTATTCAAAAACTCCATAATAGTCTTCTCATTATATAATGTAAAAATTATAAATTACATTATTTAATTTATTTTCTAGAATTTTTCTGACTTTGAAATTTTTTAATATAAAATTTAACCACACAATTAATTTATAATATTTATACAATATTGATATTGTTGACAAATATTTTTGTCGATTGGACATTTCTCAGGGAAAATTGTATATATTTGAAATGAACTCATATGTATTCACTTTAAAAATACATTTTCTGTACTAAGAAAAACGACTTATTACTTGTATTGTTAAATATTGTTTTTTTTCTTCGATATTTCATTTTCAATTTGAAACATCTATAGGGATAATATAACAAAGAAAATATCTGTCGGTATTACTCTAACGATTTTTATTTTACAACAGATGTTACTATATAAATAAAACTATAATTTACTAGTTAGGATGATTTATAAATTGTATATTGCTTTCATGGCATTTATTTAAACAAAAAAAAAACAAATATTAAAAATATTATTGTAAAAATGTCAATGAAAAAATAATTGCATTTTACATTACATAAAATTCTATGCATTGATAAATCATTCGTTTCTATAAACACGTGCTAAATTGAATTACTTTTGGAGTATATTTTTCATTTGAAATGTAATCCATTACGTATTTCTAAATAAACATAGCAATTAGAAGGGTCAGTATAAAATATTTTGTGTGGAATGTTAGTTAGGTATCATTCGGATCGATTGAAGATATTCAGGTTTAATTTTGTGTTAGGTTAAGTATTTTTCTTTGCATTACTCTATGCTGGATTAAATGTCTGTTTATGATTTTCCTTGTATTTAAACGATAAAAATCATGATTTGTGTACAGAAGTCAACATATTATAGCATACGTATCTACATATTAAGTAAAAAATTAACCAAAAGATATTTTAATTTAATGTTAATAGTGTTATTATTGTTTAAAATGCCAGACATATTTCATGTCTTTGCTCCATTGATAAGCCACTATTATTCGCACAAAAATTGGAAATTACTGATTATAGAATATTTAAGTTTCAAAACATTATATAGAAACCGATGATTCTTAATTATTTAAAAATAAATTCTGAATGGATTTCCGTAAACTGGTAAGATTACAACATTACTTGTAGTTTAATCCCTTATAGTCGATATAATTCAGAAATAAAACACATAAGTTGTCTTTTGTTGTTATATAATTAATTTAGACAAACATGTTGGAAATTCTGAATTATTATATAAAATATAAAGTAGGTATCATCGAGTGGAACATCTATGTTTTATTTTTAAAACAATGTTTAAATAATCAGACCATTTTTATTAATCTTTTATATTTTCTGATAAAAAATTTTGCTGAGAATATGAACTATTATAGTTTATATTATATTATAAAAAATTGTTAAATATATAAAATTTGATAAAATAAACGTTTAGTGACAATATCGAAATTAAATAATTTGATTTATTTCCTGAAATAATTTATTGTTAAAAGCTCCCAAATTAGTTGTGTACCTATTCTGTTCTTGACCTATGATCATAAAAGAAAGAAAGAAAAAATTAGAGGAACAATCAAATTTTCTTAAATATAACAAATTTATTAATTTGTTTAACTTTATTAAAACAAGTTAAAGAAATTATTAAAGCTCTGAGTTTATATAAAAAATTCATCAAACCTTACACTTACAAAAATATTTGACTAATAAAGATTTTTATTTTTATGTTTCAGGTTAGTGAATATATTTGTAGTTTAGTATTATCTTAGCAGACAAGATTCGTAAGTATATACTTAGTATATATTTTAATAGTTTATAACGTAATCTAATGTACTCATATTATAAAAAATAATTTGGGTAGTTTACTAAACATAAGAACCTAAATCGAATGGACATATAATAATATTTGTATTATAAATATTCATAAAAAAAAAAGAAATACTGATTCAAATATTTTTTAATAAACTTACTAAAATTTGTTAAATTAATTTTAAAAAGTTTCTGATATAACACAGCCACAGGATACAATATCCATTATTAATGATATATAATCTAGAAAATTACAAAGACGTAAAACTGAGGAAGAATACACACAAACTTCGTCTTTCTTTTATATTATGTTTTACTTGAAATATACTAAGCGCACAACATACAAAAAAAATTGTATGTTTTTTTGAAATTAGACAAGTCAATTATAAGGCGTGTCAACAAAATACAAAATACAATACATTAAACATAATTAATGGTTAATATCACACTATCAAAATAAATATTTCAATTTATATTGGTTTATAATTTTTTTTTTTTTTTTTCAGTAAATTCGTTGATAAATATTATCAGTTTAATATCATACTAGTTATGGAAGATAATAAATATTAGGATTCTTTATATACCTATTCAACCTGATTAGATTTGTGAATATAGTTATTGTAATTCTCCTCATTATCTGATAATTATGTCAATTCCTTTTGATTTCTTTACAATAAAATGCTCAATTTTTCTTTATTTTTAATATTATAAGTTTTTTAGATAATATTTTAGAGAAATCATTGATTTTTGACGACATTTTTTAAATAAAAACACTTAAGTGGGAAAAAACGTACGAAAACATACAATTTCACGATTTCATTATTTTATATAAACATGGACGACGTTTTCTACCAGAAAGAATGATTTGATCGAAAAATCACAAGATACCTTTTTTGTTGCCTTTTTGATTTAATTTATTACTGTTACATTGCCAAAACTTTTGAGCCACTTTTGATCGTTTAAGAAATTTTAATTTTTCGGAGTTTTTTTGCCATAATTCGATTATAAATACATGTAGAAACTTGAAACTTAGTAATAATACTTATATTAGACTTAACTAGACGTGGCGAAATTTCCAAAATGATCGGACGGGAAAAATCACGGCACTTCAAATTACGTATTACCGAACTGCGCATAATACTCCGAATCGTCTTTCGTCAACAATGAATTATCATTGCTTACAGATATAAATAAAGTAACCTTACGTATCTTATTTGAATATATATCAAATTGTCCCGAATATCAAATTTCTATGCATTGGTAAATATTTGACTTTTCGATGACTGCTAATTATATATATACCAAGAAAACATAATTTATTAATATACTACACGACTTACTCAAACTCTAATCGTATCCGAATATAATATTGTTACGTAATTTTTTTGACGTCAAGCGATGGGTAATAGACCCATAGCAATTAACGCTAGGTAATAAATGCTCTCAAATTACTTTTGTTTGCTCCATGTCTTTTATCGGTTGTAGTGAATATAGTAACATATAATACGAAATATGTTCATTTTTTATTGATTTATTTTTATTTTTTGAAGTACAATAATAGGTGGCATAAGATTGAAATATTGTTGTGTAATAAAATATTATTTTAACTTTTGTTTTTAGTATGTTTAGATACCTAGATACTTATTATATATATTATTCGGTGAAATTATTAATATTAATTAAAATATTAAAGGTAAAAGATACATATTTTGTATTAAAATATTATGCAACGACGATTAATACAAGTGTGTTTTATACATTAAAAACTTATAAAACAACGCAAATCTGTTATCCTTATCTCATTAAATTTATTAAAGAACATATAAACCTCTATCTATTTTAAATGGATTTTGGTAAAGTTTTGCTTTTCTCCATAGCACAATGTTTTAGAAATCTGAAGGGTAAATATACTGAAATAGTTTTTGAAAATTTTCCTTTTAATGTTTCCATAGTAATTTTAAATTGAATTTATTTTCTTTGTTTGATATATGTTCTTATATGTACAGCCAAAATAATATATTGTTATCATCGTCAACCTTCAACCTTATATGCTACACTTTTACAATTATTAGTGTATTGTTTTATATAATATTTTAACGTTTATCTCAACTAATGTGGTTTATCTCAGTATTTCATAGCATATCTTAAATCTTTGCAATATTAACTTCTGTGCATAGTAGTATAAACTGCCTACGCGTACATTTATAGTGTATCTACGATTTATCATCAAGATATTTGTATTTAAAATATTTTCAGGCCAACAATGTATTTCTACCATTGCTATAAATATTTGACTTGTGTTTTATTCATATAGACTAAAGTAAAATATTAAATTCAAATAAACAAATACAATTTTTGAGCAATTCCTGACACTGGTGCATTTCATATACACGAGTTAAAATTTATTGCCATACCAAATACAATAATTGATACTGTATTTCAAAAGGATAAATTTAAAATAATCATCACCCAATAGAAAAATGAATTCTGTATAAGACACTGAACCGGTCGTTTCCTACCAATAGTTTTTGCTCTCTTTTTCTGTTCCTTCTAAACTTGCTAGTAAAGTGGTTACAGAACAAAGGGCTGACCACTATACGAGGGTAATAACATCAATTCATTTATCATAAAAGTACACTTCATGTTATAATAATAGTACCTAATATACCGAATGGCTTATATCTTCTTGCTATCAGGAAGAGGGAGAGGTGATTTCCATTGAAAAGTTATACTTAAATTTAATATTAAATTAACTAACAGATATTTGAAGCTCGTAGAGGATCCGCGGGAAACGGGACTACTACATCGTGAATTAATTGGGTCAAAATATATAGTAGGTACAGTTATAGTATAGTTCGTGGCAAGAGGACCGCTATATGACTCTAGTCCGCAATTTCGAAAATACGCGCCAGTAAATGCCTCCACCAGTTTCTAGTAGTTAAAAAGAATCATTTGGTTCATTCCAAGGAAATAATTCTAATAATAATAAATTATATTCTATGTAGCGGACTTCTTAATACTACTGCTACTCGTATTATTAGACCAAAACATTTTTTAGGTTAATTAATCACGAACAATTAATTAATGTACGATGAAAAATTTAAATTGGCGTGTATAAATACCATGAACTTTTTCTAAAACCGACGCTTCGACGTTTAATCAATTAAAAACTTAATAACAACAACAGCAACACAAATTCTACTAGGTTATCTAATATTACAATAATAAGTACAAAATATAAGATAATATTATCCTACAGCTAATCCTAAAAAATTAGAATCGAAAATTTCGATATTTTTTAATTGCACCCGTTTCCGCATAATATTTAATTGCTGTACGGTTTATCATAACAAAATTTGAATAAAATAAATAATATATTTTTACTTATTTCTAACGAACTTGTTTTTTTACCAAATTTTTGACATATTTAATTTTGCGATTCACAATCCCAGTGCACGTCTAAAATGATTTAATAATCGGACTAAACTTTTGTCCAAAATAGTTAACATTTAAAACGAAACATTGTACTTATTGTGAATATTCTGCAACAATTATTAACTAAACCCATAGAACAACATTTTGACTATTATTTATTAATTTAATATGCCTACCAGATAAATCGTTTTGAGATTGTACACTGAAGCCCTAACGAATTCGTATTTTATATCTCGACCGAATTTTTTATTTCTCTATGATGTGAAAGTTAAAATATAATATAATATTATTATGAGATAGCATGCGGTTGATGGTAAAAACAAAACAGAAATCTTTATACGAAAATATTATCACCGTTTGTTCATTGCTCGTCGACAATATAATATTATGCTTATCTTAAAAATTTCGTCCGAATTAAATATAATATAATTAACTATATTATACGCCAGTCTAAATATTCGTGGCGATAAAATAAGACAGCGAAAATATTTATGGCGATATGCGGTAACCGTGGAGAGCTGCAAAATATAAGCTTTGGGAAATTCTTTTTAATATCCGTTCTCAGAGAGAGAAATTTTATGTTTATAATAATATACTACTGCGAAAATAACACTCCTCTTTTTTAAGGGAGGGTGGTTGGTATATATTTATATATACATTTTTTTTTTTCTTTAGTACACGTGTTCACTATTAAACATACGAAATGCTTTATAACCTTCATAGTTCATTTAAACAGTAGTATAGATACGCCATACGGTACGAACAGAAATAAATGTTATGAAAACGAATGTATTTCTCGACAATACTTATGGGTAGGTGGTGAGTAGGTAGGTAAAAATATGATTTATAAGTTTATTAATATATTGTGTTTAAAAAAAAAAAAAAACAAATACAATTCGCATTATAAAATATTTATTTTTCTCTTTTCTACTATATAAACAAAGTTATTGTATAAATAACGATTTTTTTTTACCGATTACTTACAGACACTTGGAGTGAAAATAATTTTGAGCTTTGTAATCATTTTATCATGTTTGATTCCAGAAAGGAAGGACTTAGTCAAAATTTAATAGGTTTCAATACAAATAAATAAGTGTTGCAAATTGCTAAATGACATAATATTATTCAATAGTTAAATTGTTGAATAGCCTAATCTAAATAATATAAAGTACAATTTACAATTATATGACTTTTCTTTTTTCCTAAACACAAAAATATATCGTAGTAACTTAAGATATTTTAGTCCACAAAAAAAAAAAATTTACTTCTTTCCTTGAATTATTCATATACGATTATGATCTTATTTTATTTATTTATCATATTTAAACTATTCATTTTTATATTATTTTTTGAATCTGGTTTAAACGACTGGGAGGTTACTATTTGAGAATTAAATGTTTATATCATGTGTTCATGGTTTACGGAATGACGGTGCAATATTTTTGAAATATCGTAAATTTGAGAACTAAAATGTGAGGTTAAAAACCTAAATTTGACTTTCGCCGGATAATGAAAAAAAAAAAAAGAGAGGGCTGTTTCAGTACTGGGAGCAGCCACTGTTATAGGCAACAAATTGGAAATGTAAGATACATAAGATTATTTCATTTATATCTGTAAGCAACGATAAACTATTGCTTGACGAAAAACGATTCCGAGCGTAGTTCGGTTGTATATAATTTGAGTGTCGTAATTTTGTTTGCGATTTTCGTTTAAATTTGATTTCAAAACGCTTATTAAAAAAAAAAAAAAAAAATGCTATTATTTTAGAAATTTTACCACGTCTAGGTTAATCTTATATAAGTATTACTAAGTTTCAAGTCTCTACGTGTATTTATAACCGAATTACGTCACAAAAACTCCCAAAAATTAAAGTTCCCTAAAAGCTCAAAAGTGTTGATAATGATATTTTTCCTGGTAGAAAACGTCGTCCTTGCTTTTTTTTAAATTATAAAATCGTGAAATTTTATGTTTTCTTATGTTTTTTTCCACTTTAGTGCTTTAATTTAAAAAACGATGCATCTACAAAAGTGCAATCTAGACAGTTTGAGCTTTCAGAAAAGTTGTTACGCGTAAAACTCGGGGGAAGTTTACTAGGAAAAAACGTTTCCACAGACTAGAACAAGAACAAAGAAATAAACAGCATTGTAAAACTAATAGCTCCCTTGCTACATTCGGAATCTAAAAATCACTGTGTATATAGAAAGTAATAAGTTATGACGGTCAAGAAAATAATAAATCTGTATTACCTTTAATACCGCGATGCATTTGTAAAAATCCCTGCAGGACCGTTTTACTTGCATTAAATTATTCAAAATGTCTGTCATTCGAGGAATAGAAAATTTGATTTTTTTTTTCTAATACCTATAATAAGAATAAGGTAATCTCTCTTTCGTAATATATAAAAACTTATATTATATTTTATAATAATTCGTATTTTTATCAGATTTATAAGGGACGGTATCGTCGGCTATATTATTATGCTTTAATATTCAGGTCCACACATATTCATCTGGTTTTTCTCTTCTCTATAAAATCGGTACCTACTGTCATGGTGTGTGTCCCCTGCTTTTTCGATCATGTTTTAGTATTGCACGCACGTAAAGCACGTAAGTCATCCGTCACAGTTTTTTTTTTTTTTAGGTTTATCCGAGTCTTCGTCAGAACACAGAATCGTATTATTTTAACGTGGTATACAGAAACGCGAAAATATATAGGCAATAATTGTTGAAATCGGCGCTTCTATAATATTTTCGATTAGCGTTATTTTATTTTCAAAAACACCATAACGAAATAAAAAAATACATTACGATAATGTTGACAACCGTAAATAGTTTGTATATGCATGCATATATGTGTATATTTTTTTTACAACATAACGCGGCAGAGTGAAATATAATTGGATTTGATGATAAATATATTCGATAACGTTTCATATAATAATTTCGTGTTATCCGTGTTATCCGAATAAATAAACGATATTGACGTTTCGAAACAAATTACGTATGTACGACACGACACTGTTTAAAATTATTATTATCAAAATGTAAATGCTCTAAACGTTTTCAAACTTTATTTTATCTATGCTATAATAACAATAATAACATATGCGTCACACGTTTTCATAATAATGTGTATTATCAAATTTAATATTTAACTCGAAACCATAATATTATATTATATCAAATTTCAAAAGATAAATCAACAGCCCATATTTATTAGATTAAGTTGCTTCGTTTTCAAATATACAATAATTTGCATATGAATATTCGCCATTACTGCATGGGTTCAGAAACCGTCTTGCCATTATCGGGTCACGAAAATTAACATATTCATTTTACATAATATCTATGTATATACAAATATATTTTTGTATTCAATGTTTGGTGTCAACATTTATATTATACAGCAGTTAGTTATATTTATTTTGATCTTTTAATTTTAATCTGGGTGTAAAAAAAAAATATATAATATAGTCAATCAAACATAGTAAAAAATAAATACACGTTTTAACAATATTAATTATAGATCATTTATTTTATTTTAAACAAACATGTAAAGGTAGTATATTAGGTACAATTAAAATCGAAAAATATATAAAAACGATTTTGTCTTGAGTACATTTTATTATATTACAGAATTAATGTAATTATACGATTAGTTTTGACTAAAACAAAAAACCATCATTCATCATGTTACAGTAAAATATTGTATGGTAGTCTTGCTCAAGTGAATTTCTGTCAGTTAGATAAAGAACACACTCAAATTTATTGATTTATATTAATATTGAAAAATCCATTTTTGAAAATAAATAAAATAAAAACAAAAAAAAAAACAAAATAACAATGAAAAAACATTAAACAATTTTAATTATAAATTAATTCCTAATATATATCAAAACTATTCTCCCCTCACGATATTAATTGTGTATCGTAGAAATTTACGGGGTCAAATTTAATCCGAGATCAGATCTACTTTTAAACTACTTTTCCGTTTTACTCGCAATTATAAATTTAAAAAAAATATTAAAAATAAAAGAAATATTATTATACGTAATATTCTATGTATAAAAGTTTCTGTTCTCAAATCTACACTAACAAATTCAAATGTGTTTAGACTTGATTCTTGTGTATATTGGCATAGTAAATGATAGCTTAGCAAGGAATTTATGTCGTTGCATTTTACTGTTTGCTAAATTTATTAGATATTTGTAATATTTAATAAGCTCTATAAACTCTATAAGGCACTCTGATTCAGCCCTTTAAACAATTTTCCAAAAAAAGAATCCTGTCTAATGAATTTATTATGTCCCAAAACCATTAAATTTTCGAGATTGTCTTAAAGGTATTTTATTTTATACGGATTATACTCCAGTTTACAAGATATTAATTTAATGTCAGCAATTTAATGTTGTAAGATAAAAATAAAATTATATAATGTGTGCAGTTATTAATTATATGCACATATTTCATTTAAAGATAATAATTGCAATAATTATAATACAGTATAATATTGTACATCAATAGTAAATAAAAAATATACTAGATTTAATTTATTCATATAATTTGCTCAATGAATGTTGAGTTTATTTATTTATAAATGTATATCCCGTCAAGTTAATTGTAATTTTCACACTAATATATGACACTAAATTTACAAACTGTATATGTTATTAAATAAGTACTCTCTTATAATTAATGATAATTTATATTGTTCACTGATTAATGTATAATCTGGAATACCTAGTTAAAATGAATAGGTATGTAATTCGATATTTCCATCCGTTTCAACATTGATCATTCTTATTTTCAAAAAAAACGACAAATTCTTAATTGAATAATTTATTTTTAGAAAATAACAATTTTATAAAAAAAAAAATAACAGTAAAATGACTTTTTTTAACTTTATACGAATTAATCAAATTGTTAAATTTAATTTTACCTTAACCTAAAAAAGAAATAAAACAATGATTTATTTACGTGTTAACTTATTGAATAATTATTATCAAATAACTTATCTATACTCGGTCAATATCATTCGTTAATTGACCTATAGTCTCTTAGATAACCGGTTGTTTTACTACACGTCTTTTTAAGAACCTTGGGTAGTTGAAACCAACTTATTCATTTGGTCTTATTGTTTTGCCGGTCTTCACTCATTTCGTAAAATACTTAATATATTTAAGGGTTTTATAAACTTTTTTTTTTTAATACTCACGAAAACCCTTAAAAGGCCATACATACACAAAGCTCGCGTATGTCACTTCCACCCAAACCCGCTCTATTATACAATAACGTTTACTTCTTTACACATTCAAATAACTATTATTCATTCTACACGAATTCGTATTTAAATCCATCTACCGTAAATGGCTTGTTTGTATAAATATATATATATATATATATATATTTTTTAAATTGTATTTTAAATAAATGTTCTCGAAAGAAATAAAATAATATAAAATATATAAATGCGTCGGATATTCGTTTGTAGGGACGTTTAGCATACTTAGATACACCTACGGGTCCGGTAAACAAAACATTTATTTTTATCTTACGACACGTAATATCCTTGAAATTCGAATAATCTGCACGTCGAAAACGAGACTTCCGCTCAATGTATAAGTATTCGTACACGGATCTAGGAATATAAAATTTAGTATAACGATCAAAGTAACCGAACATTGATCGTATATCGGGTGTTATAATGTGTTTCTTGGTCGCATCGTTCAGTGTATAAGGAACGTGCCAACGGAAATTACTTGCATTTGCGTTAATAATAATATCTAAACAATACATAGTTTCTTGTAAGAATTCGGCTACTATAATATGCATATCATATTATTAAGTGTTACCACAGTATAATATAAAACTAAATAATAATACACAGTGATTATTTTACCACGAACTAGTGAACAGAGATTATTTGTTTTTAGCTCCTCCCCCTCAGTCCTTAACGTATCATAATGATAATAAATTTAAGATATTATCAATATTTTACGCCACTCTCGTATACAAGCAATGCTGGACTAGTTATTGAATACAGACAAATTTTATTTATTGAAAAAAAGTAAACAAGTTAACACGTTAAAAGTAAGAACTGGAATTGCTGACATTTATAGCATTTTGAGTATTTAAAACCGGTTTTCTTAAATTGTGTGTTTAGGTTAGGATTTTTAATCTGGTTAAAATTAACTTGACGTGTTTTATTGTAATGAGAAAACTTAACAAATAATTTAAGGTGGCTGAAAGTAATTCGTTTCTTCATACATTTAAACAATTAAGTTGGATTAAAATTAATATACTGATAGTAGTCCAATTTCTGTTTTAATAAATGATTTCATATAAGTACTTCTTTTTAATGTTTGGTAGAAAAACTATTTTATTTTATTATTTTTTTTTTTGTGACACTTTTAAGTGCACGTTTATTTTAAGAAAAATTGATAAACTTAGCATGTATTTTAACATAATTAATTTAAAGAAAACCGAACAACCACAACCCTTTACTTTAAATGATAACCAAGCAGTATATTAGTAGAAAAGTTTCTATTTAGAATTACGGTCCTCATTAAAAGGTTTAAGTTAGTAAAAATAATCAAAAGTAAAGAGAAGTTAAAATAAAAAAAAAAAAAAAAATCTAATACTTATATAACAAAATAAAATATAAGTAAAATTAACTTTTATTTTTAACTCTTAAACTTATTACGTATAGCTTTGCATTTTGTAGTATAAAAACGTCATAACGATTTGTGATGTATAAAAAAGACGGACATAATTTGTATGATGGGTGAGTCACTGTTTTAAGTGAAAAGTTTGGAATATATGATATATTAGAGAATTTAATTTATATCTGTAAGCAACGATAAACTATTGCTAACGAAAAACGATTGGAGAGAAGTTTGGTTATTCGTATTTTGAAGAGCCGTAATGTTTACGATTTTTGTCAAGATTTCATTTTAAAATTCTTTAAGAAGATAAAAAATACTACATAACATTCAACTTTAGTTTTGATCACTAATTATGACTTATGATGTAACCTACTGTCAAATACAGGATTAATAAATCAATAATCAAATACCAATAATAAGTAATAATATGTACAACTTGAGAAAAACTTTCTGTTCTATTTTCAAGCATTTCTGTTTTACATAACAAATTATATCAAAAAAGTACATACCGAATAAAAATTGCGTAAAAAATTCCCAAAATTAAAATGTCTAAAAATAACTCAAAAATAGCTCAAACATGTTGAACATTTTATCAATTCTTGAAGTATAGGTATTCTCTTCAAATGTATAGTCTCTAAGAAAATGTCTAAAAGAATCGTAACAAAATAAAAAAATTGAAAATTATATATTTGGCAATTCTTTCAATGTTTTTCTCAATTATTATAAAAACGGCTAAGAAAATTTAAAAATAACTTACTTAGGGTTCAAATTAAATAAAATTTTCTTTCAGAAAAGGCGCTGCATTTGAAAATCAAAGCAAGATTTTTGGTAAAAATCGTGTACACTGTATAAAAAATTAAAATAAAAATAAAGAAAAAAAAACATCATTGTAAAACTAATATATCCTTTACTTCGCTCAGACTCTAAAATAAAAAGAATATTATGAATATTATTCAAATTACTCGAAATCTTTATGTATATGATCATTGTGTCATGGCAAAAGAATCGCCCTGGATAAAAACTAATTTTTGTTTTCCTGTCCATGATAAATATTTTCCAACATCGTAACGTGTCATCTCATAATGCCATGTATTCATGTCAATTTGAAATTTCATTGACACCTACCAATCTACATGATATTATGAAAACTAACAAAATAGATCTCACCAATAGCACTTATATTAATTTTATATATCTGTACACATTTCATTATAATGCAAATACAACTAAACTTGAAATAATTTATCGATACTGATAATTATTTTTCTAATCAATTTATGTTATTATTTATTATAAAATATATCGCCGTTTTATGATTTTGATTTTCCACGTGTAAAGATATAAGATAGGTACTAATATAAAAAAAATATTTATTAATTACATGAATTGTTTACTAGTGTTTACACGAGTAAGCTGAGTATTATTTGTTGTATAAAGTTTATTATATTGCAATGGAAAATAACGGTATACATAAAAGTTAATTTAATTATTCAGATTCTTAGCCATCTATTTAATACAGTTTTATGTATTTTATTAAATATAATGTATTTATATTTATAATGGTCGATCATAATAAATAACATTATTTTTACATACTTTTTTGAATATTGTTGTAATATCACAAAACTCGATAAAAATTCCATAAAATCTATAATTTATCTATCTTATTTTTAAACGATTATTAATGGGAGAATAAATAACCGGACTATTATCTTCGACTCAGTATTTAAGTAAGTGTTTTGTATTATAATAATATTCTATAAAATATTGTAAAATATATCAGGTGCAATAGTTTCATCGCATCGTTGCGGTATAGGATTATTTTTATTTCCCTCATTAAGATTTACGAATTTAATAATATAATAAATAATGAAAAGTCTAAGAATACTCGTATACTAAATAATTAAATAAAGTTTGATAAACTACATTTTTAAAGAAAAAAAAAAAGTTATTAAACGTATACAAAAACATTAATTAAAGTCGGACTATTGATGGTAGAAGAATAAACTAAAGTCGGAATAAACAAAGATATTTTTAACAATGAAAAGTAAGAGATTTGCAAAGTTATTTGACTGATACGAATATTAAATATTAAACAAAAACACGAATCGTAATTTTTCAGTCTTAGGTTTGAAAATTTTAGGTACCTATATCAATCGTAAAGAATTACTAATATCTACTATAATAGGTTATAGGCTTATAATAGGTTTCACTAAATTTATATATGTTAACATTTTTCCTTATTGTTATCAATAAAAAAATACTCAGAATAATGGTCAGTATGCTATTACATAATATTCAGGGAACATTTATCGAATATTAGAGACTTTAAATTACGAAATTATTCACCAGAATATACAAAGTATCTAACCACTGATATTATAGTCGCGTTTACATTTTTCGGTGGTTCTTTTCAAATTGTTGTGATTGGAAATAGGAGAGGACCTTTTTAATATTATGTATAGTTGTTATCGATTGGAATATATTTGGAATCACACAGAAATATGTTTTTGACACTCTCTGGATGTTCGCTCCATATTATATACATATACAGATCTTATAGATATACTTTGTAAACATAAGCTTTTAAGTTCAGATATTGATTTTGTACATTTTGTATAAAGGACAAAGAACAAAGTGATTTTCGTCTTATACGCTTTAGTTATATGTTATATGAACTTTTAGCACTGGGTTGGTTTTATTTATTAAAACTTATATTAAAAGCTTATTAGAACAATTGTTTAGCAGAAAATGAATTTTTTGATGCAAATAGTAAAATCTATGCATTTTTTTTTTTAATATGCTTTTAATTCAATATATTCAAATAATTTGCAATGTATGGGATTTAAAATTGAAAAATTACTATATGAATTTGAAAAACATAAAAAGTTAATAAATTATATATTTTTTAATGAAATTATTACGTATAAATCGTATATTTTTTACTATTTTTAACATGCGATAATTTTGTCTTTTTTTCTATTGAAAGCAAAATGTTTAATAACAAGTGCTATTGTTAAAAGGGTTTGAGTGTACATCGCATTAAGATAGACTTCTAGAATTAGGTTCTCTTTGCAATTCTCCAGCTAATAATATTAATTAATTTCTTTTGCTCCAAATGCTTTATAAATGACTAAAATTAAGTAAATATAATAGATATAATAGGTAATTTTTGAAGGTAATTTTATATTGATAAAATAATTTAGAATAATACAATTTACAAATTTCTCTATAAGTTTAAAAGAATTTCCATGAGTCTTCTTTGAGCAAGTAAAATTGCCTTTTTAGATGTTTTTATCCAATTAATAGGAATAACAGATTATTTGTTTTCTGCTTAAAAAATGATCATAATGTAAAAAAAAAACATTAATAATTTATCTGAAATGCATACCTGTACATTAATATAATCAAATAATAAAACAAATAAATATGTTTGTAATTAATTGTAATGTAAGCGTTATATTTATTAATATGATATATTAATTAGTATACCTATAATGATATTGTGTACATTAATAGGTATTCATATATTTATATGCTACTATAAATATACTTAAATAGAGTAAAATAATAGTTAAGCTGATAGAAATATTAAATAAGTAGGTATTGTATACGTTTGATAATAAAAATAAAACCATCATCAATATGTTAGTAACTCCTAAGATATTTATTTTCTCAGTTTTACTATATAAAATAACTTACCTTTGTTCTGCTTATTTATTCCATCCATAATTTAATTGAATTCAGTGAATTTGAATATAATCAGAACGAATTTCGAATTAAAGTAAACCGTTGTCGTTACTATAAATTCATCACACTATATTTTGTGCACTCGCGGTTCGCTTCCGATCCTTTTTAGTGAAGATGCGCAATAAATAAGAATTATAACGCGTTTTTGTCAGCTGTCGTATACTTTTTTGGAGCGGTTTAACGGTCAAACAAAACAAGTTGCATGCATGCGCACGTGTGATCCATTTTTACACGGTAAATCGTATATTATTGTACTATATTTTAACATAAATATGATGTATGAAAATAGAACATCACAAGTACAACTTTCTACGCATATCCCAGAAGTGTTTCTACTCGAACGTGTAGTATACTTTGCATAGATGTTATTTTAAGAAAGCATAATTAGTTAGAAAGCATAGTTTAAAATATCATATAAACATCAAATAGATATTTTTAAAAGAGGTTACATTTGTTAACAACTATAAGAGGTTTTGGTTGAGCCGTGGTTTGGTGGGCACTACTCTCCTACATCTTAAAATTAAAAGTGGTATAGCTCGTCAACGGATCGACGGAAATAAAAAATGGCGACACTAAAATTTATTTTAACTAATACTCAATCTATTTATGGACATTTTAGGTTGCAATTTTAAAATCAAAAATTGGTAGTGGTTTCACCCCCAAAAATAACGGTGACAAAAAAACAAAATAAATATAAAATTATGGTGCAGCTTGTTTCTTAAATGTTCTAGGAAACAAATTCCGGAAAAAGTAAACACTTTTCGAGATAATGAGTGTACCCACTTAAATGAATCACCTGGTACATTAGTACAGTATTTAGAAATATCAAAAGGCTTCAATATTACTTGAATTTGGTTAGTTTTAAAATTTGTGTTTGACTGTTTATAATTAAGTTTTCATACTTTTCGAACTTAAACGAATAATTCAGCTGTATATTTTAGTATTCCTTAGAGTTTTTTAGAGCTAAATAATTTCAAATATTAACATTTTTTCCAATAAATAATATTTTGTATTCAAATTCAAAAAGCCAATTAAAAATTATGTTGAATTTTAATGTATTTTACACGGATATATTATATAAATTTATTACGTTAGTATTTTCACATTTTTTTTTTTTTTTACATTGCCTATCTATATCTAGTAATTCTATGCTGAAATTATTCGTGAGAGCATATTGTTACAATGTAAAATAAAATAAAACTAACTCTTACTTATTAATCCGTGACTCGAACTTAACTTAACAAATTTTCAAATTTAAATTTATAAAACTCGAATATCATGGTCATTGTCATTTCACAACTAAACTATTTTATATAACGGACATTTAGAATACAAAGAAAAAACGATTTACTCCCATACACGAAAAAGCATCATATAATCATATAATTTACTATGGGTACCTATTATGTTTTAGGGCTTTTATTTTAAACAAATTAAACCCTTTTTAGTTAACAAAAGCATCCTATCCATACCTTCCCACACCTCTATACTCCCATCACTCACTTCAGTGTTTAATCCGAAATTACTCTTTATTATTTTACTTTCCTGTGTCACAAAAGTATCCGGTATATTTTACATTGATTTCAGAAAAAAATAAATGCCCAATATCTACGAAACATTTGAATTGGTCTTATGCTGTTATGATTTTAATAGTAATTATAGTTTCACTATGTTGCATTAAAAAATGTTGTATTATTATTAGTTATAATTTATTACTATTTTTTATCATTGCTATGAAAATTAATTCCAAAAATTTCAATTGTGTATTCACCTCAAAAATACATCCATGTTAAATTAACATAATAATAAATCAATGTTTAATACAAAAATGTATAATATAATATTTTATATCTATAGTATATATTATTATAACGATCATTATTAAAGTTTTATCACGACCAAGTTTAAGTATTAATAAAGTTTACTCACTTTCCAATAGATGTTATGCGACTATTTATTATGAAGATTTGATTAACTATGATAATTCAATTTTTTTTTCTTCAAAAATAACAGTAATTTTATAATATGAAATTTACAAACAAATTCTGATTGCATCTGTAATTTGCTCAAAATAAAAAAAAAAAGTACATGTAAGAGCATCATTGATAATTTTTGATGTTATTTTTATTTTTTCATCAACACCAAGTATATTTATATATTATGCTATTTAAAATAATGGAATAATAGTTAAATCGTCCGTTCCGTATGCTTTTTTACATATTTTTAGTGTTCAGAAATATTTAGTTAAATAGAATAAAAAAATAACTTAACAGATTGAGTGCGCACACTTTTTTTTTTTTGTTGAAACATATTAATATTACAAATGTATTTAATTATTTAATTTGTTCAAATAATATACTCTAGAAAAATCGAATAATTTTCGTTTGAAATACATCTATAATTATACAACGCAGAGACATTATAAACATAAAAAAATATACCTAGAAATATATTGCGTATGGACCGAATCGGAACGATCTGAAGGGCTGATGGTGATTTTTATCATTTTCAGTAAATTAGTTCTATTGGTCCACACCACAATAGTAATTAATGTTTCTCGTCACTTCATTGTTCAATATATTACACCTACCAAATCCCAATTAATAGGTTTGTGAGATTGATGACATCCGCTATCTTACAGCCCTAAAAACTGATAATCGTTTTCTAGTTACTAACCCGATGGCATTAAATTATATAGCTAAGCTAAATATAAAATTTTATATGGTTTATACCACCCATCTTGATAATATTTATACCTGAATAATTTCATTATTGCCAATTCATTAATCTTAAAAACGTCATATTTCGCGTGATATGTTTGGGTTAGATTTATTTTTCTTTACACATGTTTTCTTTATTTTGATGTTAGATGGAATAAATAAGTTATCATAAATTGATATATAATACAAAAGTATAATATTTATGAGTCCAATGACAATGAAAAGTGGTGTAAACAAGTAGGCTACATTGGTATAGGTAGGAATTCAATAATATAAAATATATAATATGTATATAAAGTAAATAAAGCAACTTAATTTATAATTTACAGTAGGCAACATTGATTTATTGCAAATAAAAAACGATTCCATGCGTATTTTATCAAAATACTTTTGATAAATTTAAACTAAATATTGTATTAATGTGTATCTAATTACGAAATAAATTAAGAATTGTTCGTGTTATTACTTATTTACGCATTTTATCGTAAATTTGTATCTGAAACGCTCTTAAAAAAGCAAATATATTTTTACTGTGCGGTAAAACTTAGATCGTTTAGACTGTTTAGACAATTATTATACCATATCATGAGAATGTTATACATTCATGACACAATAAGAGTTCAGTGACAATATCAGGTATCCCTGTTTCTCTCTTACTTAATTAGGTACCTAAGGAAAAAAAAAAAATCGAAATTTACAGAATCTTGTCATTGCATGATTATTGAATTAAATTAACTGTAAAAAAATACTATATTTTAGCAGTAAGGTTTTTTTTTTTTATAATTTTGAATATTATATTGCGTTGTTCGTCATAACTTTTTAACGTTTTCGAATCCATTGGATGAATATCGTCCTCGCAAGTCTGGTGGTTTTCATTACAATACGCTATTGTTTCATTTATATAATGCAGATTTGGTTTTACGAATGAATTTCACGCGTGAGCACGTCTTTTCCTCTACGTCATCTGCAATCTAGCTATAGTACTTGTTGATAAATAATTCCCGACTGTGTAGTGTAAATTAAATATGAATTCGTTTTATTCCCGTTGACAAGGGAAAGGTTTTTTTCAAGTTTTACTTTTCTGGAACATTATTTAACCTACATGACTGTGAGTGATTCGGGCAATTGTTTTTTTTTTATATTTATATTATATTCGTATGTCAAAATATTTCTGTCGGAAACACTGTTTCAAATAATTTTGTACGCAATAGTATTGCGTGCAATATATTGATGTTAGAATAGTAATTTTTCAAAATATTAATATTATCTATAAGTGTCGTCCATTTTCAAAAATCAAAATGTAAACAAAATCGAGGTTTTGCTCTCTTTCTCTCTTGTGATTAATAATTATTATTCTTTGGTGTATAAAAACATTTAGTTTTAAGCGGTTGGATATCCTATTGCATTTACCATGCGAGTATATAGTTTAGTTTCAAAATGTGGTATGTCGATGAATAATTTTGTAATTTGTGTACAGGCAGCGTTAAAACCGCCACAAAAATTAATACTTCCACATGCTTTGTGACAAACATTTTTTTTTTTTTTTTTTTTTTTTTTTTTTTTTTTTTTTTAATAGTCAGCAATTTTAGAGCATTTTATCTTAAAGTCTAAATATAACTTACCTACTTCACCATAGACCTTAATTTTGTTAAAGACACAATAATCGAAAAATAAATAAATTTTTCAACTGCTACCGCAATATTATAGTAAATCAAATAATAATTTATTTTTATACTGTTAGTTACGCTGCTTCCATATTCCAAAGATATTTGATAACACGGATAAATTGTAAATACATTATAATGGCTATGACTACAGTGTGCATAACAAATTTACAATAAGTAACTAATAATTATCGTCATACCTTATAAATCATTTGTAGTTTTTTTTTTTTTTTTTAGGTAGGTAATTTAATTTTTAGTGTTGACAATAATAAGATCAATAGATATTATGTATCATAATTATTATTTTTATTTGATTCGTATAGGCACACGAGCACAAAACTCAATACTGACGTGAAATAAGGTTCGTTTCAGACATATAGGTATATTTAAAATCTTCTTTAGTCTCAACTGTTCGTAAAATATTACCTGTGTAATTTCTCCTACCACGGTCATTATCTCAACCGACTCGAGTACTTATATATTATATTATTATAATCGTAACAACATCCTTCTGTCAGAAACATACCAAGATTACTCGTACTCATACTCATAAATTTCCTTTTGAACGTGTCGGTATATTACAACAAGAAACGACCGTACACGCCCTCGCGAATTTTCGGCGCAACTTCAATGGAGTTGATAATAATAATAATAATATTGCATTTGCCGCGATTACCGTTATACCTTCCGATAGTTATAATAACGACGAGGTATAAAAATTTGGAATATTATAGCAATCGGATTTAACAAAAGGTACAGAGATTTCATAATATATTATTGAGTTTCTTTATTATTTCTAAAGACTTTTTGATTTATTTGTTTTTTACTAACCGATATTTTGTTCAACTTATCCTTTAAAAAACAAAATCTATTGTAGATTGTTGATGGTTTATCGAAGAAACTGTTTGTTTTATTAAAATTATTTTTTCTCCCTTGTAAAATATTATTTAGTGTGTAAAATTTGTTTGGACTTTTCACTAAGTATTAATAGGAAAAAAATACGAAACTCTTAATGAACGACTTCCTTTTCAAGAAAAAGGAACGAAAACAAATGTTTTTTTTTTTTCCAGAAGGAACCAGTAACAGGAACGAATTACTTTTTAAAACTAACTTTTCCGGGACTGAACTATGAGGTATATCCAGCATATTTTTGTATACTTAATTAATATTAATAAATTAACGAAAGTCTAAGATAAAAAGACGAATCACGATTATATTTTAGTCATTAGAAAACGTCGGTCGTTTTAGAGATTATCACGAAATATTGATTACTAAACTTTAAGACCTGATAGTCATAATATAGTATGAATTTAATATCCTAAAGAGAATTACTTTTTTTTAGTATACTTATAAATTATTTTTCTTTAATCCTTTGCGAAAAAAAATCCCCGAATTATCTTTACTACGCTCTGAAGTATCTAAAAAGCCGTTTGAGTTTGAGTTTGAGTTAACCGTTAGGTATTAAATAAATGAAATAACTATTTTTTCAAATGGTTCATTTATATAGGGAAATATTTTTTTTTAAATTTATTTTAATTTTATATTATCAAACAAATCACCCAATGCATTAATTATGCGTTTGTCAGTCAAAACAGTAATATTTATAAAAATCGTATTAATTATTAGGTGGATACCGCGTATACCGACACATCCGTTTACATTTCGAGCGAATAAACAGCAATAATTCAAAAATATTTTTATCTGGTGTCCCAGCGCGATATTATTTGATCGCTAAGCCTTATAACAATTATTTGTTTTGTGTGTAATATAAATTTATGTTTCGTGTGGAATTTGGTTTGTTTTGTATTTTTTTTTTTTTCAACGGATTTGTAATATTTAATATAATATACGAGATAACGAAAAAAATATTTTATATCTTAAGGAAAAAACTTAAGAGGGCGGGGAGATTAATGAAAAATATTAGGCTTCGCAAAATAATTGTTCGCGTCAAAAAAATTTGTCTGAATGCCAAATGAAAAACAGTTTTTAACTATTGTATTGGACGGGTATTCTAATAGAATACAGCTTATCCATATATTGAAATAATATTATTTTAATAAACGCACAAGTAATAATTAGTTTTTGAAGACGAAAGAAATGCAATTTGTAAAATGTCATCAGTAGTATCAGGTTTTTTACTTAAATATTTTTTGTACGGTTTTTTTTTTTTCTAACTGTTTATTACTAAAAAATGTTTTTTACGGTAAAATAAACTATTTAATTATGTTTAAAGTGTAAAAGTGCGTATTGTCGGTAGACTTGGCGAGTCTAGTATCACTTCGTCGCTCTACGAGTTCCATGAGAACGGTCCGACTCACCTAATCTCGGTAGGTGCAGCTTTTTTAACTTGCGGCTGTTCAAAAATAGTTAGCAAAGCCGGGAATCCACGGTACGCGGTTCGTCTACGTACCGATCCTAGACGAGTAGAACCTATATGCGTTACGTCTACACGAGTCACGGTAACCTCGTTGTGTGTCGTCAGTGGCCTGCCTAGTCATACCTATTACCCGCTTTTAAAATAGAAAATTCCATAAAAAATTAACGTCACGGTTACACTGGATTTATTAATAGACACGGGGATTAGGTTATTTGTAAAATGTAACGTTTTAATTTGTTAAATAAGAAATTTGTATTTTATTAAATATAATATTAATACATAATTGAATACAGTATAATATTATAAATGTAAAATACAGTTTAACTTCCGATTTTTCATAGACAAAAATCTTTCGATAATACCATCCACTAGTATAATATATATATTTCCTTTATTTTTTGGTAAATTTACAACAGTACATGATCGCATAAGCAATCCTGACCCATCATTTCACCAAAAACCTTGACCTGATTCGACCACGGATAAAAAAAACGATTTAATATCTATGGATTTGACTATTTTATAATATTATTTACCTACTTCGTAAAAAAAAATCCAAAATAATTGTAATAAAACTAAACATAAATAACAATGCACACATATAATTACACGAGTTACGTAGATATGCATTGCGTATCGTTCGATGCATCTCCAGACTTAACACCCATTGCTGAACCATTGCGATGCAGTGGAATTCACTGCTCGTCACCATTGATACCTACTATATTTCATTTTTTTTAATTATGTATATTTCATAATTGAAAATTAATAATTAAGATGAAATTGTTGCGATATATTTCATTATCATATGCAGTTAATTTTTTTTAAAAAAAAACTGCATATTGTATAAAAGTGAAGATAAACCAAATCCTCTATAAATAAGACGATACTGGATGACTTCTTTTTATAAAAGTCGTAAAAGGTAAATGATTTTTGAATGTAGTTATCTAGGTATTTTTTTTCCTTTTTAACTCAATAATCGTGTATTTTTGTTGGAGATTATTTGAAATATTGTCCCACGAACATGCAAAAATCTAATTTTTGTGTTTTGGTTGTTTATGATTCCAGATACAACGTTCCTTTATTTAAATTATTAAAAATACTAAAATAATTACCAATTATTTTACACATACAGGCCACGTCCGTCAGTAGAAACGCTTTGGACTTGTTTGACGAACCGAGTTTCGAGCTTCTTTGACTCAGGTACCATAAACCGAACAATTTTGGATAGACACAAGCCGCGTCATGTCATACCATTCCCACGGTCCACTTACTGTACCCAGCTATACAAACCACGAGCCACGTGTCGTGAGATTCCGGCTTAAGTTGTATTCTCTTCAAAGGAAACATCGTTTCAATAGCATTCACGTAGGATGCACAGATATATAATTTTGTTAAATTTTCCTGATAAACGTAAATTTACTTTAATGTTACCGATGGTTTTTTACTCGATACCCCCACATTGAGTTATTTTACTAAAACTAATTAAATAATAATAAATACTTAAGCATGCTGTTCTATATTTATTAATATTTGAATATTTTAAATTTATTCTATTTTAAATAAAATAAGCTAGTTGATTTACCGAAATTTATATTAACATTTTTTTGCTGCAGAGGTGCGTGGATCGGCAATCCTTCCCATAGTGAATTTTTATTTTATTTTACTGTTATATGCATTTTTCGACTTGGATAAGCTCGTTGTACACCAAGTTACGTGCCGTGGAAATGATGTATACTGACGTTGTAGACTCATGTAAGGTCAAGAACAGTGTGTGGGCTTGGTATAACAAGCACGCCGAGCAAAATTCACTGATCTACGAGGCGCAGGAATTCGCTTTAATACTATATAGTGACTGAATAATATGCGATATTAAGTGCTATGATGAAAGTTAAATTTCTAAGTAAATCTCAAATGAAAAAATCTTTGAATAATACACCGTAACTATTATTGTTAAAAAAAAAAAAAAATGTATTTTCAACCGATTATGACGAACAAAAATAAAAAGTAAAATAATATATTAGTTTTTTCCTGTGCTTCGCTGCTTTTCAACAATTGTACAATTGTCTGGTTACAAATTCGAATTTGAATAGGTACATAGAATAACATAATACATTTTGAAAATATGACACAAATAAAGTTTTTTTTATAGCGGTTCTAACTCGACAAAAAAAGTTGCAATGTTTATTTGAAACTTTAAGAAATTTACATGTTGTTATTACAAAAGAATATAACGTTTTGAAAAATCATTCCCCTGGATGAAACTTTAATTTAAATATTTTATTTCGTCAAAACATATCAAACAGATTATATATATATACATAATATAATATATATATATACTAGCTGATCTGCCAATGTTTCGCTACTAGTTAATAGTTAATAGTTACTAGATAATAGTGTAAATAATGATAACAGTAATTTTCTTGTCCGTGACAACTAAATTGTCATCTGTATCACTAAAGTAACCCACGAATAAACAAAAATAAACAAATAAATTTACATAGACAAATAGATAGATAGTTGTATCAAAAATATTTAAAAACCCCTATATCACGGGATTGATAACGGAACATTAAAGAATTTTAAGTTGGACCAAATCACACACATTGAGCATTATCTCATAAAAATCGGTCGAGTAGTTACAAAGTGTAATGTACCTAAACTCGTCGTATACGTGATTTATACATTGTATAACATATAAATATATATTAGAAGATAAGATGTATATGCATATATATGTATAAAAAAAAACTAAATAATAAACAAATTTCTTTTAAATCATATATGGTATTTTGATTTTCATGCAATTCTCGAATCTTTTTCAGTTTTAAGTTTACAATAATAAATAGTAATACTATACATTTTCCTGATTTCACTCGACATATAATTTGTTTGCAATGTCTATGTTCTTAACTCAAAAATATTATAAATTTATTTTACATATTGTTTGAGGATTAATGTAGCAATAATGCCTCTAACATAATTGAAGATATATAATAATCATATAAAAAAAGACGGTTATAACTAACATCGATGGCATCCCCAGTTATCAATACTACATACAAAAAAAATAAAAGATGATAGAAAATTAGTAAATCCGTTTATTTTTCATTCGAACATAGTAACAACTAAACTGTAGTTTTTTTTCACTATTTTATTCATTGTTATCACTAGAGTACGGAACTTAAAACAATAAAAAACTAAAGAAAAGCACTAATAAAAAGAAGTAATAAAACTGTATAAAACTTCCAAAAAAACTTAAAAAAAAAGAAGCATTAAAAAAAAAAAAATAGAGCATATTTTTGTATTTATTGTTGTTTCAAGATAAATTAATCTACTATATACCATACGGTACGTGAATCACATAAATATATCCATAGATCAATCATAACGAGATAAAATCAATTGAACCTGCCATGATCTTGGAACATATTATAATTTACGTATCAAAATTCTAGAAATTCTAAAACTTCCTGACTTCCAGAATATTATTATGAAACAACAATGTTGGGGTCAAAAATGCAAGACCTCGGAATCTTCAAATTATTCGGATTAATGGCAGTTGTTCCAAACACGATGTTATTAAACACCGTAATAATTTTGTTTACTTACCAAAGTAATCGAGGCTATGAAAAAATAAAACAAAATGAGACTGGGATCATCTAGAGTACATTAGTGATCGGTGATTCGTCAAATACAAACCATTTTTAGCACAGCGTGTGCTGCTAATACATTTGATATTTCTCAAAGTTCCCTCATACAATAAATCCACCACGAACACATAACGAATCATTGAAAATAAGCCGGCATGCTTAGTCAGGGTTCAGCGTGATATTCTATTGAAAGTTTTTATTTATCTTCTTCCGAACTTAATATATATATATTATTAAAACAACAAGATGTTTATTATAGTATAATTTATCTTGCTAATGTATGATAAATAATAATATTTTAATATAATAAAAACGTACAAAATTCGTATCGGGAAATATCTGAAATTTGTCCACCGCCAACGTTGCGATTTATCGATGAGGGACAAAACATAGCTGTAGGTGAGATTAGGATGGGTGAATAGGAAGCCATGTCTGTAGCTATAGCCTTTTGTTGTCAACTCTTAATCATCAGTTTCCTAAATTATAATAACAGATAACTATGGTACCTCTATAATACTATTTGATAATGACACCGTATACACTAATAATTATTAAATCCGATTAAGGACCGAATATCGTATCCCCCGTGGTATACCTAAATCACGTGTAGCGAAATTTAATACTCCTACCCGTTCTATTAAACTATATTGTTACATTATAATATCGGGTGAAACGGATGCCTTCCGCGTGTATAGTGTCATTACACAAAATGTGTCAATAGTATTTAAAAAAAAAAACATAGTTCTTAAGAGGATGTCCATAATATTGTTTGTACAAACCGTTTCACCAAAGTCTTTAATCTTTGTCGGGAAACCAAAATTCGGCAAAAAAAAATTGAAAAATAAAACTTGCACTAAACAATGTTATTCGATAACTCTAACAATCAAAGGTTTTTTTAAAATTTACAATTAATATGATATTTTATTATTTTATAAAATCAAATAACTATTTTCGTAGTATAGTGACTAGAAGTGCCTTCTACTCTAAGCAAACTTCAAATCCAAATTATTTTTTAAAAAATCTACTTATTATATGGTGATAATAAGGCTCACACTTACTTAAAACTGAAAAGTATGGAAAATCTTACTAGTACCGGTGACAGAAGAAATAAGACTTTTAAATATAAAATATGGCGAATAATTATGTGGACTAATTAATGATTAGCACCGTGAAATGAATATGTAGAAAGAAATTGAATTGTATAAATCATGAGCTTTGTAAGAATACAGTTAATTTAATGGCTGGGACCCGTAATACATTGTAGTGCGATTAACGATATAAATTAATCAGTCATAAATTGGATAGATCTCAAGGCCTGGAGACAAAGATAACTGGATCTTGGTAGATTGGTAGTGTAAGAACTGTGAAAGATAGCTAAAGATCAAACAAGGTGAAGAGAGAATATGATAATGGCATGGTGGCAATTCTTAGAAAGCATCACACAAATAAAAAAAAAGCCTATGTGAGCCTAACGGTGTGAGTTCATCTGTTTATTTTGTATTTGACAATCAATTTAAATATATAAAGTAATACATTTTCATTTATTTGACTATTTTGTGAAAATGCAATGTCTTAAATACTGAAATGGTTTTTATTATAACCTCTAAACCGGATAAGTGATATTAGTATATCATTCAATTACTTAAGTAACTGTAGCTAAACTTCTTTTTAGTCTTTTTGTGAACTCGACACCGTTTGAATTACATAAACAACCTCAGCATTCATTTAAAATTACTTAATGGTGTACAGTAAAGGATGTGGAAAACGGTTTGTAGGACATGTTTAATTCACCGTTAAATTGTATACTTTACAGTCACGGAAAACGGAACATTATATCACATTAAGGTACACTACGTATTATATAAATTTTTAAATGTTTTTTTAAAAGTTAAAATTTTATGATCGTGGAATAATGAATATTTTTATTATCTGCATCAGATGCTATAAGCAACAAATATGAAAGTTGCATTTTTTTTTTTTTTTGTAAATAATGTGATAATATTATATAGAAATAAAATTTAAGATTAGAGATCATTGATAAAATAAAAATACATACAAATTTAGATAAAAAAAAAAACGATTCACAACAATTTAATTGTATACCTAATTAAATAAAGAAAAATAGTCAAAACTTTTTTCGAAATAAAAATATATAATTTCGTTCATTACAGATCATAAAACTATATGACTTACTAAAATAAATAAATATATACCAGATTCGATACACATCTAGTTTCCAAAAATGTTGTATGAATGATGTAATTAAATAATTGAACCATTTTAATAAAAATCAAATATATATTACAGGTATCTATTATTTAATAAATATTTTATAAATAACAATTTTAATAGATTTATCTAGATGATTCAAGTTTTTATTAAAATACTGGCTTGAATAACTTATTTATCATTTATCTGTATTAGAAAATAGATCAAAATATATAGTTAAATAAAATACTTTGTTAAAAAACAAGATATAAGTTATTTTAGTGATAAGAAAATTTAAAAAAAGATCATCACTATATGTTATACTACTATAAGTTTAACACATAAAACCATAATAAGTCATAAAATATCATTCTAATTTCAGGGTCGATATCATTTTAGCATAAGCACCCTCGCTCGTCTAGACCCTCCAAATCTCCACCTATGGAACGAGACATTTGATTTAAAAAATAATAAGCAAACCAATAGATACAATAGGTATTATATAGATTAAGAATTTAACATAATATCTACAAATTACAAATTACCCAAGTAAATTTTGTTTCGATACTTTTTGTGATAAATATGAAGTAAATACATTTTTTTATATTTTTTAATATATTAAAATAAATATCTGTATTTTAAATTTCATGTTAAATTAATAGTTCTTTTCTTAAAAACAGTGGAAACTTTGATATAAAATATAAACACATTTATTATTTTATCGGACCAATGAGTTTTTAATAAGAATTATTTAATGTTTATAAGTTTAACAGGAAGTTAATATAGAAAGTGGTTTTCAGAAAATAGATAGGAAATTTAAACACTTTTCTATTGAACTATTTTCAACTTTAAACTCAAACTATTATAATTTAAAACTTATAATGTTGTGTACCGCAGTTAGTTCGTGATAAGCATATTTTGTATGAATTTATTATAATATAACATATTTTGTTTTCGTATTAATATAACTTAATGGAATTTGTGTATTTTATAAATACATTTTCAGGGAGTTTTTAAAGATTGTCTCTTGGAAACTTTGTTATTTTTTTCTTTTATTTCCTTATTTTAAATTCATATTGGCTATTAGAAATCATATAACATAAAAAAAAAAACCTAATAAATGATGGTTATTTAACAATTTTCCGAAATGACATTTTATATTATTATATAATATGCGCACTGTGCAGCGAACCACATAACGAACGATAAATTTTGTAGGTATCTATACTACGTGTATATAGTCTTTTATGCATTTACTATGGAATTTTTAAGAAATATTAAATAACTAATCTAAAAAATGTACTCTAGAATTGTTTTTACAAAGAAAACATTTACAACAAACAATTCAACTATTTTAGATTTCCAATAAAAGTTCGTTTAAAAATATTTATCAATAATATATGTACAATAATATAATTTGGAAAACTCTGGAATACTCAAATAATGGTTGGAAAATATAATATTATACAGTATAATAATGAGATATATTTTATTTACATCGTTTTTATTATACTTTTGTGGCCTAAAACATCTTTAAATGAATATAACAAAATTTTGAATAGAACTTATATATGTACGTATATATATAAATGTGTACGAGTATAATGTGCCAGCTAAAGAACCATTGAAAATTTGATAAATGTTCAAATTTCATGAAACTTTTTTGCCTTTATAGCAGTAACAACGGTGCAAGGTTTTGTTCGTTATGGGAATACAACTTTAAATACTAAATCCAACCCTCCCCTCCCCATTTATACTACAAACCACAAACAAATAATAATACATAATTTATTTATTATTTTATTTGCCATTTTGAAAAACAATTTATTTTATTAAAAAAAAAAAAAAAATCTTTACATTAATATGATAATCTACATTAGAGTCATAAAGTGTATTGGAATTTCTGTCCCGTCTATACGGGAAAAAAACCTCTTTAAAGTACCACCAACAGAACATTTTTTTTCAGAAAAAGTGTTATATTTGATAATCTTAGTAAGTTTTCTGTTAGAATTAGTATTCGCATAGATAAATTAAAAAAATTAAAAATAGACATTATTGTAAAACCAATACATATACGCTCCCCTCAGAATCGAAAAAAATAACTATTTTGGAGATTTTAAAACTATTGTTTTAATATTTTTAGTATTAAATATTGGTAAGAGTATGCGATTATTCTGTCATCCAAGCAACGAGCAGCAACTGCGCAGTCTATAAATATCTTTATTTCAATAATTTAAAATTAATATTAATATAATAAAAAATACATTTGAAACGACGACGTATTATTATTCACTATTCTTCCAAACTGTTGTATTCTTGTTTACACTTCATCTTTTTTAGCCGTTATGCCTGAAACACGTTTAACCGTACCCCGTGTACTTAACTACCTACTATATTGTAAACATAATATTAATAGTCGACTAGGGAACCCAAAAGCATTTTATTTCTTCGTTTAAGAATAAACTGTTATTCGCTCTTTTCTGAGAACCACAACGACCGCGCGAACGTACGTATTTAGTTAAGGAAAATAAAATTCGTAAAGCCGTAAATTTAAAACCATTGTCTTACAGTCTTATAACAATATAGTAAAATATTTAACGTACCACTATAAAACAAAATACATTTAAATTAATTTTATTAAATTATAATATATTTAAAATTGTTTTGCTTCAAAAATATTTTATGTACGAACATGTGGGTAAGTTTTCGTTTAAAAATCTAGCTCTGATCTTTATTTCACAAAGCAAAGTCTCGTAAAAATTATTGTCTAGTAACTCAATACCAGACGTCATTATTTGATTTTAGTTGTATTAATATTGTTTTAATATTTCGGAAATATGTTATGAAATTTGGAATATTTAAGCAACATAGTTTCTATCGATTAGTTTAGAGTCTGAAAAGAACCCAAAAAGTTCATACTTTTACTAATATTTTATTAGTTTTTTCTTTGGATTATTTTCCTACCGAAGAACTTTCTCTGATTTTTTAGTGTAGAGCCTTGTATGATATGAAATCATTGTGGGGAGGTACTTTAAGGAAGTCATTTATCGATTTTCCGATTAGTTTTCTCAACAAATGTGAAAAACCGAAAACTCTGAGGAAAATGGGAAAATGTACGAGAATATCTACAGTAATAGTTTAAAAAAATATTACAGCCTTTTAATTTTTGTAAACAACTTTTCTGTTAACAATTTTCCTTTGGTTTACTATGATAGCAATTTGTCTAAATGAAAATCTGACTAAGGAGATACCTTAAAGAGGTCATTTTTTGATTTTCTCTTTAGTTTTGCCAATAATTGAGAAATCCGGGAAAATAGGTACACTATTGAACAAATACTTTTAAATAAAATATGTAATACTTATGTTATTATTTTACCATGATATGATGTATATATTATCAACATAGTAATTACAATTACAACTGAACTCCGTTCAGGTGTAATCGTTGTTAGCAGATATACGTTAAGTTAACTATAACAGAGGCTGCGCCCGTCCCTATTATACTATAACTATTTTATTGTGTGTTCCATGGCAATTCAGTAATAAATAATAATCGTATTGCCATGCAATTTTTACTGAACACAAATTAATTCGATCCCTATAGAATTATATGATTTTCAAAATATTCTGGAGCTATCCATGGTGTGATATTGTATCAGAAATTTTTGTACTCGATGGCTTTCTTAAATTTATTTAATTGTAGACAATTATGTAAACAATTTATTTAATTTATTTATTTAACATTGTTGAAAACGTAAAAAAATATATTATTCTATACATACATGTAGCATTATTGCATAAACTTTGCGCCGTGTTCAATATTATAATAACTTTTCCAAAACTTAATATAATAATAATAATTCCTTCTTATATACATAGTAAAATTTCAAATTAAAAATCGATCATATATATTTTTATGTTTTTTTTTGTTTATAATATAATAGCAAACATTAGGTAAATCGTGTCAAAAATCATCGATTAGTAGCCACATACATTCAATATTATATTTATTCACAAAAAACAATTTTTTTTATTTTTATAAATTACTTTTTTTGTTTGTTCATGGGTTATTGTTAAAAAAAAGAGGAATTTTTTGAAACGCATTATATATTTAAAAATAAGGCCCGTTGCATCATTTATATAGTATGCAAATAGAGTAATTGACAATGATAAATTTATTTATTTTTTCTAATACAATTCAAAAGCGAACATTATTGACTTTTTCTTTTATTGTACATTTTATATAATATCATTAAACACGGGATATATTCAATTTGACATTTTGTTCATTGCAACGCGGATATCGTCCCAAAATAAACCGAAAATTAATTATTTACCAAACGATACGAAAGTGTAAAATTAATTTGATCATTATATTCATTATTAATTACATAAATATATTATTGTTTCATTTTCATTAAAATATGTATTGCTGGTAAAATATACAGGCTGTAATACAAACATCGGACATCAATAAAACGTTTGCAATGTTTAGTACTTTTAAGTTCTTATTTAATTGTATTAAAATTGAAGAAGTGTTGCTTATTGTTTTATTTTTTACCATAATTTTTTCACAAAATAAAAAAAATTAATTTTGAAAATAAATGTAGCTGTAGCAAATATTTACTTTTAATAAATCGTAATTTAATTCATTTTTTTTTAAAGTTTACTATAGTTTAAAATGTATCACTATCACCACTAAATAAGACCAATCAGACCAACAATTATTCGGTAAAAATATTTTTGTAATGATTTTAGTCAATTTCAATTTTTTTTTATTTAAATAAATTGAAATTTTTCATTTTAAATTTCAAAAAAGAAATGTATAAATAAGAGGAAAAATCTAGTAAGTTATACAAAAAAATAAAAATAAACTAAACAGATTGAATGTTATTTGAAGTCTAAAATCGCCATATTACACTAACCGATCGCGAATTTTTAAATGGTAATTTTTAGAAATCTCTAATGTGCCGTATAAAATAGTACAACTCGTCGAAATTAACACGATAGATATTTATGTTTATCGACAACCGATTTTACGGTAATTTCGTAATTATAATGGATCACGTAAAATTCGTCATCGAAATTATTTACAAATTACAAATGAATTAATATTTATATTATTTTCCCTGCGTGAAATGCGTTAGTATATATTGATCATGTATACAAAATATAATATATTATACACTATATAGAGCATATGTATATATACACCTAATTATTTAAATTTTGGCGATTACATCCCATCTATTTTCAATTAAGCAAAATGGTTCTTGGTCATTCTATTTCTAGTAAAAATATTTGTTACAAAAAAAAAAAATTAATTAAAAATCACTTATATTAATATTAATATTTTTTAAATATATCATATCAACTTAAGTATATAAACTTAATTATATAATTATAACTTTACTTATATAATTGCAAAATATACAGTTCTTTGGTTAAGAAATATCTTCATAATAATTTATTAAACAGTTGCAATTAAATATAAAAATTATTGGCTCTATAGATATATTGCTTCTTAGAGTTTTTCATATAGGATAACTTTTTTAGTTGAGAAAATATTGTACTAGATCAATAGTTTAAAATATTTTTTAGCTCACACTTCCTTTGTAGATTTTCAAAAACGTCACGTCTCTACTCAGTACTTCGGTACACCGTAGTGAGCGATTGGTGGTAACATATATATGATTAAGATGGTGAATAACGGAGACATACCGGATGGAAAAGATAACAAACAAAGCAGTCCTAGAAGAAGTTAAAATAAGGCACATTTATATAATGAAACGTAAAAAAAATTTAATTGGCCGCTTGATGAGACATAATAATTTCATTCCAACGTCTAGAAAAACAGAACAGCAGGAAGACTCCGAAAGTCAATTTTCGATGATATCAAGCAACTGATGCGATGTCTTAAGATCATGATGATGATAATAATGATGATGATGATTATGATGGTGTATATCAAGCAAGAAATGTATAGCACTATTAACATAATGAAATAAAATATACAAGTACTAGTTGTTTTTCTTATTTTCTTAAAAAAGTAAAGATTATTAGAACCTTTTAAAAAAAATAATACCTATTTTAATTCAAGAGCTCTATTTGATCAGTAGTGTTTCAACATGTAAAATCGGTTGTGTAGTTATATAACACCAGTTTAATTTCTACTACTACATTATTTACATTTGTTAGATACATTTCTCATTCTTAGTATGTTCTCTATATAAATAATAAACTTTTCGCTTATAAATATTACTATCTCTAAAAATAAAACTAAGCTAAGCTCGAGTTATAGTTAACGATTTTATAGGATTTACATTATTTTATTAGTTGGTCAAATAAAACAAATGTTTACTTATATTTCCTTGGCGAACCGAATACAAACTCTAAACTTTTATTTGAACTGGACCAGAACAAAGGAACTACTATTATTAGTTGTTGCAATTAACCAAACATATTGATATAAAACTATTGTCCATATATTATTTATTTTAAAAGTTTAAACCCGGATTTGGGGTTTAATTTTTAGTCCCCCCCACTCTACAGTGGTGTTACAATATCACACGCTCATCTACCATGTATTTCTAGTTAGCTAGAACAATATTTTCTTAGTCAAAGCGTCTGGTAAAATTATAATGTAATACATACAAATTCAAACTTCGTATTTTTAAACAGTATTTAGTGTTTGATTATTTCTAGTTTTGATATTTATAAAGTATTTAAAAGTTTATTATTATTTACAATTAATACTAAATATAATAAACTATACTCATATTGTTATTTATGGACTTGAAAATTTGAAAAACTAAGCATTATTTTGTATTTCTCATCTGTATAAAATGCGTTTGCAATTCAATAAATTGAAAATAGTTAACTGTTGTGTTATACATTTTAAAATGAGATAATTCGACCATTCGTACCAATAAGTAAAACAAATGTTCCAAATTACCTTAAATTGCAGAACTGTACTTATAATAATACATTGTTAATATCTTGGCTTACTTGAAATAATTAACATTGAAAATATGTATCATACAATTCATTTTCTATCTGTTTAAATCGAATTCGTATACGATTAATATTACATTATTATTGAACACACGCATCTATAGCCTTCATATCAGTATCTATTGATTACTTTTGCCTCTTTCAAGATTTCTTTACTACATGCAGCAGCAGTCACACACCACCATATAGTAACGTTTCAATGTCTATGGCGAATAAAATCTAATATTACATCGAAAACCACGTTGTTGATATTATTTATTTCGTAAATCTATTTTTTCGGCCATCATTTTTCTCTATTCGCCGCGTTTCAGATTAATGGTTTTAATGCGTTACACAACTACAGCTCCTTTTATTCTTCATTCTTCTTCCGCTGACGGTATACGTGTGTCTTCTGTTCGTAGTTATTTTATACTTAGTACCCCAAATTTTCAGCGTCATCAATTTATATCCGTTACAAAAAAAAAAAAAAAAAATAAAGTGCTCATTATATTTTTCCGTAGAGAAAAAATATATATATATATTATTATGTGAACCCATACTTGTATATATAATATTTCAGTAAACAAAACACACAAATGTGATTTTTTCATAATAGTATTATATTTTCACGTGTTAGCCTTTTGGTTTTGTTTTTTTTAATACCTATTGTTACCGTGGTGTTATGCCTCGAACTATAGCCATTACCTCACCTCTGTGGCCGCCATCCGAAAAAAAAAAATAAATATTAACTCATATTGTATGAGTATAGCGTATTATAAATGCGTGTGAAGGAGTTTATGAGCTCGTAATAATTATTGTAACTAGCTCATAATACGTATACATATACATGTATAAAAAAGAATATTTATCTTCAAAAAAAATCACAAATTCTTAGTATAATAAACGTGTATTAAAATATTTTAGAGCAAGTACGATTTTGAGTATACTGATCCATGGTGAAATATTTCTCAAAAATTTAAAATTTAATTGTACCTATTTTAATACTTTAATACTTTATATACTTTATAACCTCTGAAATTTGATGCTGAAAAATAGCTCTGATAGAATGAATAAAAATGAGGAGTAGAATAATTTAAATGAATTTAGTTTAGAATTTAATTTAAATGAAACAAGAAATAATTGGATCAAAAATTTAAAAAAGAATAACGATAAAAACAATAATTTTCAAAGGCTATGGGTAATAACAATAATCATAAAAAAGAGTTAATGGAAAAAAAAAGGAAGGGGAATACCAAGGTTGTCATTTAAAAATCAAATGATGGAAGATACGAGGATAAACAGAAAATATTATGATATGATGAAGAACTTAGAAGAACTGCATGTTTAACCAACTATATATTTAATAAACCATCTGGTTCTCTGTTTTTCTTCACGAATTGTAGGTATAATTTATTTATTTCATATTTTTATGTACTACTTTCTTGTATTTCCTCGTATGCACATGCAGTAGAATCAAATTAGGATTAAAGAAGAGGAGGTAATAAGTGGAAGGAATAGAGGAAGAGGAAGAAAAGCGACATGGGAAATATATGAAATTATAAAGCGGTAATAGGTATAGGTATATTCATATTCGTATCTACGACGTATATGAATGCGCGATGATCTATCGATTAAATCGATAGGATGATTGACGGCAGTGTTGCCACAACGCTCAATTGGTCGAATAATACCTTGAATAGACTCGCAGCGTAATATGTTGACAAAATTGATATAGTGTGTATGTAAATGGTCCTATGTATGTGTGCGCGGATTGTATAGTAATATACGCGCGTGTACTTATATTGTGTCGATAAAAATAAGTACCTATTATATTTATTAACGACGATTATTGCCTATCGTAAGAAGTTATATTTCTCTTCTGCCTATTTTACTCTTATTAATATTCTTCTGCGAAAATATGTAAAAATTACATTAGCTTCATATTTTCTGCTTGGGGTTCGAAAGAAATTCGTTGCTAAAATTATTAGGAGCAAGATAAAAGGGATATGGTATAGTCAAATCATTGCAACGTATACACCTTGTTAGGTACCCGATAGACGTGTGAATATTTCTTTTTAACTTCAGCTCGCAATGCAGCAACCAGGTGTACAGACAATGCTAGTGTTAGCGAGAATCGTATTTTCTCCACCGCCCTTTCTAAGAGTATAGACAACCATCTCACGGAGGTCAACGAGTTAGATTTCGGCACTACGACCACGTCCGTTCTGTATTCACAACCGATCAACCAGTTGCGTATAGACAACCGTTTTTCAGTATGTGTATAGCCGTCTACGTACCGGAATATTATTTATGTATTTTTTAAGAAATAAACACAATCTATGTTAAAACAATAGTGATAACAAGCACATTTACCAGGTGTATAGGATAGGGGGACAAAATAAATGAGCTCGCTTTAAATATCTGCGACTACTGTATAGGTTTGGAAAAAAAATGTTTTGTTGGAGTGAGTGAGCAAAAAAATGTCTGCTTCTACTGGCCGAACTCGAGAAAGTGACAACTCACGGTCAGACTGGCATAAAGGATTTTTTGTGACGCGCATGGCATATTTATACCTTCCGTGATCTTTCGCATAGACGATTCCTACTTCACCATGGTAGCTACACGGGCGTCTATTTTGTGAGCGACGCGCGTAATTAATATTTTGAATTAATCTGTGCAGTATTAAGGTGGAAACACTGTTTAAGAGATATTTGTGATAGAACTGGTAATTTTGATGTCTAACCTTGTTCATTTATTTTACAAGTATTAAATATTCAATATATTACATACAGACCAATTCTACTTAATAAGTTTATTTCGAAAAGCTGCAGTTCATAATTATCTCATTTACAAAATGTCCATGTTTCATCTCTACCATAGTATACCAAGCCAATTGGATAGCTGTTTGACAATCGTATGAATTTCCCTTTCGTGTTTAACTCCAATCTTTTTAATGATTTTAACATGAAGAATATATACAAATAAAATCACTAAAAGTAATATTATATTGCCAAATCAAATCAAATTAAACTGAGATTCAAATTCCGAGTTTTTTTTTTTTTTAGCTTTACATACTATTTATAGGCTTTTAGCTGCAAAAAATATTTTTCGATCTTTTTTTCTTCTTTACCAGACAAGACCCATCCATTCGTGCCTTGTGCTCCTAACAAACTGAACCGCATTTTCTCTTATATAAAACATACTTAATTAATTATTTGATCTTATTTGCTATTTCTGCTCTTCGAAATTATGTATTGAAACATGTGTTTTCCTTAGTAGCTTCTTCTTAAATTTTATGAGTTTTTCTTCGTCACTCTTCGTAGTGGCCCACGTGACACAGTTATATAAACGACTGGTCTCACGTTGGTAATATATAGTTGTTTATGATTTATGTTTTGATCTAAAAAGATTTGACACAGCAAAGTATCACCTATTTGTCACGGATAGCATAATAATAATTTTGCCATGTATAGAATTTTGCCCACCTAATACCTGTCTTATACCTAGATATATACACTCTCAAGTTACTGGTGAGAAATGAAACTAAATGTTTTAAATTTTTAATCCTTTTTGTTCTATTTTACGATATAAATAACAAATATCTGATGAAGAATTCGTTTTACAGGATAATATTTTAGATTCTCAAGGGAGCTACAATAAATTCTTATACTCTCATGGAAGTATTTTTTTCTGGTTTTCAGCAACCCCTTTAGGATTGAAAAAATGCTAAAAAAAGTTCCATGCGTTATGTTCATAGATTATTAATCGAACAGAATAGGAATTTCGAACATGTCATTTTTCGAATTTCCCAGTTCAATGGCCAGAAAATCACAAAATACTAATAAACTAGTGCGAAAAAAAAATGTAATGGGATGGTATACTATTTTATTTATAATTTCAAACTACACTCGGATACGTTTTTTGAACTAGACAATTTCAGATAATGTTACACTATGTAGTGTTTATATATGATACGCGACCTCACTAATTTTTGTTCAAATAGAACGTGAACGACGTGTACAACGTTTATATTTTTAATGAATTTGAACGATTTTTAAGACGTTCAATTTATTTACCATTTAATAAATGTATGTAGAAGATATATAATAAGTTAATAATTTTATATGATATAATAATGTTTTCGGATTTTCCTATTATAATTCCTATTATATATTTTAAATATTTGATGGCAAATATTATCAAAATTAAATACATGAAATTCCAACGGGCCCGGCTCGACATAAAACAACAATAACATTATTATAAATTCCCTGAATTTTTAATAATTTGGTATACCTAATCTAATACTGCTAATTATAATAAAAATGAATAAAGTGTAAACGTATAGAGGTATATCGCAATCGTATGCGCTATAATAGGCTTTATCGTTTATTATCTGCACCCTCAAATTTAAATTTAATTATTTGGAATTACAAAACGATACTGGGACGCACAGAACACACAGAGAATTATGATTGTTATGAAATGTGTACCTACTGTACAGGTATACTATTCATAGAAAAAAAAAATGAAATTGATGATCTGAAAAATAAATACGGTCGTTCATTTTTTCAAAAATCGTGAACGTGAACAAGTCCGTTTAAAAAATACACGAACGTGAACGAATTCATTTTTTTGGTAAACGTTCCGAACACTAGAAACGCAACTACTAAACTATAACAGGAACGCAAGTATGAAATAAGAAATATATTGATGTGGGAAAGCTAATAAATATAAATACAATAACAACAACAAAATGCAATAAACAAAATATCAAAAATATATCATGCGTCAACCGGTTAGAGTAGGTCAGACATGTATAGAGACAATTAGATAAAAAAAAAATCGCCAAGATTATAAACATATTCGGGAAACGATCACATGAAAGAACTTATCGGATGAATATAAAGTAGACTATAAGATCGGTTAAAAACCTTTGGCATAAATAGAGAAGTTTAATGGAAACTTCTAGAAATTTTTATTGGTTGTAAAGCAATAAAAACAAATATGCCTAAATATTTTTACATATTTAAACTGTATACATAACTTTGTTTGTCTTCATAAAAATATATAAATAATGGGTATTTGTAAAACGTTTAAATTGTATTATAATGAGTTAACATGGTCCATTTTCATTGCATTCAGTCTAAAATAACATCATTTATTAAATTATATAATAGGTGCCTAAACCATAAGACGTGCATTGGTACAATACGACGGCACTTTTAAACGTAAAAATCTGCATTCCGAAAATATCGATACACTTTTAGATTGTGAACGTAGAGAGGGAGCTATTGGTTTTACAATGCTGTTTATTTATTTCTTTGTCCTAGACTAAGGACACGTTTTTTCCAAGTAAACTTAATCCGATTTTTACGTGTAGCAACTTCTCTGAAAGCTTAAATTGTCTTTATGGTACGTTAAAGAAGTTATTTTTTGATTTTCGATGCAAATTTTTAAATAAAAACACGTAAGTGGAAAAAATCGAATGTAAACGCACTATTTCACGTTTTTATTATTTTATAAAAACACAGGCGTCGTTTTCTACCAGAAAAAATGATTTAATCGAAAAATCACAAGATATCTTTTTTGTTGCGTTTTAGTTTTAGTTGTTTTTACACACGATTCGATATAGGTAGTATATATTGGTTTAATACTTAAACTGCAATTCCGTTTACAGTTTGATGTTTATCTGACGACGTTTGCGTTATCTAGCGGTGAAAAAGTTTCTTCATACAAGTCTGTCAACTACGTTACTAGATAGCGATGCAATGAATATATATTATTTGGAATTTGGCGATTGTTAAAACTCTGTAATACATTAGTATCGAACTCGTTAATGTTTTTTGTCCTTTAATTTTTTTGAACCTACGACCATTTTTTTTTAAATTTGTTCCCCAAACTTGTCCCAGACTTACTTATGCAGATTACTCTGCGTAATCACCTTACGCACTTAGACACTATAATATAAGATGATTTTTTTTTATGATTGAACATACATAATTTCAAAAAAAAAAAAAAGGTTTGGCAATTTAAGAAAGATGCAGATCTGAATGTCACATCGCCATTATTTTTTTTCAAAATAATTTGAGTAGTACAACTTATACCAGCTTTGATCTTCAAATCTTAACCTATACTAAATGTTCCACACATCAAAAAATGGAAAAATAATGGTAATGCAACCTTTTAGATCTAATAGTTTCTTAAATTGTTTAAATATTTTTCTTTTTTTTCTTTTATAGTCTATTCTATACTATACGAAATAATGAGTGTTTAACAATATAAAAAAAAAACACCTATTTGTATTTTATTATTATATACTGTAATGGTAGGAACCCGAAAATATCTTTAACAACTTTCCAAGGCCGCGTGCAAATATGTTAACTTTTAGCACATGTCTTTCATTTTTTTGTTATTAATAATGCATTTTTATTCCAAGACACCCAAAAATAATAATATATTCGTCAAAATATAAATTCATAAAATTTCGATGGTAATTTTGTTTCAGGAAAATCAAAATTCTTAATTATCTACAATCTTCGGTTGATCATTTATCCATTCAGAACTATTTACATAATTTACACTGATTTATTTAGTTATTTTCTGATAGTCTGTTTTCGATTAAGAAGTTTGCCACCATAAACTTTCACTTCAGCTTTGACCATTTTGGTCAATGCAATATACTAAATGTTCGCCTTAGGCCATACGCTCATGGAAACTTAACTATACAAAGCTTTTGCTTTTTAACTAGTTTAATTATTTTAATACACGAAGCATGACTTAATGCAAAATACATAGATTATAAATTAGATGAATTTACTTTATTCTTCAATAAACAAAAATCAGTGCCATTTTTTTTATATGATTTACGTTTTGATGATTCTAGTTAAAGAAAATAAATAATTACTTTCGTCGGTTTTATCTGTGGAACAACAAGACAAGTATGATTATCCACAAAGAAATAATAAAATATTATGGTGCTAACAAAATTCTGGAAAATTAAACAAAAAAACAAAAGACAACTTCGTCATGGTTCTAATAAATACCAATACTCAAATAAAAAATGTGTAGGTTTTATACATCACATCTTGAATTAAAGTCAAAATTAAATAAAGTAAAACCGCATCTTTTTATGATGACCTAAATACCTACAAATAAATTAAATTTTTAATCTGTTTTATTAGGAGTTCTTTGTTTATAAAAACTTCTTTCTTTTTGTTTCCTAAAAAGTTTAAAAGTTTCGAAAAATAAAGCTGTCTGGTCACTGCACAAAACCCTTTTTTGCAAAACGATGTATAAGAAATTACTTTTTGCGTATGACACGACGAAAAGAGTACAATAATTTATGTGTTCTTGGTGTAGGTTATTTTTACTTTTAGAAAGAGGCTTTGTTCCACTTTATCTCGAAAAACACTCATTTTTAGTTAGATAACGTGCTTAAAAAAATCCCCAATACTGCAAGGACTTAAAAGATACATAGGTACATTGAACACAGTTAGTAGATATTTGAAAGGAGTCATTTTTCTGAATTTTCCGGATCAATGGTTTGAAAATGGCGAAAAACTGAAATAAATATTAAAAAAAAAAATACGGTAGAAATAATACAAACAATTCTTGTCTGTCTCTTTGTGGCTCACTAAAAAAAGTTTTCCAATTGTTTTTTTTAAATTATTAAAATTGATTTTCCCAATTTGTTATAATTACGAATAATGTTTTACGACGTTTATCACATATTTAGTAGGTACGTATTGTGTTTTATTAAACCACTTTTTATTTTGTTGGTTTGTCATTAGAATAGAAAAATAATTAATTTGTTTGATTTTGTATATTCCACTACTTTTCAGAAGATGCTTATTATTTTTTTAAACAATGTGGGGTAATTTTTTTCACTTCTTTTACGTAATAAAACATTTAAAATGTTTCTATAAAATGTATGCAACACGTTAAAAAAAGAAGGAATATAAACTTGTAATTAAAATGCATATATAAAAAAAAACTTTTTGCCTACTACTTTGCGCTTAATATTTTTTTTCATCAGTAATTACAAACATGATGAACCTTTTTGAAAAGTCTAAAGTATTTCTACTAGTTTAAAACAGTTCTGTCAATATAAAACTAAATATAAACGACAAACTCGGTAATATCTAACATTTAAAAAATAGCTCTAAATCTAAGGGAAAAGTGTTCTGTAAATGTCTGTTCTCTACGATTATACGAAACCAAATAACTACAAAAAATCCGAATCGAAATAATGATAACGTTATATCCGTTAATACAACAACTGTTGCACGTTATTGGGTAATCTCATGTGTGTGTATGTGTGTGCGTGTGTTAATTCTGTCAATTATCTTAAGGACCTAGAATCTAAAAGACGGCGTCAATACCTTACTTAATACTAAATAATGAATAACAATATCCCAAATAACACAAAGCTATTAAAATATAATTTGTGCCCTTTTCGTTTCGATATTATGCACCGCTTAAATTATAATAATCACAAATAATATCAATGAAAGTTAAATTAATGTTCGAATATTCATATAAAAAGTGAAAATGAAAAAAAAAAAATTATAATGTGTATATAATTTAATAAATCATGGTAAACCTAACCATGTTACGCGATAATATCGGTTTTCACACGGATTAGTAGAATTTAAAATGGCCGTTACTTAGAAAATATTCATCGGATATATATGTGTGGTACATTAAAATGTCTAGGAAAATATTCTTTACAGAATTTTTATATTAAAATTTTTCCGTAAATAGTAAAATATAAAGTTATTTTTTTAATTAAAAAAAAATGAATTCAAATTTAAATATTTGTAGTCCTCTTTCTTTTGAGTAATGTAAAAAAAAGAATTTGATTATCTTTATTATCTCCGGAGATATTCAAGGGGTATATCTTCGTGGGAAAACATGTATAAAATCTATGGTTTAATATTATTATTACTCGTAAAGAATTATGTGACTTAAAGGCCAGATTTTACTTGCGTAAATTCATAACACGTTCTAAAATAACACAGTGATGATACTGTTTTTACTCCAGCAAAACCGCTGCTGTTATCACATTAAATAAATCCTAAAATCGGTTAAAACAATCGACTGATTTTAAAATTGAACAATTAATTATTTTAAACATATATGAAAAAAATAACTTTACAACAATACTATATGGGCTACTGTCTATCGATTTGAATTAGTTTCCAAGGAAAAAAAAATGAACAGAAATGTCCCTATTATTGTTTATGCGAATTGACAAATTTTCAACGATTCTTACTAAACAAATAAAAACACTACATTGGCTATATAAAACGATTGATTTAAATACATTGAAAACGAATATATTATTAAAAAAAATTAGTTTGTATTAAACGTAAATGCAAACTTTGTTTTTTAGATCCATCAATTCATAATACTTATACTTTCGTCTTATATCGTACTTTTTATCTGCCTATATTGTAATAAAGGTTTAGTTTATTGATACGATAAAAAAAATTATTTCGAAAAATATAAAAGTAAGCAGCGACAAGAATACTAAACGCGTTATTCGACAAAGTTACAACTAAATTAGATAACTATAACGGCCCACGTAGTTTTATTAAAAATGTTTACCGACAAAATAATACAAAAATTCTGATGACAAAAGAAAATCGCATTACATTCTCATCTCCTATATACCAAACTATAATAATGATAATATAAAAATATACTTTTTAAAATACAAACTTTGATGTAGAACTTGTTATAAAAAAACATTCGCTAGTAAATATTTGATCATTTATTTTTTTTTTTTAATATTAAATATTTTTTGCAGATCTTTTTGTATTAAATACAATTAATTAGTCCACAAACTTTGAGGCATGATAAACATAAAATACTATATACGATAAATATCATGTGCATAATTTTTTTTTTAATTTCTCGATCATTTCACCATCTAGTCTGCCACCTTCCAATATGAGAAAACTAACAGATACCATATTGAAAAATCACCTTTATAACAATATGAAGTGTCATATGTATCCAGTTTTCAATCGATAAAATATACGAGTGTGAAAATCTTGTGAGTATTATATTATTTTGCGAGCTCCAGGAATATTTGTTTAAACAAAACATTTGTTTAACTCACTAAAGTCTACTCGGGTGCTCCATACTAAGATAATTTAGTCCTTGCATAAAATGCCTGAAAATTGAAATCGTTTACAACATATTTTCTGTTAAAAAAACAATTTATAATACATATAGGTGATATTTCACTTAGGTGTGTATACTCGTAGATAGGTTAGACCCCATATTTTTCTTTCTTTTGTTTACATAAAGTATACAATTTTGGATGTCACGTCATTTCGACGCGATAATTTCGAAGAGAGACATTTGGGCGCATAACACATTTCGACGCATTTTTTTTAAAATTATTATTGAGTTATTTTTCAAAATAAATTATTATTAAATATACAATAAATATATTTAATATATTATGTTTAATAATAAATTTATAAAACACATAATATTTAAGCATTTATAAAGCTGGACAATGTTAAAAAAAAAAAAACAAAATTTTCACGTGTCATGGGAAAAATGAAGAATTAAAAAATTATTAAAGTTAAACTGTTTTCGGAAAATCAAAAATATCAAATTGTATTTTTTTTGGAAAGGGAATAAAACAAAACGATCTGATATAAGGGTGTTTCACTATTGTACGTGAAAAGTTAAGAAAGTAAGATTTATAAAGATATTTAATTTATATTTTTGTAAGCAACGATTAAACATTGCTAACGAATAACGATTCAGAGTGAACTTCGGATATACATGTTTTGAAAGGTTGTTATTTTAATTACGGTTTTCGTCAACATTTGATACTGTTTTACTATAACTATGATAATAAAAAAAATAGTACATTAAACTCAAATTTGTATTTTTAACCACTGATTAGTAAAACCTATAATGAACTACCTGTTAATATTTTAAGCATACCTGTTTAGTCAAACATTACTATCCACAAAGTAGCTAAGCAAATAAAACTGACGTAAAACACTGATAAAATTAAAATGCCTATAAATAGCTCAAAAATTGTTTAAATATTTAAACATTTTAAAAATGTCTAGTGTCTACAAAAGGTAAATTAAAAAATTCTGTTAATTTGTCAAGTTTCTATGATTTTTTAAATAAAATTATAAAAAAAAATATAATTTGAAAATAACAAAATTATTATTTCTGGAAACTACCCCATTCTTTTGATGTGTTTTTACAGCATTGCTAACTTATTAAAATAACAAAAGATTAAATCCATGAACGATTTTTTTTCTCACCAAACACATTAAAAATGCAACAAGAAAGGTCATTTGACATTTTAATATTGAAGCAATATTTCTAATAGAAAACATCGTACAAAAAAATTTAAAATAATGAAATCGCCGTACAATTTGATAGGTTTTCATTTTTCGTTTTTTCCCGGTTTTCTCAATTATTATGAAAACTAATTAGAAAAGAAAAAGCGGCTTTCTTCGTAGACATTTTGATCCAAATAATAAAAAAATAGTTAGGTTACGTTAGAAAGAAATTTATCTTAGCATTATTTTTGGATTAAAGAAATATTTCTGTACAATATTGTTTGCAAAAATTAAAAACAATGAAATCGGTAACGCTGTGTATGCCACCGTAAATGCGTTTTACCTATAATATGATCTTTTTCCCAATTATTTTGAAATTCCTTTGGAAAACTAAAAAATTACCTCTCTAAATGATTAACTAAATCAAATTATCATTCAGAATACTTGACACATCGGAGAAAAATTACTTTTTTAATTTTTTTACAGACAGAAAAAATAAAAATGTATATATCTATGTATAAAACATAGATCATTAATAAAACGCTTCGCTACGCACTAAATTGAATTTAAAATACACATCATAATAAAACCAATACATACCTCACCATATTCCAAATCTAAAATGCTTAAACCCTTTTTTTTTTAAATTTTATTGTACATTTATCATGTGCATCATACAGTATTACTGTATTGAGTAATACTGTATACACAAGTTATCCGAATGCTAATATTCTTACAATCGGGTTTTGTGTTAGGGGAACACAAATAAAGAGAAAAACTTTTTTTTATTTTTACCTCTTAATTACTGAAAAAACAGGTTTAATTTTTAACTTTAAAAAATTCTCAAAATATCTATTTTATAAAATATTATGTTCTAAACAATTTTAAAGGATCATAGGTATATACAATAAGTAGTATATAATATAGTATATCCGTTCAATATTTTCTTAATAATAGCTGAAATATTGTTATATTTAGCCAGTTTTATTACCTTGTTTCACGACTACGATTGACTATCGCGTAACTGTTGGTAGTATGGTTTTTCACACCTTTCTCTAGATATTAAAACGGCTATCACTAAGAAGCTACTGATCGGATATGAATGTAAGAAACATTATAATTTTCAGGATAATATAATTTAAAAATTAGCTATCATGAAAATCTTATCATGTATAAAATAATGTCAATTTTTTCAATGATTAAGGGATGAAAATTAAAATTTAATTTTCCTCTACATTTTTCCGAAAATATATTTGTCTGAAAATTTACATTTTATTTTTTGAATTGAAAAATGTTGAATTTATCGAACTACGAAACTTTCAATAATAGTCTAAATGTATTATTAAATTAAATTGAAATAATATAATAATATATTATTAAGTTTAAAAACTATCATTACTTGGAAATATCATTAATAAAAAAAATAAAGCTAATTATTTGTTAGATGCTGATTGTGATACAATAATTTTTTTTTATTTTGAAGAATTATGAATTATATTTTTATTTTTTTATAACTTTTTAACCATAAAGTTTTAAGTTTTTATAAGTATTTTCTGAACTTTTTTTAAAAAATATTGAACATAAAACGTTTTATATATTTTTAGATATTGAAATTTGTTAAAAAATTGATTGTTTTTTTTCATTTCGTGTGCATGTGATTCCAATACCAAGTATAAAATACCCCCCCCCCCCCCCCGGTAAAAAAATCCTACAATAATTTTACATTCGGTAAAAATATCCTGGGTTATTCTTACTCCATAATTTTAGATGGGTAAAAATCAGAAAAAATTTACCTTTGGTAAAAATATTTGAGGATTACCCTTTCTGAAAAAAATTTATTTCCACGGGGTAAATTTTTATCAGTGAATTTTAACCGGGGAGTATGTATTAGTATATTCTTACCACCCTGTAAATATATTTTAGGTTATGAGTGAATAAGGGGGGGGGGGGTAAAAATTTCTTGTATTATAAGTATAAAAATAGATCCTCAGTACAAATGCGCAAAGAAGGTATGTATTACCTAAGGTATTTTTACTCAATAAAATGCACTTCAAAGGGAGTAAATCCTTTGTTATACTTACGATTTAAAATTCAATTTGATAACGGTAAATATATCTTACGCATCTGTTCTAACTTCTACAGCAAAAGTTGTTCAATGGGGCAGGAGAATATCCTGGTAAGAATATAACCAGGGGAGGAGGCAACAATAGCCTATTACAGTGCTTCTCAAACTTTTTTGTCATAGGCCCCTAAATTTAATGTAAAACTGTCAAGGCCACCCCTAAATTAAAATCATTAATTATTTTTTTCCTAATTATGTACTAAAATTACATACACTATTTCACACAAATAAATTTTTAATTTGTATAGTAAATAAATGTTTTTTAATATATTTTATTATATTAATAATATAATAATAATAAATATAATTTTATTATATTTTAAAATATATATTTTAGAAACAATTTTATAACAGTATTAAACTTCAAACAAATGTAAACAAAAATGAATTGATAACAACTATAAAACAATACAAAAATATTCACTAATAATGTTGATGATTATCATGTGACTGGAGGAGTCACATATTTTTGCATAATATATTTCTGTCCGTTGTGAACAATTTTATTATGATTATATGACAGTTATTTAACATTAGACTTTATCAACAATTAATCATATGGTCGGTTATTTATTAACTAAATAACCGCAAATATTTTAAATTAAATAAATATTTCACGGCTCACCAATCATGTAGCCACGGCCCCCTGTTTGAGAAGCACTGGTCTATTACACCGTGTTTTCATCGTAAAAAGTTTAAAAAAACTCCAAATCTCAGACAAGTAGACTCGTTAAAGTTATAATAATATTATGTAAAAAAAAATTATATTCCTAGTTCATTTACAAAAAATGTGTTTTACGTACACTAAGACTACGTGTCTAAAAAGTAACTAACTTACTTAATTATCTAAAAAAAAAATTGTTTTTCGTGAACGGGCTTAATTCAACTTAAGAATGGTACAATTACAAAATATAATTTATTATAATTATTATTAATTTGAATTTCTACGTTTCTTAAAGCGTAAAAAACTGTTTTTAAAATGTATAAGATAACATTATGATGGATGTTATATTTGAATTTTAGTGAATATTGTTCGGCTCTCGTCATCAACGTTTTGAGTATGTAACTTTTCACTTGGGACAAATATTTCTATATTTATTATTATTATTATTTGCAGTTAATCGTAATGTCGTTTGGTCTTTTAGATAAATTTGTCGTACACTTGTAATAAACGCACGGAACAGCTCCCGCCGGAGTACTTTAAGACACGAAATAACATTACACTCACTGTATAATATACAGAGTAGTGTGCCCAGTGATGATGTTCAACGCTCTTTTAAGTGACAATACGTGTCGTAAATAATTATATTATTATAATATAGGCTTACATCTCTAAGACTTCTGAGGGTGTATTTATCCATTATGATTATGAGTTTTGGGTTAATTTTTTCACTTACGTTATTTAAACATCAGTGTATAGTTAAAATTATAAACAACTTATAAAATTAAAACTTCGAAAACTGCTTCAATAAACTAGAATGTTAATTATAAACAACAGTTCACAGACAACGAAAAATGTCAACTACGTCTTACAACTCCAAACATTGTTGGTACACTGAACAATATAATTGTGTAATGCAGCGATAATGAATAATAAACAAGTTTTACTAATGGAAATAATTCTCATTCAGACGAACCGTATAGTGTAATATGTAAAACGACTAGGTATACCAACACATAAATACATTTTTTCGTTTAAAATAATTTAAGGTATACTTACTGAAGGTTATCCTTCTGAATTATCACCGAAAAAACATAAACAGGTTTTAAGTTTAACACGGGAAATGTATTATATTATGCTTCGTTTTCTCCAAAACGATATATTATCATTCATATAATTTATAGCGTTTATCTTATAAAACAATAATGGTAATATTATCGATAAGAGAGATAGCTGAGTTTTTTTAGAATATATTTTTTTATCTTTCTCGATAACAGAATATAGTGTTTACAGCTATCGGTAGCAGAAAAAAATCTTTATAAACTTATAATACAACACTTTCACTCTATGCACGTGAGTTATTGTCTACCACAATAAAAGATTAACACAATTTTGCCATATTCTAACGAATATGTTTGTACCAAGTTGTTAGGCCATAAAAAGATCAAAACACTAGTTTATAAAAAATATCGAAAAAAATAACATAATAGAAATGTTAGGAGAAGAGGATGTTGTAGGAATTGGTAATATTGAAAATAAAAACTATAAGAACAGTAGTATACGCGTTTATATGCAATAAAATACAACCTTTAAGGAGTTTCCTAGAAGTTTTCTTAACAAATATGATAAATATGGGAAAACAACGAAAAACGGGGGGAAATCTGATCAGCATTAAACAAATATTATTAAAGAAAATATATTTTTTTATTTAGAAATTATGAGAAAAATATTTAAGATAAATTAGGGTTATTAAAAAAACAATCAATGATTTATAATTTTATTTGGATATTTTTTGGTACATTAAACATTTTTTTTTGTATAGATATCATACCTATTTAATTATTTTACTATAATATGTCATATATACCTTTTTTGACAAAATATCATTTTTAACTGAACTCCCCTCAAAATTGTTTTTTCGTTAGCAATAGTTAATCATTGCTATACATTCAATTCCCGTCTAACTTCCCACCTACAACAGTGGCCTATCCATCGTGCGAAACGACCCGGCTCTTTTTTCCTCGTGTATGTCTTTCATCATATGAATCGTACAGAATTTCTGTTCGCATATGTCAATCAACTTTTACTAAAATATCAAATTTTTGTTTTTAGTAAGTTTGCAATTTCTCTACGTTTTTTATATATAGGCTTTTATCGTTCGTCTGGAATTTTCTATATATATAGTAATAATTAAATTCAACATAGTAGTATGGCGTTTACCTGTTGGTACCTTGGTACCTAATTCTTTGATCAGTTTGACCGTACAGTGAACGTATTCGACATAATGCCTAAGTTAAAATCAACTTTAAAAAGAAAAAAATTAAATTGGATTGCTCCTTTCAATGAAAATAAAGAAGTATTTTCATCAAATGGAAAGTTAATCTATTGTCTCGTATGTAAAAAATCTGTGTCTACTGAAAACAAAATATCTATTAGATCATCATTCCAAAATAAGTAAGTTTTTTTTTATGCTCATACTACACGTAGTATACTACATATTATTTTAAAAATACATATACAGTTACATATACAATACAGTTTGAACATATAGTATTTTGTACAAATGTATACATTGATCTAATTCGAAATAATTTTTCAAGAAATCGAGATGCAATTGAAACGAATGTAACTGAAATTTATGCAGTAATTGGAATTTTATATACACTAGGTATGTTACACAATTGTATAATTGTTTAGATAATAATTTATTTTTACATTTATAATAATATATAAATTATGTAAAATATTTTAAGTGCTATAAAAAGTGGACATTGTAGTACTAACGATTTATGGATATTGGATGGTTTTGGGGTAGATATATTAGCTTGTGTTATGTCTGAAAAACGGTTTTTATTTCTTATAAGATGCATTCGATTTGATGACGTTCGTGGCCGTTTAGAGTGAAAAAAAAATGACAATATGACAGTAATACGTAAAATATTTGAAGACTTCGTCAAAAACTGTAAGTCTTGTTACAAAATTTCAGAATACGCAACAATTGATGAAAAACTTCAGTCTTTTAGAGGCCGATGTTCATTTAGAGTTTATATGCCTAATAAACCAGCGAAGTACGGTCTTAAGTTATTTGCACTTGTTGATAGTGTAAATTATTACACAAATAACTTAGAGCTATATGCAGGTACTCAGCCTTTAGGACCATTTTCAATAAATAATTCCGCGTCGTGCGTAGTGAAGCGTCTCATCGAAAATATAAAACATACCGGTCGTAATATAACTATTGATAACTGGTTCACAAGTATTACATTAGCCGACGACATTTTAATAGATCGAATTACGCTAATAGGTACAATAAAAAAAAAATAAAAGAGATTTACCACCCGATTTTATTTCGATAAAACATCAGATATTATAATCGTCATGATTTGCATTATCTCAAAATAAAACCTTAATGACGTACAAAGCAAAGAAAAATAAAGTCGTTTTATTGTTATCAACAATGCAACGCAACTAAAAGAAGAGTGGACACTATGGATTGGATGAGTGAAAATTATTCTGTGGCTAGGCGAAGTGCACTTGGCCTCTAACAATATTTTATTCCATTTTTAACATCGGTGGACTCAATGCTCAAGTAATTCATATGGAGAACAATAAAACTAAAATTACTTTTTTTAGCAATTTATTATGCAATTTTTACGTATTTTTTGATGCAATTATATAATTTTAATATGCAATTTTTGTGTATTTTAAATGAAACTAAATCCATTCTTTAATTATGACTTTTCATAGTATTTCTTTTAGATAGGATATATTTCCATATTTGTCATTTTTATTTTATTCTGTTTAACACCTCTTTAATTATGATATTATTATTACATAGAATTTTAACTATTTTTCGGAAGTACTATGGCCTCCAATTAATTTTTTTTAAGCTAAATAATATAAATTAGTCAATAATTACCACCACAATTATTGTCAAATTATATAAATTGTAACTTCCATAATTATAGTAAAAAAAATCCTTAAAAGTTTGTGTAAACAAATTTTTGTATCAGAACATATACCGTTTAAAAGTTTAATATGAATTTTAATTCTTTAATGATATAAAAAAAAATACTACAACTTTTTCCATTACTGTGCAATACACTATATAGATAGATGTAACTAACTATTCACTATATCCTTCGGAAGTTATGCTTGGTCGAAAATTGACTTTGGTAGTAAAAAAAACAAAACAAAATGAAGAGAAACGAAAGCTACCGGAAGATAAAAATAAACTTGTAATAAACTGTAAGTAAAAGAAATACTGTTAAACAAATACGTTTAATAATAAATTGATAATTGCAGATCAAAACTTCCTGCCTCAAACACAATTTCGACAGTGTTCAAAAAAACCGGTCGATTTTTCTCCAGCAACGGTTTCCGAGATCAAATATACTAACCCAAACTTTACAATCGAAAATATATTGTTAAAGCACATGTACCCAATGTTTATACATAATATTTTATTAACATGAAAATCACAGAACCTATATGATGTAAATATAGCCAATTGAAACCATTTTATAGGTAATATCAATAGATATTCGTCGTAAACCGTTCTCAAAATCGAATAACTCAGCGGTATAAACTTTACACAGTCTTTAAATTTTCTGAACTGACGGTATAATTTCGGAATCACAGATTCAAAAGAAGAATTCCAAAATAACATTATTGAAGTATAGAAAAAAATGTGTAAAACAAATTGATAATTATTTCCTAACATATTTTAGATTCTGAGTAGAGCGAAGAAACCTATGGTTTCACAAAGATGTTTTTTTTCCTGTGCACAACTTTTAAACAAGCAATTGTACTCCAACTTATAATGATACCAATGTTTTTAAAAGGAAATTTCACTAGGGAGGTATTTTAGTTATGTAATTTTTCAAATTTTCTCAGATGTTTTCTCGTCATATTTGAAAAACTGGGACAAAACATGGAAAAACCAGAAAAAACGTAGGAAATCGTAGAGAAAATCGGTACGATATTAAATAAATATTATTAAAGAAAATGTAATAATAAATTATTAACAGTGAAGGACGATTATGAACGAATTATGATTAAATACATTTTGAAATACAGACATAAAAATTAAAATGGACCTCGTATAAAATGTTCAAACAGTTCGGCTTGCCAAATAACGTATTTACACATAAATCGAATAATATAATGCGAAATACTATAATTATTACGGTTTTGATTGAAACTTGAATTTTAAACATGAAGTTAAAAAAAAACCATTACATTATCTTCAAGAATGTATAATTAACATAAATTATAGTAAAACATGCTCTTTTTTTTTTGTTTTCAAATACAATTTTTTGTAGAATATAATGTTCTAATCATAATAATATTACAATTTTTGAATATATTGATGGTATATTAAATATTACGTTATAAAATATATTGATTTTTTTGCTTCTAGAAATACTGTAACGAAATTGAAATTATATTTGCTCGTGGAAATTATTGTATAATATTACAATATTACCATAACCTGTAGATGACTTTTTTTTATCATGATCCCGCAATTTTCTTAGAGGATATTAAATTAATTTTATTATTATTTTTTTTAATAATTATGGAATCATTTAAGCTTTATATTAAGTCTATTTTGAACATTGAAAACTACTTTATCTACCTTAAATTAATATATTATTTTGCTTTACAAATAAAAACCCCCCCTGTTTTTAAAACATATATGAATAAAGAATATTGTTCTAAACATTTGCAATTACATAACCGATAATTTATTTTAGGGAGGAGGGGCGTGGAGAAACCGAATACCTCAACTATTTTGTTTGAATTTTCTTACCTCTTTAGGGGAACGAATGGGATGGGTTGTTATACCTAAATGATTATTATTTTATTCTGTTTATGGTATGCGTTTGATGGATTTATATTAATTTTACTTAGGAGATAGCAATGAAGGAGTGTGTGTGCGAATCTCCCTTCGGTAATGTGAGGAATATTAAAATTCTAGGGACGCTACTTTTTTTAAAATAGCTAGAATACCTAGACTATTTTTTTTCCCAAGTCAAGCACTATACTTAACACTAATATCAGATTTACCATTTATGATTGATAACCGTTTAAAGTTTAAAGCGGAGAATTGGAAAAGAGTTATCAATTTATAATTTAAAAATAGATATGTATAATTCTACCCAATAAAAAGTCTGTATAGATAGTGTATAGTGTATGGTTCAAAAATTAAAAAGGTTTTAAAATAAAGCTGCAATGATTCTATAATGATTAAAAAAAAAAAAGCAAAAATCAAATTCACCTAAAATCCACCGAAAAAATTACTGATTTATGATAAACAAAACATCCTGTAAAAACTACGAATAAAATCTCAAAATAAGTAAAAACTTATCTAATTTAACCTTTTTTTAATTTTTCATATAATAAGATTGAAACCTAAAACAAAAAAACTATTATATGTACGAATAAAAAATAATATATTCTTTAAGCGACCTTTGTTTTATTCGTATACGAGTCGATATGTACAGCGTGAAATATTTAATTTTTTACGCGAGTACGAGTATAAAAAAATGTAGTCGTGAGTTATTGCGTTTGAAACACCGCGCGAATATTAAAAAGATGTTCTAGGATAATGAAGACTGGTATAGACACTATTATTGGTAATTTAATGTGTAATTACCTAACGATAAACCATTGCTTACAAAAAAAAAAAACACTCCTAAGAGGAGTTCAGTTGATAGTGATGCTTTGTCAACAATATGTGCCATATTATAGTAAAGTAATTAAATAGGCTTTGTAACCATATTTTTTTAAATAATATTTGTTTAATTTTCTACTAATTTTCCCGGTTTTCCTACGTTATTCCTGAATATTTTAGGAAAATCAAAAATTGACCTCTCTAAAGTACTTCCCTAGTCAGATTTACTTTTTGAAAAAGTGCTATTAGTGTCTATCGGAGCGAAATTGCTGATAGAAAAGTTAGGATGAAGTAATATTTTATTTATCAATTTCTTACATTTTACATTTTTTTTCGGTTTTTTTACATTTAAAGAGAAAACTTCTGAGAAAATCGAAAATTAACCTCCTTAAAGTATCTCTCCACACTGATTTTCTTTCAGAAAAGTCGATACACTTAAAAATTAGAACATGATTTCTGGTAAAAAATTTGTGCAAAAAAAACAAAATCTAACATCTTTGTAATACCATAAGCTTCTTTGCTTCACTTAGAATCTAAAATATAAAATAGATGTACATAAACATTTTCGAACAAAATACAATAATTTTAATACAAGGTGAGGAAATATGAAATCTAAATTTCGTGATAGATTGACCGACACTACAGGTGAAAATATACATATATTATAGTAGATGAATCAAGTTTCATCTGATATTATTCTGTGCTTTAAACTCGTTTGTTTTTTATTTGTCTTAAAAAACGTTGACTTGATTTATAATCATGAACATTCCTTTACTATGTTGGGAAACGAAAAAAAAAATTTTTGAACGATATTGCAGTACTATTAATTTTATATTCAAAGATTTTGAAAACAAAAAGTTATTTTGGAGGAAAGGGATGTAGATAAGATAGTTTGTTAGGTAAAACGATAAGAATTCGTTAAATGCCACGTCTCGACAGCAGTTGCAGTTTTGTAAAGGGTCGAAAAGTTGTCATCCGTTTATATTTGACCGCATCCGGGTGATAACTATCGGGCACCTTTGCAAAACCATATATTATACAAGGAGATACAAGTATAATCGAAATAAATTCTTTGGCTTTTTCAAAACCGTGCTCTGTTTTTTTCCTACTTCGTTAACCGAATCCGTTTAGACCAGCCAAATCCACGTATACAGGACGCTCGTCACGCGTGACTCGTAACTACGAGTTTCTATATTATTTATCAACCACCTCCCCCGCCCACTGACACAGTAAGCATAAGGTTATTAGAGGACTAAAATGTCCAAATTGAAGAATACAAACTATCCGAATATTATATTTAAGGTTATTCTTTTATCTCGTGAATCTGCAGCTATGAAAATGTCGAGTAAATTAATTAATTTTAGCTTTTCTTCGTCAGTTGTTTATTTGCAAGACTCGGAATTAAACCACTAAATTATTATGAATATGTAATTGTTTATTTATTTGTGTTTATTCATTGATTGATACCTTGGTGACATAGATAATAATTTGGTTGTCACGGACAAGAAAACTATTATTATTATTATTATTATTATTATTGTTATTAGTAATAACAGTAGTAATAACTTATTACTATTGTTTACACTATTATATAACAATAGCAATGGATTTCCGGATTAGCTAGTATAATATATAACGCAAAATAAGAGCACATGGATTAATTTTATTTTTAAGTCAAGACAGTTTTATAACATTTTAATCCCATAAATGAGTATAAAATTGGTAGCTGAATAATTTTTGTAAGCAAGTTTTGCTAGGCTTTATTATTATGTTTAATGTGGAATATGCGCAAAGTCAAAAAATTATTTTTAAATAAAAATAGTGAATACTCGGACTCCATGAGTGAGTTATTGTTGAAGGTCGACATTTGAAAAGATAAAGGATTATTTAATTTATTTACTGAAAGCTTTCATAAATGGTATAGCAATCAAAAAACTATTCTGATCTGACTACGGTATAATGTAGGTAGAATTATGATATTAATCGTGATTTTTCCCTTAATTGTCACCAAGGTAACACAAGGAACCAACAAAAACAATTAAATTAATATAATATAATTTTCATTTTTGTCAGTATATTTAATTATTTAGAAAAACAGTTAGGGATCTAGAAAACCACCAAGCTAGCTAAAAATATGCATCTTTTAAGGAGTAAACGATATTGAAACATTTGTATCATTTTTACTTACCACAAAATTGTTCTTTGAGAAAATAAATACGTCTGAGTAAAGATTATATAGTTAAATTCTTCCTTATACTAAAAATCTAAAATCACGCTTTAAACTGTATATTTTGAACTAAACAATTTTCTAAATTTTTTATTCCGAATTTACCCACAAGTCGTTAGATAAAACCATGTCTCGATTCTTATATATATATATGACTAGACTATATGGTACAGAAACGTGACACTTTGATTAAACAAAAGTATATTAAGTTACACGCAGTACAATATCGACCGGTTTCTAAAGAGTTCTAAAGTATTTCCAAATATTTAATTCCGATGGAATAAAATTGAAACGGAGAAGCGCGTTGTACAATATCTTGAATAAGTCTTTAGAAACCCGAGTTTACGAGTTTAAGTATATTGTTAATTAAAATGTTTTTCTTTCTTTAACTCTTAGAATGTCGTTAAAAAAAAAAAAAAAAAACAGAAATTAAAACAATGTCCATTTTAATTAGATAAAATCACTACACAAAAAGAGAAAATAATTTCAAGTGGTAGAATTACTTTTTTTTTACATTTTATACGGGAACTTTATTATGATGTTTTCAGCACAAAATTATAAGATTGTTTAGGTGCAGTAAGTTATAGGTGATTAAAATAGTAGGGGATATAAGTTTGAGAGAAGTATTTAAAAAAAAAAATGTACACAGAATTTTTATTTTTTTCACAACCTGCATATACGAATATTCTTTTAATAAATTCAATTGTAGTTTATTTATTTTATAATTCGTTATAAAATCTAAATTTAAAATAATATTGTCTTCTAACTAATAAACGATTTACTTGATACTATCATCGTGATTTCAATTATACAAATTAAATTTGTCTAATTAAGAGCAAAAATATAAGGAAAATTTGTCTTTATTAATTTACAGAATCAAAAGCCTATGTTTAAAAGTCAGGTATGCAATACGACAAAAACCGATTTCCTATTCCTTTATTTGAGTTTGCTGCAGTGTGAGAAATGTAATTCGACGTAAGAACAATCATCATGGTGCAGGAAACTTGATTCCGGGGCGGAACTAGTATAAGTACATTAATTAATAACACTATTAGTTATAATAATAGTAATCGTTAAAATAATTCCCATATTATTACCGTTATATTATAGTATAGAAACTAACGCGCAAACTTGGAAATCATCGAATATTATTGTAGTCTTGCAGTTTAATGATTATTTCTAAAGATTTTAAGTAAATTTTAATGTTTTACCAATATCATTCTTCCCTTTCCCCTTACCACCACTAATAGTTGTGTGTCTGTTAATCCGTACGAATTCGTACGATCGTAAACGTTATCGTTTACTGTTTATTAATACCTACCATAATATATTATTATAGTAATTAAGACAAGTTTAAATGCAGGAGAACCGGAACGATGAAGTTATTAAATTATTATACATAGATTACGATTTTCCACTTCATCACCACGTCGATCTAAAATTATTATTCCCCTTCGTGTTTCCGTTGCAGTCTGTTAAGTTATAATGTTCGTTGTAAGTGGTGCGTAATATCTATTAGTGCTAATTTCAGGAAATTTCAAATTCGCCTATATTAGTTTGAAGATGGTAATGTGACATTGACACAGTTAATTTTTCATCAAGATTATATTTTGTCATTATAAGGAAATAATAAGAATTTTACCGGAGTTGTTTCTCTAATTATGAAACGAATGGTACTAGATATGTTATTACATAGGTAATGTGAAATGTACTTTGGAATCAAAAAGAGATAAATTTGTATACAATTTTTGATAGCCAACTAAAATAACTTCAAAGAAAGATGAATATACGAAAATTTCAACTTGTACACAATTCAATAATTATTATTACATTGAAGAATAGGCTACATTTCTTACTAAAGTATACCAAAAAAAAAAAAAAAATTATAATTTTGGACTACTTTTGATTAAAGAAAATTATTCTCTCACTGAGATTTATCCAAATAACAACTCAGTTGACAACTTAATAATTATACAGATTGACAAAGAAAACAAACTATTTTCATTATTAGTAGCATACTATTACATATATTACTTTTTACTGTTTAATACTAACTATATTATTACAAATACAGAATTAATACTAACTATAATATTATTTTATATTATTTAGACGAACAAATAAATACAATTTACATTTATCAACATAATAAATCAATTATTAAGTTTTTTCTTTTTGAAAATAGACCGTAGAAATATAAAAACTGGTGACTACAAATGTTGCAGAAATCTATTAGGTAAATTGTGTGAAGAAGGACCGTACTAATATATAAATCTTACCTAAATTTACACGTCAATTGGAAAACTGTAAACCTAGTATAACATTCCAGATATCCTAAAATCTGAATTACCTATCGCAATGGATCGAAGTCAGTGATAGTCAAACTTGATTTGAAAGTTTAAACAAAATAGTAAACGATGATTTTATAGAAGGTATGTTTCTATGTCTACGTTTATTTTGATTGCATTTAAATCAATCATTGTACACAAATAAACTCTGTTGTTGACGTTTAGTGTATAAAAAATCGACTTATACAAAAACCCATTATTGTCGTGGACTTTGAATTATGGTATACCTTATAAGAATATTAAGGTATAATAATGCTTACAACGGCACATAAGTTAGTGAAATTTTAAGAAAAATTAAAACAATAATATTATGATGTATTATATTTTAAAGTATCTGTATATTATTGTTGCAGATATATTTTATATGTTTTATATGTAATATGTAATATGTATATTACAATTTATTTATAACCATGGTAAGTATACCTAATAAAATTAATTGCAACACAAATAAAAATTCATTACATATTATGCGTATTTTCAGTGAATAATGTAAGTACCCCAAACATATTTTGTACGCGGTTACTTGATGATAGATTAAAACAATAAATAGATTATATTTTAGTACAAAAGTTTCCAATATGTGAAATATTATTACTAAATAAACATTCAAGAAAATAACAATGTTTTTATTTACCAATTAAAATACAAACAAACCGAGTAAACAAAAAAAAAATATCTTAACTATTTTTTATTCGCATAAATTAACAATATACGAGTAGTAAAATAGTTTTAGTACTTAGTACCCTGTGAGTTATCAAAGAAAGTTATCTAGAAACATTTTTATTTGTATCGTCTTCTTTTTCTTCTCCATGGACTATTTAGAACCATTGTTGCAACAATAAAATGCTTCTACACATCTCTATCTAGCCAGTTCCTCTTCATTTTTCAAGTCTCGATATTCTTTTAGCGATCTTGTCTTTCCATCGCTATCTGGGCCATTCACTTGGTCTTTTTATGTTCGATTTACAACTGTTAACCAACTCAATGAATCTTAAGGCTCTTCAAACATGTCTGGCTCATCTTAGCCTCCTCCTCTTATAAACTCTAATTATGTTTATTTTGCCATACAATTCTTCTATTTCTTCGTTTGATCTTATCTTGAAAATTCCCACAAATGATCCTTCTAAGAACCTTTCGTTCAATTTATTTTATTTGTACTTTGACTAAATAAAAATTATTTTTAAGTATCTTTTTATTTTATCCAAATATATAAAATAATTATCTGAATATCTCAATAGTTAATTGGACTTTTTATTCATGATATTTGACTGTGCAATAATATTTTTGAAGTAATTACTACTAATTTTCTATTTTGAATTCATATAAAAAGTGTATACAATTAAATTGAATTAGTGTTATGAAGTAATTTTGAATGCGTTTTTTAGTGAAAACATTGACGAAAATCATAGAAATCATATAATTTCAATACATGTTTAACGTAACTTATAAACTTAACCTTAGAATTATATTCCGTTAGCAATAGTGTATCAGTGCACACAGATATAAATTAAATATTGCTATATAACTTCCCAGCTACCCACCTACAACAAAAGCATACCCATCATCAGATGTACAAGGTGGTTTTTTTTATTTTTCTCGAACGTAAAAGTTAAATATAATATTGATCTCGCGGGTATTTCTATTTTATATCCTTCATTTTAATTTGATTTTTAACTATATGTGAGCATGATAAAAAATACCATTGGTCCAAAGAATATAGGAAGACCGAATGTTATTTTTTCTCTTGAATATTATATTTTATACCGTCGTCAACTTGAACCTGAATAATAAAATATTGTTACAGTATGTATATATATTCAGAACGTATAGAGGCATAATAGTATTATTTTATTTAATTTATTAGTAAGCCATCTCCGGACGGCCCGTTGACATTATAGCATATTATTATTATGACAGCGTCGTTTTTACGAAAAAATATCCACGCCCGACAGAAAAGTTTATATTCATTCATAAAAGTAAGGAAAAAATCCACCGTTTAAATTATTTTACGGTTTTAAACATCTCTCGACTATTGCTGTGTATAATCATTGTTAATTTAATTTAAAACGGCACGTGTCACCGAATAAGTAGTCAACCGTGCAATGATGAAATATAATGAGACGATAATGAATTAATAAGTTAAGTATTAACGTTAGTTGTTAAGCGTGTAAAATCACTGAAAAGGTGAAATTACGAAGTAAAAAACAACGGACACATTTCGCATGATGGGTGGGTCACTATTATGGGTGAAAAGTTACACAAGTAGGATTATTAAATATTTGTATGCAACGATTAATTTTTGACAATGAAAATGATTCTGAGCGAGTTCAGTTTTACATGTTTTAAAAAGCCATAATATTTACGATTTTTGTCAAAATTTGATATTTGAATAATTATAAAAAAATAAAAATACATTAAACTCAATTTTTTTTTGTTAAACACGAAGTACAAATTATAATGTACCTCCTACCCTACCTTCATACCCTAATTTTAAATCTCAACGAACATTTTTAACTGAAGTACAATAAAAAAACAAAATTTAAAATTATAAAAACATTTTTTTTTTGTAATTTCCCCATTCCTCCTACGTGTTTCCCAATTATTATGAAAACTGCTTGGAAATTCAAAAAACTACCTTCCTAAAGTATCAACTATTTACAAATTCTTTTCAGAAAAGATTTTACACTATACCTAGTTTTCGGCCTAGTTTTTTTTTCAATTTTATGTTTAAAAAATTAAAATATACAGAAGCCTAATATAATAGAAAATATAATAATTTAATATTTGACAATTTTGACAATTGTGTACTTATTCGCACGACGTCAGTTTCTATCACTTTTTACGTCATTTCATTGAAACCAGTTTGATTGATTATTTGGAATTTTTGCGACGCGCTATCATTATCCACACAGTTACGTTAGCCGTACTGTAACAACTTATAGTTTTATTTGTTTAGTATTGACATTTAGTGTAAACGTGTGGGTTTAGTGTTTGAGTACCGTACAGTATCTAGAAGTCAATCTTATAAATATTAAAAGGTCAGGGTTGAAATTAAAACTATTTATTATTAATCACGACAATGATGGAGAAGGTGACACATATATTAATAAACAATAACAAAAGAAGAATGGAATGCAAGTTGAGAATAATTTATCATTAGAAAACCCTAATAATCAATAATGCGATGACCACCAGATTCACAATCTGTTGGATCCATTACATTTTCAAGAAGGGCGATGTTGATGATACATTATCTTTAGGGGTTTAGAATCCAGGAATTTTTTTTTTTTTTGGCAATAACTTGTTGTACACAATACAAAATGTAAAATATCAAATGTAACATTTTAAACAAATATTCATAGTTTAATTAGGTTTGGTCAGGTATGTTACGCAAGCAATAATTGGACCACTGCGTTGGACAATACCTTAAATCGAGTTACTTAAATAGACAAAGATATTAACCAGTCTCTCATTGATTAGCTGTTGACTAGGATCCAATCCGGTAAGCTACATTTGACAACGTAGGGTAGATAGTGGGGATACGGTAATTAGTCTCTGGCACCAATCTCGGACACGGGCAAACAAATGACGAGCACCACAACACCTATACAGTCAACCTATACAGGTGGCTCTGTTATGATCTAACAAAAATAATTGAAAATTAATTTAACACGACGTTTATTATGATTTATACCTAAGTGATAAAAAAAAAAAAATCTTATTCATCTTATCTTTATCTTTATTCATAAATAATTTTGATAATTGTATAGTTTCGAATGGTAAATAAACTTACTAACTAAAATTTTACTATATGTTATCATATTCGTCTAACTTCCCACTTACAAAGATAAAACTTCGTAGTTGATTTTATAAATAATGTAAATATTCACTTTATTTCCAGTATGTGCTTTATCTACGAATATAATATTATATAATATTTTATATAGAATATATTATTATCTGGGGATGGTCTAAAATAATATGATTTGTACGCACAAGATTTCCAAACTTGTTCTAGATGTCTGCGAGCAGGAAATTTGGTTAAATATTTCCCTTCGTAATTAATTTACTAAAAGTGCCGGATTATTAGACAACTTCTACTCCTCTCACGAAATGTTGTTGCCTTTACAAAATAGTTTCTACTCAAAACATTATCCTATCACTTTTGGGTAAAACTTTATTACAGTATGTTATAAACTCTACATAATTGACGGAATTTAAGTGTAATTTTTTTAGTGTATTAAAATATACAAATATTTTATCTCAAATTTTTCAAAATCATTCCAGTGAAAAACATCGTATCTGTGTGTAAAACAACCAACATATTGGGTTTAAAAAGAACTAAGCATTTATTATTTAATACCTATTATAATATTTATGTCAAATTTTGATATATAAAAATGTATGTTATCATTTAAATCAGCTTTATAACTGTCCTTTAGTGATTAACATAGAATTTATCGTATATTATAACTTTGAAACTTTCATAACTCACATATCAAGTTGATATTTTGCTATAATAATTACGATCTATGTTCTAGTTTTCTAAAAATACATTTGTTTGCATGATGTAACCAACAATTATGCTTTCCTGTATATTTTCAACAAAATCTTGTTACATCTAATATTATGTAACATCAAAATATGTTTACAAGATAATTTTCCACGAATATTCTTGTTGGTATATAATATAGCCTGAAGCTAAATTTATATAACATTAGTGTAGTTGTAATTTAAATTGATAAAATCCGTCCATTGTACAACTAAATTATTGAAACAGATTTGCTAAAAAAAAAAAAAAAAACTATTTATAAACGTTCACAACGTTCTAAAATGATAATAGAATTTAAAACTTATTTAAAAAAATAATTAAATTTTTCGCCTTTCTCAGTATGATAGTTAAAAAAATAGTGGACAAAATGAACGTTTCAAAATTATAACTCTAGTGCTTACTACACACATATTGAAAAAAATTATAAAATCTATAAAAGACGTTGAAATATGCATTAAAAATCGTATGAGTTGTTTACGCTAAAATATAAACTAGGTATGTTTTTTATTTGATTTAAATTTAAAAAAAAAATAGAATTTCTCACTTTGAGGAACATCACACTCAAAGCCCAACTTAGGGGGGGGGCTTGCGGGGCTGCAGCCCCGGGACCCTGTTGATATTTAATTATTAAAGTGGCACTGTGAAATTTTATAATATTATTGCTTTCGTAGTTTCGTAGTTTTCGTAGACATTTACTATTTACAAAATAAATTAGTTACGTATTGTAATGGAATTTAAGATTATTATCTAATCGATAAAATATACTATTAAGTTTTAAGATAAAGTTGGTCAAAAGCACTTTATTATTATGATTACTTAACTAGAAATATCACGGGTTTTTACCAGCTCTTGTCTAAATGCGGGTATAAAATTATTTGTAAATAATAAATACCTTTTATTCTACAGTTTATCATTACGTACATTTTGTTGGTCAGTTTTGCATCATTAGTACAATCAGTATGTTAGTTGTCAGTATTCTGTCGACTGTCGTGATGATAATTTAGTTTTTAGTCAAGTTCGTGAGTTTTGTTCGTTACTAGTGTGTGTCAAAAACTATTGAGGTTTGAAAATGTCTGAGAAAAAAAGGATATATATGTGGTAAAGCAAAACGAAAATTAAAGAAGGAGGTTTACAACTATTATCAGAGACTTCTGCCGACATATTCATTAGCACATTTAAAGACGATATTGATACAACTAATATAAAACAAGAGATTGTGCACTTTTCAAGTTATGTAATGCAGTTAAATTTACCAATAATTTCCCCTCAAAATATTTACATATATGTACATGAAAATAATTTAAAAGAAGTCTTTCCAAATGTGTACATTTCTCTACGACTTTATTTAACTTTGCCAGTTTCGAATTGTGAAGCAGAAAGAACAAATTCAAAATTAGAACTAATTGAAAACACCAGAAGAACGTCCCTTCACCAAGAAAAATTAAACTCACTCGTTCGTCTATCTGCTGAAAGGGAAATAACTAACGCACTTGATTTTTCAGATCTAATTCAGAAGTTTAGTGAACTAAAATCTAGAAAAAAACCATTGTCTTAAATTCTAAATCATGTACATTTTTTTATTATTTATATTGACTATGTTGAAAAATGCATTACCACTTTGACTTTGTGTATAATGTACGTGATATATATCAATAAACATTTGTTTAAATTAAAAACTGTATCTACACTTCTTTACTTATATTTATATTTTTTATTTCAACGTTTTATTTTTATTATCAACATTAAATAATTATTAAGTAATCATGGTATAATTTATTTATAATCTTATAAAATAAATTGAATATAAAAAATCAATGTAGCAAAAAGACTGAATTTATAATTTAAGTTAATAATTTAGATAATAATTAATTTTGGGGCCCCATCAAAAAATTAGACCCGGGCCCCAAAATTCCTATGTTGGTCTCTAATCACACTAGTTCCACTTAACCAGATAAACGCTTCACCTATCTGATATTACGTATAATTTGTTAGTTTAAAATTTAGTTTCGGATAAAATTAGTTTAAAGTTTAAAATTGTACCAATTATAAGGTAATCAAAATAATCAAAATAATATAAAACAGACCAGTGATGAAGCAAGAATTTTTTTTCCTGAGGAAACCAGCTTTTGATGGGGATGTCTAAATAAAAGGGTCAAAAAATTAAGTTCGCACTGCACTAATGACAATATTATAGAATACTAGTTAAGGTTAGGTTACGAAAAGCAAAATGATTGACGAAAAAACAACACTTCCCGTTTCATAACGAGAAAAATAAGAAGCATAATATAGATAAACAAAAGAAAAATAAGAACAAATTAAATGCAAATTTAAGCATCAGCTGTTTTTCTGTTCAGAGAATTTGTTTATTTTCATTTCGAAATTCTATAAAAGTAGTAACATTATTGCGGTTAATTCAGATCATATTATTTGAGGGTCTGTTGGTTATACAGATGAAAAAACAAATACTTAACCTTTGTTTGTAAACATGTATTTTGAAATGTTATCTCAATTAGGGATTCTACAAATTTTTAGTTAGCAAATATATAAAAACAATGTTTATTGTATCACATTTTTTTTTTAAAATAATTTATCGATTTGTTATTATTATTTTGTATGATATTGCAGTTATAATTAAAACTTATATTGTTATTTAGATTCATTATTTCATCGCCAAAATCATCCATTTCGGTCCAAATCGTTATGTTGACACAGCCAGTTTTACTACGTCTTCTCGCCTCATTTTCGACCATACCAAAAGTCTGTATTTCTCTTTTAAATTCAAAACTGCTGCAACTAGGAGATGCTTGGAGTTATTCCAGCTTCCTTAGCATCTAATTTAGAACCCTCGGTTCAAAAACGCTAATAATTAATAAAATAATTACTTCGTAAATATTAAAAATGTTTTTTACTAGAAATCGTAAAATTATTTCAGTATTAAATACTTTAATATTATTATAATAACATAATTTAAGTAACACAAACAATTTATATTTATAGACAATAGATATAGTGTAAATATAAGTTGAATTGGATAAATTTGATTAAAGATTGTAGTGTTGTAGTGTGATTGTATGTTGCTCATATATGAATCATCTGGAAATTCAAAATTATATAATTATTTTAACAGAAAAATACTAAATAGAACAGTTGTTTTTAATCTATTTATTACTTAATACTTTATCACTTTTATGATATGTTTCCATGGTGCATTTAAGAATGGTTACTTTTAAATTATGAAAATGAGGTCAGAGGTATGGCATTTGGGAGTGTAGGAGCGTAGCCTCCACGAGCTAATATGCACTGCACAATTTCACCACTCCCAATATTTAGGCTCTAAGTGCTTCTATGAGCACTGCACGTACTTTCAGGTATTTCCAGCCTTAAGCGGTTTTTGTTTCTAAAAACGAACTCTAAACAATTATTTTTCCAAAATTTTATCCGTTGATAAATCTTTTTATAAAGCTTTATAGCACTCTTTTATTTTATTTTTTAGTGATCCGAAGATCATCTACAATATTTATCTTTTAAGCAGGTACCATTATAATTAATATGATTTTTAGTATGTAACTTTAATATTACAATTTGTAACAATAAATTTTATATTTTAATCTTAGAAATAGTAATTATTTTCCTTCTCCTTTTATTTCTGTATAGTATAAATAATAAATATAGTCTATTTATTTGGCGGAAATATATTATATTCTTATACAATATGATATGCTATAATTAAAGATATTTCAAGGCGTATGGTCATATTTCATGATACAAAAGATTTTTCGAATAAGCCCCCGAAAGAAACTCTGCTAACTAAAAAGTATCATTATTAAGCGCAGCAGTATAAACGAAATAACCAATTATGATTTTATATTATTATCCGTTCATTGTAAAAAAATATAATATATGTTCAACATAGAAAACTATTTTTCTCTACTTTCTGTTTGAACTAAGCAAAATAGGAAAAAAAGCATACAGCCACAAATTTTATTATTTTATCTGAATGTTTTACTTACTATTTATTATAAATTGTAATATAATTCGACTTTTTTTCTTTAATTTAGGCCTTGTAGGCATATAATATAATGTAATTTCGTTACTTCTAATACGCCCCTCCTTATAACCTTGCCATATAACCATATGTTTTCCGTTTTTCATCCTTGAAGGAACCTGGAACCTTCGTGAATTAGGTCAGTTAACCGTTGCCTTGATCTTCCTCTTGGCCATTTCGTTTCCGGCTTTCTTCTTGTGATCTTACAAATTAGATGACTGGCAAACATATACGGTCTAGTTTATCCTTCAGGTCTTTAGAACTCAGACTCTATCTGGCTTAAATAATAAACGAGATTGATGTGAAAAAATAAATATAAACTTAAGTACATAAGATATTTTTTTTCACTAAGTTATTGTTATAATAAGTAAATTAATACTTAAATTGATTAAATATTTTTTTATGAAAGTATAATCGACAAAAAAAAAAAATAATAAAAACGAGTTGTTAAACAACCTAATAATGATCATATTATACTATTTAAAGTATGGGGCTCCTTTTTGTTTCATGTCAGATGATTGTTATAAGTAGAAATAAAAGACAATGAACAATATAATACATGATAAACCACTTTAAAACACCCTCTATAAATTTCGTTATATTTTAGGAACAATTAAAGTAGACAAATTTCTTCAAATATTATATTAAAGAATATCGACTTCATATTCGGGTAAATATAAAAAAATAATGACCTCGGTGACTGGAAATTATCATGTTGGTGCAGCTTATTTGATGTACAAAACAATGCTCACCAAATATCAAAAAGACTTTATACTTTAGACTTTATAGGACGGTATTTTTTTTTAAATTTTTTTTTTATTTATTTATGATAGTAAACATGTCCAGCGCTTATAGTAGAATTAATGGAGATTATATAGATATCAAGACTTTAGGAAACATCGCTTCATCGCACATTTTATTCACTACTTTATAAAAATGATATTATATTTCAAAACGGTTTTTAAAAATAATATTGTCCATTAAATTGTATTATTGTGCAATATGAAGCGATTCATTAAATTATGAAAACCTGTGTCATCTAAAAATAATATATATTTAGAAACCCATAAACTATAATCAACTTTATATCTGAGTAATGTATATCGATCGTAGAGTTTATTAACTTTTAATGAGATTTGAAAATAAAATACATGGGCATTAAAAAAACAATTTCCAATGTAATCGTACTTTGAAAGTAGATTATTATGACTAAATTGCTCGACATCATTAGTTTACTAAAAAAAAAATTGTACACGGAAATTCTTTCTTCTGTGATGTTTATAAGAGACCCATTATGAACCATTTTTTTTTTCATCTACTGCCCTCTTGCGAATCAGTGGCTCTGAAGTCACCCGTAAATTATTATCGTAAAATAAAACGATAAATTTCCATCCAGTTCCGATGTTAAAAATAATACGCTCTTGAAACTATACGTGAACGATCAAGTCAACATGCATTGTGAAATATATCAAGAAAATATTTTGATTTATGTCTGTATTTTTAATTGCAAAACAATTTTGCAAATACTTATTTTATTTATAATTGTTTTTATACTAAATTAAGTATTCGCATAGTGCGATCATTAAACGATAAATTACAATTTTTAATGGCGAAATTAAAAAAAAAAAAAACTGATACTGCAGATGGATATGTCATAGTTTTAGGTGGAAATTTAAGAAGATAGAATCCATAGAGATTTCCTAATATATATCTGCATGCAAAGGTATACCATTGTTAAAGAAAAACAATTCGGAGAGAAGACCGGTTATAAATGATTTAAAAAGCCTTTATATATACGATTTTCATCAAAATTAATAAACTTAAAATGTTATAAAAAAAAAATAAATAACATACTCAATATTTATTTTTACTAATAATTGCAATTTATAACAAACCTTATGTTCAATTTTCAAACAAATATATCCAATAAAAACTGCATAAAAAAACTCGCAAAAATAAAATGATTATAACTCAAAAATCACGAACATTTTATCACGTATAGAAAAGACTAATAAATAAATTGTCTGCAAACATTTTAGCTCTATAGTAATTTTCAACCGATTTATCACAACAATCCAACGTCAAAAATAATAAAACCGTTAATGTCTGTAACCCTCCACGTCCTTGATCAGGCCGTTTCGAGCATCCACTGAATGTAGAATCACCGAATGGTGACCTACGAGCCGAACCTAAATAATTAAGCTCATAAGTTTTTGTTTTTTTTTTTTTGGTACCTGGTATTCGTGATATTATTAAACACGTAGTATAAACAATTTTGTTTCATTAATATTGTTGCAATTTAATATGTTTTATTGTAGACACTAAAGCAAAAAAAAAAAACATGGACACCATAAACGATAGAAATTAATGAAATCAGATATTGATGGGGGAAGGTAGAAATATACATACTTAGGGCATAACACGTTATTTCCCACTGTCGTTTTCTTTTGGAGAGATGGTCTTTGATCATCCAGGGTCTACCGAGTACCTTAGGTTGTCATCACTTTGGTGCGACGACGATAGTAAAAATGTGCAATGAATCCGACAAAAAACACGTTCGTCGGCTAGAGAGCACAACAAGAGAAAAATAAAACGGTGGTTGTCCCGGTGTCGACCATGAGAATTTTTAACAACGGGTTGACAGTATATGTCCAGCGTAGACTTACTGAGTGGCTTACAATAAATGACGGTAGGACCATACTGGAAACAGTGTGACAGGAGAGCAGGGTACGGGCACAGTGGGCTGCTACCCAGCTTACGGTGATGGTGTGGTATGCGCGCGAGGCAGAGGGTTATGATCACAACAATAATTATTATAATATTATTTCATTGTGATTATTACGTAATTTATAGGTACCTTTTTTTACTTTTTTTTTGTACGCGTCGAGAACTTCATACGTGTGTACAATAATCCGTTATCGACACACGACCGGTCGGTTACGGCGCGACGCGATTGTGATTAGAGGGTCCGTAATTAAATGACCGTTGGTCTTGACATTGAACCACTTATTTAATGACAAAATATATCACTGTTTCTACCATTATTATTATTTAGGAGTATAAAAATCTGGGCCGTTGTAGCTCATAAACTTTTCTGCATTTCCTACATTTTTTTACCGAGTTTTCCCAATTATTATGAAAACTGATTGAAAATTCAATAAATAACTCACTTTCTTACCAAATTGGATCTATATGACAAAAAAAATACCATTTTATTATTTTTCATTTGGTTAAAAATTTATGGTCGAAAAGTTGTTTACAGACAGAAAAAAAACACACACATCATAATAAAAATAATAGACCCTAGCTACGCTCTTAGTCTAAAAAACGGTGAGACTGATAATGGGTGTGCCACAGTTGTAAATATGAAGTTGGAAGGTTACATTTAATACTGAATATAGAGTAATTTAATTTATATTGGATAAATGAATCATTGCAAACGCAAACAATGCTGAGCGAATGTTAGTTAAATACGGTTTTAAAAACTTAAATTGAAAATTGTATTAATTTGTAACTATAAAAAAAATGTATTGCAATGTATTTCTTTACTATTGTTATAAAATGTTAGAAATTTGTATTTACTTAAGAAATTTTATTTTCATGACATAAATCGGAAAATAGTTCACAAAAAACAGTGGTTTTTACGTTTTTAACATATTTCGATCTTTATATATGACCATTAATTTATTTCACTGCTCGTCATGGGAATATTTAAAATGATTTTTCTTGTTTGAACAAGTGTTGACGAAAATTAACCTAAAGATAATAACAAATAGTCAACTCTAACCCAAGAAATGGCATATACCTATACTCTGCTATAAATTCCCCTCCATATAATATTTAACCTAATATATTAAATTAATTCAAAAAATATTTCATAAAATTATAGTATTGATAAGTACATTTATTATTCATTTTTAATGTAGAAACAGGTATTATATCAAACAGATGTAAAGAAAACAATCATATGGAAAATTAAAATCAATTTTACCTTCGATCTACTGATAACCTGGCTATAAGTAATCTCGGTGCACCTTAGTTGCATCCCTTAAAAAAGGTATACAATTATTGCGTCTCATAAAATTGGTTAGGTAGTAGATTTTTATTTCATTTCCGGGGGTTCTCTGTGATGCATCAATTATAAGTGGGACTGATATTATGTTTCGATATATTATATTATGTGCCTAATATTATAAATTACAATAATGGATGGATTTTGTTGCTGACGCCTGATTGATAAGCAACAATAAGCAAGTTCGTGTCATTATTATTACTATTATAATTTTTACTGGCATTTTGATTCAAATCATTGTTATTATTATTATTAATTTATTTTACGATATTACAAACTATATTGATTTTGATTAGATTTAAGTGATTTAACATTTATTTTTTTTTTTAATACATTTGATAGACCAATGTTTAAACATTTTTGGTTAACTCATGATCATGTTTATAATTGTTATTATTATTTTTTTTTTTTATTTTAATTTAAGAATCCCTGATTAGAATATACGAATTGCGCCCTGGGTATTTTGGGACGCAATTTGTGTGTACTTGTTTTATAGGACGAAACTTATGTGCTCCCAGTAATCTACACCAATCTAATTAACAAATAACATTACAAAAGTGTGAAGACTTTTTTGACATTATATTTAAACAATTATATAATTATTAAGAAATAATTTTTTCCTAATGAATTAATGTCAATCAACATTTCTCAACCTCATCCAAAATGGATATTTAATTTTAATATACCATTCTTATATATGTTAAACATATATTTAAATAAACTTCGAAATATAGTTTATCAGTATACAAATAGTATACCTAGAAATAAAATATTTTCAAATATATACCAATCCCATAACACATTTTGCAGTTCAATGCAAGAATTTGACACAAATCATCGTATCCAATCAATCATACAATAATCAATCTTACAATGATGAAATAAGCGTCACCTGCGACATCATTAATGTGTATGATTAGTGTTCAAACACTATAAAATTTAATGATTCAATCGAAACAAACAATTGAATCACCAAAATATTGCCGAAACTTTCGTTTAGCTGAATTTCGTTTGATTAACGATCTAAATTGAACGTTGAAGTTTAGTATTAACAAACCTAAATACGATATTTATAAACAAGTTTCACTGCCGGATTATCAAAATGAAATACTAACATAATTTATGTATTTCAAAATTATTTTTACGTTTGTACAAAACACATACACACGAACATACAAATTTACAAGATAGTTTGGAGAATCTTAATGCAAAGTATATTTGTGAAATTAGTACCAACCGCTATACGTGAGGTATTTGTAGATATACCTCTAAATAAGAATATATGTATCAAACAAATTGGAACGCGGCCTACCAAGGTAAATAAATTAATATTATGTACATTCGAATTTTCAATAAGAACTTCGTGATACTAATAATACCTTCAACAAAGTAAACGAGGAACAAATCAATTATAATTTGTTAAATTTATTTTAAAAAGCTACGTAATAAATTAGAATTCTTCTGGTTTTTGAAATTTATTTGAAATTGGCGCATTGAATGTGTCCACAATGGTTCGATTAACACAACACTTGTATACCAATACCTATGCCTTTTAACAAGAATTTTAAGGTTTTTTTTTATTTACGTGGTCCCACTACATAGATCAATATTATAGGACTGCGTTATTATATATTAAGGTATTTAGGAATATATCACGAGATATAAATTAAATAAATTGTTATGGAATTATTATACTGACTAATAGAATTTTAAATAAAAAAAATAATAAATTTCCTATATTTCGTACATAAGAATTAAGAAATAAGATAATAATATTAAAGTATTCAATTTATAGAGTTAATCTTGAATTCATAGATTAGCTACAAAGTTTAGGGTAGTATGATATTTTGTTTTAATTTAATTTTATATATTTATATTAAAAACAGGACTAGCCTAATTACAAAGACTTTCCATAAACAACAAAATTAAAGTACATAGTATTAAAAAACCAATAATATAGATTACAGACACGACAGTTAAGTTGATGGTACAAAATTGCAATAGCTAAAGATATAAATATACTTAAAAATCATAAAATCTAGAGTAAAAAAGATAGAACTTCGTAGGCCAACATCAATGTTAAAAAGACGGTTAGACATGTAACTGGTAAAAAAATGAAACAGAGAATGGGTTACAGAGCGAGATTTAAAAACAGGGATACGAAAGTCAACTGCGTGCAGTAATTCATGCGCACCAAGATTTCCATTAATAAGTTTACCTAAGAAGATTAAATTCGCTTGCTTCCTTCTATCAACTAGCGTCAGCAGATTGAGCTCCCGAAACACCAGTCATGAGGCGGATGAGCAGTCCTCCAGACAATAGCCGCATACTTCAAAAACTAACGCTGCACACGCTCAACTTTGCTTTGGTCATTAATTGTATAAGGGCTCTATAGTACTAGACCATACTCCATATAATATTATAGTATATTAAATATTTTTCAATAAAACGAGTTAATATTTGAATAATTTTTTCAAAAATTAAAAATATTACTATCACAAACATTAAAGTATGGTTTATTTAACAACTAAAATATTAATCGTACTCACTATATAATTCATCGATGGTTATAATACGGTAAGTTATATTATGTTCTGTTTCAGTATACGTACTACCCTAATGTTACAATTTACAATTTGTTAACATCTATACAATTATTGCTTGGCTTTTATTAGTTGTAAATAATAAATGAAAACGTACAAATGCCTAGTTGAAATTTAATTTGAGTTTTAAATACAACAATAAACGTTGAAAATTAGAAACTATTTTAAGTGGAGGTTTGTTAAATATTTATTGACAAATTAAAAATAATTATTTTGTATTAAATAAATTGTATTAATTTGGCAGTACACTATATAATATACTTTGATCTTTAAAAAAGAACTGATACTGTGAACGGGTGCAGTCACTGTTAGAGGTGGGAAATTAGGAAGTTAGAATATATAAGGTTATTTAATTTATATCTGTAAACAACGATAAACCATTGCTGACGAAAAACGATTCCAAACGCAGTTCGGTAATATATAATTTGAAGTACCGTAATTTTTTTTTGCGATTTTCGTTTAAATTTAATTTCAAAACGATTATTAAAAAAAATTCAACAAAAATACGGTCTCTTGTCGTTTTTCAATTAGGGCCATGTTGGTGCTAGAAAATGTGGCAAGTAAGTACTTGTACTTATTTGCAATAACGAAATCGTGAAAAAATCGTATTTTTTTCCCCGGTTAATCGTTTTTATTTTAAATACCGTTTCAAAAATCAATAAACGACCTATGTATTTACCACCAAGTAGATAAAATTGATTTTCAGAAAATGTGTTATACTTATACATCGGAGCGAGTTTTCTAGGATAAAAGTAGTCTATAGTATAAAAAAATAAAATAAAGTACCAATGTAAAAAAATTTAAAAAAAAGAAAAAAACTCGTCCCATAATTTTATAAAATTTGTCACATCTAGTTTGCCTAGATCCAGTATATGTATTATTACCAAGTTTCAAATCTCTATGTGTATTTATAACCGAATAACAGCAAAAGGTTGTTTTTATAAAATAATTAAATAGTGAAATTGTACGTTTTCCTAAGTTTTTTCTCACTTATAAGTGCTTTTGTTTAAAAATGACGTTTTTAAAGTACAATCTAGACAACATGACCTTTCATAAAAGTTGCTACACGTAAAATTTGGAACAAGTTTACAAGGAAAAAACGTGTCCACAAACTAGAACAAAGAACAAAGAAGAAATAAACAGCATTGTAAAATCAATAACTCCCTCACTACGCTAGGAATCTAAATTACAAACGGTTATAAAAATAAACAATGTTCAACTTCTTTTTAACCTTATACTGCTTAACCTTTTCCTAAACCTTAAATAAAATTGTCTAGCTTTTTAAACTACTGAAAACTTTAATTATGAAATGGGATGGTCTGGTTAAACTTAATCATAATAATGACTATTTTAAAACATTATTACTGAAATGCATTTTATTTCATCATTATACTTATTCAATAATAGTTTCCTAACGTGCCGAATGAACATTAAAATTTTTAATTATTCGTTAATTATTATGAAGACATTATAATTTTTGAGACGCTTACATTAATTTTATTCATCAAGGTCATTAGGACAATAAAAAATTAGAATTGGTCTTTTTACTAGTTTGAAAATAAGGCATCTAGTAGAAAACAAAAAATCCATGCAAAGTTTAAATAATGTAATGCAAACACAGTACAAATCTGTGCATATTTCTTATAGATATTTTCTTTCCCAATTGTGCCCGATTATTTTAACACTCACTTAGAAAATCAAAAAGATCTATAAAATATGTTTTTTGTTATGTTTTAATTGTAAGAAAATGTCTAGTTGAAAAGCTATTTACAGATACAAAAAGAAAAAAAAACATAAGCTTACATAATATTAAAACAAATAAACTTTTCACTCTATTCAGAATTTAAAAATAAAAAAACCAAAAATAATGTTTTTACCGGTTTTCTAAATCAGTAAGAAATCTGTATGGAAAATGAAGAAAAAAACTTTCTCACCAACTAGATAATTTTTTTTTTTACAAAAAAGACGCTTAACTTGAATTCCGTGAAAGACTTTTGGATTTTTTGAAAATAAAAAAAATGAAACCAATTATGCCATAAATTTGTCAGATTTCCTAATACGTTTTTGGGGTTTTTCCTATTGTTATGGTAACCGTTTGGTAAATCAAAAAATATCTTTTTCAATGTGCCAATATGATCCAATAATTTCCACAAAAAAGATCGCTTTGTTTTTTATTGATTGGAACAAGATTTATTGTCTCAAAGTGGTTTCCGATGTTTTTAACTATGTTCCCTCATTATTAAAAAATTCAAAAAATTACTTCTTTGATGCTCCAACTACTTAGACAAAATTTGATACAAAAAATCACTCTTAATGTTGATGAATAAGGGGATATTTTTGATCGTAAGATAATTCACATTACAAAAAAAAAAAACATTCTTCACTTTTCTCAGAATTTAAAAAAATATTAATTTTTTTTTATTTTGAGTTCGGGTGTTACTAATAATAAAACTAAATTTGTTAACCTTGAGACAACTTTTTCTAATATAATACTTTCTGTCTATAATTTTCGATGTATTTTGAATTTCTTTATAATTAATAATTTATACTCAGTCATTTTTATTGATTGTTTTTCCATTACTGCTCATTGACAAATTCAGAAAAATCTTCTAGTTTTATTCAATAGAGTGTCAACAATTGTCTATTTATAAAATCTCTGTAAAATTATTATAGTCAACAAATTATTTTCTGAAATTGGTGAAATATAAAATAAAACAACCCCCGTCATTTTAAAAATATCAGAGAGTTGACGAAAATCTATGTTAAAATAAAAGATATGTTTAAGTTAACAAAATAACAAATATTTTGGTATGGGATGGTATTTTCTATAATTTCGATATTATTTATATTATTTTTAGTGGAGAAATGTCGGAGGTCGAAAAATATAAAATCTTTTTTTTTTCAATACTATCATTATAGATCTTTATAGAAATTGACCTACCTGCCCGAAAAATATTAAATTTGACGTAGCTTTTTATATATATATATATATATATCAATATCAGAATGAGTTTAGGTAAAATATTCGAACCTCATTTCGGTTCAATATAATATATTATTATTTATTCATACAAGAATTAATCGGATTCGTATCCTATCTGGAAAATATTGCATAAAAGATATTAGTATAATAACTTTTCAAAACTTAAATAGTAAAATATATCCTATTCAAGGGCGGAGTGGGAACCAAATTCCAGCAGGTATATTGAAATTGTTCCAGGCTCCCAATAAAATACGTACTTCAGTTTTTCTCATTACGATTTATTTCAGAATTTTTATTTGAATCCACAGAACTACTTGAAATATTTTCAATAATAATTCATCATGTGTGTACAATTTAATTGTAATAATTATTGTTTTTTTTACTTTGAAAATTTAATAGTCAATTATTTTAAGCACTAGTTTGTTGAAATAGTTCAAATTGAGTTGTAATAATATACCTAAGAAAAAAATGTATGTGATATTTACAGAAAATGGTTTCTTTTAATATTTAATACATTTTAGCTACTGAGGAGGGCGAGGTAGTTTTATTATAATATTTATGTCATATTTTTTTTTGTCTGTAAAAAAACTTTTGCATTACGTAGCAGATTTTAACGAGTTGGTGCTGGAAATAATCTCTTTTTATTTTCTTTGTCCGTATAATTTGTTCGTATGAGTCTTGTATTTCCATAGAGTAATAATTATTTTGGGATATTTTTCATGTATTGGTTCAATAAACATACAAAAATTATAAATTAAAAAAAAAACACTCTATAAGGCACCAACTTCGTGACGTATTAGAGTTGCATACTAGTACTCGTAGTTGCCACGGGTGCTATCGACGGAAAACGTTTAATACGAATTCTTCCGCTATTACCGCAATATTTCACAATTGTCCAGATTTACATAGGTCACGGCGTAACAGAAACCTTTAATGTATAAATATTTCCGCTTTTCTGACGCTTCTTTTCTGTTAAATTATTAAAAAATCCTGTAGAAGTTGACGATTGGAGTGCAATTTTTAATAAAAGAAAATTTGTTCATGGACAGAAAAATAGGAAAAAACCGAAAATTCAACAGCCAACTAAAAGTATTATACTTCCGAAAAACACTGCTGGAGAGAGCATACGTAATTTAAGGATCTACTTATGTATTTGGTAAATAATAATGCTATAATATTATTATCAACTCGGAAGTATCATTTTCACCAACAGACCGGATGGTTGTCTGGCGAAAAGTGGGCCATTCGCGTTCCATTGTTATACGCAATACGGCACAATTCTAAATGTTGCATTGTGTTTGATCGGTGCAAATAACGATGGAAATAAAAAAAAAACTGTAAAAAAACCATTCCTATACAATAATAATAATAATAATAATAAGCACTGTTGAAAAAAAAAAAAACGAAAAATAAACCCGAAATAACCGTACCGAGTTGACGAGTTGATAGGTGAAGAAAAAACCTCGGCGTGATATTTTTATAGGGAAAAAAACCCGTGCGTTAGGTTTTTTTTCATCTTTCGGTCACAGATTTTATTATGAATATAACTGGCGATTTTTTTTTCACGTAATATAATATAACTTAGTAGGAGTCCGGGATTTGGGAACTAATTACCCATCGGCGGTATTCACGGGTTTTTGTTTAGGCAATTTTAATGAAATTGTCGAGAAAAAAAAGAAATTTTAACGATTAAAAAAATGTTATTCAAATTCGCTTTTGAATATATTTACTACTAGTAACGCGTTTTTCACAAAATTAATACTTTATTGTTTAATTTAATGCAATTTGTTCGAAAAACAAGTTCACATAACAAAATGTCACTTTTGGATAATCAAACCAATATACTTATAAATATTTTCTTTTATGTTCCGAGTTTAACGAATTTAAGAGTTTAATTGGTTTAACTATGATGGATGTTTTTTTTTTTTTTTTTTTTTGTATTATTTTGAGGTTTTTTTTAGCCGTATTACTCCGTTAACCACTCTTCTGATCGGGTGTTTTTTTTAAAATAAATACACCATTGAAATTTATGAGGTACGCAGTTATTACTAATCACATTGATGGAACTTGTCATCAAAATGATAAGAAATAATATATTACTTTTACGTTATATTATTGCGATGTGTACTTTTTTATGCCTTTTACTGTAATAATTATTGTTATTTCGAGCGCTTTAGATAAAGGTACTGTAATGAAATGAGGGATTTACGAATTATCCGGTGGCGTTGACTAATAATAATACTAATAACATAACGTCATTGTCGTGGTACAATAGATAATGAATTTTAAGTACCTAACCAAAATAGATATTTGTAAAAAACAAAACTATAATTACATTCGATTATAATATTTCATTTTGTTGATTTCATATTTCTTACTTATCGGTATATTAATTATCGGCGGTAACAAACAATGTTTTAAAATCAAAAAAAGACGGACATACTTCGCACGTTGGTGGGTCACTGTTGTTGGTGAGAATAGACGGGGAACTTTAATGTATGTCTGTAAGAAACTATAAACCATTGCTAACGAAAAATGATTCTGAGCCAAGTTCTGTGGCATATAGTGTTGCGTTGTCAACAATATAATATATGCCATGTTATTATGGTAAAATAGTTACATAAGCAGTGTATATTTTCGTTAATAATATTTGTTTAATATTGTACCTATTTTCCAGTTTTCCCACGTTTTTCTCAGTTTATCTAATTTATTGAAAAAACTCCTGGGAAGATGGAAAAATTACCTTTTTAATGTATCCTCTCAATTAAATTAACTTTTTGAAAAAATGCTATACTTGTAAATTGGAGCGATATTTCTGGTAGAAAAGTAATTCTCAGATAAAAAATAGAAAATAGACATAATTGTAAAACTATAAAATCTTCACTCCACTCAGAACCTAAAAGCTTGCTAAATGTGTATTTTTATTAATCATTTTTTACACAAAAGTGTCATAATTATTTAATTAACTACTTCTTAATTTGTATACTTTGTAAAATTATGTTCATTAATACCATCATCACTGTCATCTCAGATATTGGTATTTTTTTTACTAATGATTTGTTTTGGTTCTGCTATCCGAAACTTAAAATTGGCCACAAAAAAATAAATAAAACATTCAATTTCTCAAAATTGGAGGTAGTAGAAATGTACCTTTTGTTTAGTTACGCAAATCAATAAAATTAATGACAATTACAACAATTAAACTGAATCGTGGGTTTTGTATATAATTGTGCATTTGAGAGTTACTATAGCGGTTCCACCTGTCGTTACTTCCTTCGAAAGAAATAATAGACAAATTAAATTCATTTTTTTTTTTTTTATTTTTTTTTATCCATATCACAAAAATAATCTTTAAAACAACAAAAATAATTCAATTTGTGTACATAGAATATCAATTTCCCTGTGTGAGCCCCTCTTTAAGGGTTGAATATAAAAAAAAAATTCAATATATTATTCCTTGTGTCTAGAAATACTCCTATGCAATATTTCAGCTTAACTCTTATGTTACTTATAAAAATATTGTGTTATAATTTTTGACTTTGATCTTAAAAAACCTGAATCTGTGTTAGAAACAACAACGCTCGCAACACGTATATCGTAGTTTGGGAAATAAGTGATAGCAAACATAATACAAATCCAAATAAACTTTCACCATTTATAGTATCAGTATAATTGATATTATTTTTTAAATCAGAAAACGTTTTTTCTGCACTGTTATATACTATTTATGTATAGCTAATATATCCATTTATTCAAGCATGGTTTGATCAAATACCTAAATTAAAGTAAATATTAAGTATTTGTACATCACGTCGTCGTCGTCGATTTTTGAGGTCATATTCGACAAACTCCTTGCAACCTTAAAACATGCTTACACCTCCACCCGAGTTCGTTTATTTGGTCTAAATCATTACACATACATTTGGAGCGACAGCGTGCAGTGATGATATTATAATATTATAATAATATGTAAGCCGGAATTCCCGAGATGAATTAATAGCCGGGATGCTGATGAATAATAATGATGACGTCATAATATTATAGTAGCAGAAAGGATTGATAATAATTAATATTATTATCACGATACGTAAACGGGTTTTTCATAAGGTACTGCGCGATACGATGTCACGCGTAAATTATTTTTGATAAATTAACACCGTTTGCAAGGAGCCTATACTTTGCATCCGCCGGTTATCGATTTCGATTGCAATATAGATTTCCCAATCTATTTTATCTAATAATAATATTTTTTCCAGATCCAATATTCCAAATCTTGACGAAATATTCCACTTTAAGGTTATTAATACAGGATGAAAGTAGTGGAACATTAATCAAACGCCGCATGTCTCGCATCTACACAATTTACGGCTTGCCGCGACGTTACTGATTTTATTGTTTGTAATTATTGCTAACAATGTTTTCTACCAGAAATATTGATCCAATTGAATCAACAAAATACCTATTTTGGTGAATGGAAGATTCTGAGTTGAGCGAAGAAACATATGGTTTTACAAAGATATTTATTTTTTATCTGTGCGAAAATTTTCTACCTTTTTTATTTTTTCTGATAACATGTTTTCTAAATAAAATTTGAATGAGAAGATACTTTAAAGGGGTAGTTTTCCAGGAGATTTCCAAATAAATGGAAAAACCCGAAAAAACGGAGGAAAATAAGTAAAATATTTAACATTTATTATTAAAGAAAATATATAATGCCTGTGCAATTATTTTACCATAATATGGCATATAAATTATATTGTTGACAAAACAACACTATCAATTGAACTCTGTTCAAAATCGTTTTTCCGTTAGTAATCGTTTATCGTTGCTTACAGATATACATTAAATTTCTCCTCTACAACTTTCCTTACTTCTCACACATAACGGTGGCTGCACCTACGTGTGAAGTATATCCTTTTTTTAATCTTGATCATGTGTAAGAAAGTCGTTTTCATTTCACTAAGATTGGGTAATCGAGTAAAATCGAAAAACAAAACGTGAGAAGACTGTGAGAAATTACGAAAATAGTGTTTTTATTATTTTTAATTTTGTTATTTTAGATTTTAAGTGGACCGAAAAAGCTTATGGTTTTACACAAATGTTTATTTTTTTTTTAAATCTATGCACAATTTTTCTACCGGAGGACTTGCTCATATTTTAAATGTAGCACCTTTTCTAAAAGCAAAATATGGTATATCGGTATGGAAAGGTACTTATGGTAATTTTTTGTTTTTATTCAGAGTTTTCTCATCAAATTTAGAAAACCGCAAAAAACTGAAGAAAAACGAAAAAATATAAGAAATGTAGGGATTAGTTAAAATTTATTACGACCTTCTTTTTTCATGTGAACAACTTTTCTACCAGCAATTTTGCTCCAATTTATAACGATAGCTTATAGATCTGTAGTTAGAATATTTTCTTAAAGAAAATTTGACTGGGAATGTATTTTACAGAGGAAAAACGTAGGAAAACTGAGAAAATCTGGACAACATTAAACAAATATTACTAATGAAAATATATAAAGCCTATTTAATTATTTTACTCAAATATGACATATATTGTTGACAAAGAATCACTATCAACCGAACTCCACTCAGAATCGGTTTTTCGCAATGATTTATTGTTGGTTACAAGTATGTATAAAATAACCTATAATAGTAGCTGCACTTGTTCCCATTGTTATCATTATTTTTTATTATTGGAATTTAGTTAAAACTGTTCATTGAGACTTGATATTTTAGACAGAAAATTTATATTTTCCCTTTTTGGACGTGGTAAAATATTCAAAACATTCTAGCTATTTATTAAGTTTTTTATTGGTATTTTAATTTTGCAAGTTTTTACGTAATTTTTATTCGGAAGATACTCTGTGGACAAAATTTTTAGTCTCAATAGAAACGTTTAAAAATTTAACAGAAGGTTCATTATAGTTCGTAATTACTGGTAAAAAAAAAAAAAAAATGAGTGAAATTTAGTATTTTTTTTATTTCATAAGAGTTTTAAAACCACATTTTAAACCTAACCGAATTTCACTCCGAATTGTTTTTCAATAGCGTTCGTAATTTTTAAAAATGTACACATTCCGAAATAATGAGTATTTTACGTTATGCTGATCGTCCTGTATATGAATTACGCGTTTTGACGGACCGTTTTATTTGTCAACGATTTCTTTCGTTTAATATATTACAATAATACAATTCCGCAGAGTTTTCTGAAAACGTAATGAAATTGCCTTTGTATACAGAGTGATCAATCTATCGCAAGACACACATTATCTTAAGTATTGATTTTTTTCGGAATTTGATTTAAATTTACATTTAATTTTTTGTGTCACAGGTAACCTATATTAAAATAAAGTAAATATATATATATAAATAAAAAATGTATATATAAAAATAAAATAAATAAATGAACCAATGCGTCGCCTCGAGTATTGTGATAAGTGTATTATACGACCGGTTTCGAATTAAAAATTCATTATCAGGTATATCACAGTCAAAATTTAATTTTACATTTAATTTAATTTAATTTAATTAAACTGTAATTTACCAATGATAAATTTTAATTCGAAACCGGTCGTATATTACGATGCATTTATTTATTTTATTTTATGTATACATTTTTTTTATATGTTTATTTACGAGCATTAACTATTTTAATAATTTTGTTTTTACTTTATTATTTTACTACCTATATTTAAAAATTACACAAAAAGAAAAATATTCCACTTACAAGTGGAATATTTCGTCAACGGATTACGGAAACCAAAAATTCCAGCACTAAAATTTATTTAAACCAATATTCTATCTATTTATAGAGATTGTAATTAATTAATTTTTAATTTTCTATTTATTATTATTTTTTTTTTTTTTCTAACATCAAATGTATATAAAAGTTACGCTTCTCACGCTATTTAATCTAAAAATAACATGAGTAGAAAATCTTGTTTTTAATATTGCATATTATTAAAACTATTAATTGTTACATTTATTTTCACCGAACGATTTATACACAGGTTTCTATGAAGTTTCAATAGTTTCTCTTCGCCTTAGCCCAATAAATGATATTTTCAAACAAAAATTGTCTAATTACTCTTATAATAATCAACAACGGTAGATAGGAAGAGAAAAAATAGGTATGTTGTAAATACAATTTATGTTAGTCCGTTTCTGTAATATACGCTACTACAGTATAATAAATTATAGTTTAGATAGGTACCTACCAACAAAAAATGTTTCTTTTGAGAGTATAAGAACTCTTAAGGGTGATATTTGTCGTCCGTTTTTTTGTCCGGATTTTTTTACGGCCTACGAACACTACTATATTGTTATTAAAAAGAATATTATTAAAACGCAAATGATTTTAGAATACGATATATTTTTGCGAGTTCATATATACCTACGATTAATTACTTAAATACCGATAAACTATATATTGATTTTGTTACATTCGTAAAAAAACCTACAAGTGAACTAAAAACTCGCTCCCATCTTATTTAAATAAAAAAAGTTAATACTGCTCATGAGTAGAAATCGAAAATTTGTACCATAGCTAATTATTGAAAAGGTAAGGTACAGGATAATTTAGATTATTGTGTGTAACGATAAATAGAAATGTGTAAACGAAAAATCGATTTTGAGTGGAGAAGTATTAGTTGTGTTTTCTCCTCGTTTGGATAGGTAATCCAGAAATCAACAAAAATCTAAGATCTTCAAATTTACTGTTCAAAATATTGATAAAATGTTTCAAATAAGGTATCACCAAGCAGAAATTTTGCCCCACTGGAAGTAAATGAAAAAAAAAATTAATAAAAATATTTTTTTTAGAAAAACTATTAAAAAGTTCAAAAAATGTTTTGAAATAAACGAAGAATCAACATTTTAAAGATATGATATAAAAAAAGACTATTGTTACTAGGTAACAGTAAAAGTGTTCTTCAAGAAAAGAAACAAAAATTACATTTAAGTAAAACTAAGAGCTTCTCTGTTTTACTCAGAATCTAAAAAATAATAAAATAATAGGTACATAAAATTGTTCACTGAGACGTTATCGTAGTATTAATACGGAAAAATCGACGACAGAATATAAAATCTAAAATGACGATATATCATAATATTGCGTTTCTGAACGCAAACGGTTTCACGAACTTATGTAAACAACCGAGATTAATAAATTTCAATTGGAACACTCAATTTTACTCATTATAAACAGTCGTCAATAATAATTTTTTTTTCAGTCCGACAATATTAGTTTTCGTAATGGAAATCCGTTTCTGTCATAGTTACCAAACCTTGCGTGACGTTTACGGCCATTTAAATATTAAATTAAAAATAATTACGCACAATGAGTGCATAACGAAATTGAAATTTAACCGTATAAACAAGTGATGGGCTCTATCGAGTGCAAACTATTGAACCTAGCAGTTTACTATCGGGTTTGTCCCATTGTATGCCCGCAGCAGCATAAACAATCTATAAAATAATAGCAATATCAGAGTTTGCCGATTATGGACCCAACAGTTACTCACGACTGATCGGTTATACATCTCAGAAATCGTCAAATCAGATAAATGTATTTAAATAAACAAATATTATTACTATTAAAATTATACCACGGCCACAACGGGTCGATCGCGGTCCACGACGATTCGCTATTCGCGCACGATACCAGTTGTTTACTTATCATCCCCATACATAAAATAACATTAACATTTAGCAAAGCCAGAAACATATAATTTGTAATGTATTTGGCAGTTAAATAAAATTTGTATTATTATTATATTTGGTATTTGGTTTTTTTTTTTTTTTTGAGGGGAGGGGGGGGTTGGAGCACTTATAATTTTTACATCAATTATCATGTTTTGTTGAACGAAAAAATACACCGAAATAATCAATAAACAAAAAATGGGGGGCATGCCCCCCTCTGCCTTTCTCCTGGCACTGGTGTCCACTATTCAGAGAAGGTTAAAGTTCCTGTTTCCAAAAAGACTGCGATTTCTAGATGTCACTGTATACCTATACAGTACCTATTTAATAATATTTTGAAATTAATTTAATAATTTCTAGTCATAAAATCAACAACTTTAGAATTAGATAGGTAGTCCAATGGATAGGGCGTAAGGTCAGTGTAAGTAGGGTCTTGGGTTCAATATCCGACTATCCAGATAGAGATGCGAAATTCCGTTTTTTTGCATTTTTTTCTTAATAGACAAACAATGTTAGGAAAATATGATTTTTAAAATATTTACTAAGTATTATTACATAAATGTCCTAAGACCATAAAAAAGTGGCCAAAATATGACCACTGAACATTTCAATAACATTATTGTGCATTGATTAAAATTTTGTTTAAACATTATTACTAACTAATAATTCTAAGAACATTTAATTGCTGTTTGGGTTATTAAATAATTATTTTAAATTAACTAGGAAAATCAAACAAATTATATCTATAACGATAAAAAGTCTACCTGAAATTAATGATCATAGTTAGATTTCTAGTGAAAATGTTGTTTACAGACACAACAAAAAAAAAACCCCACACCATCGTAGTAAAACCAATATATTCCTTGCTACGCTCAAAATCTAAAAGTAAACAAAAATACAGTTATAAAATATTATATTGTAAATATAAATAGATTTATAACTCGCAAGTTAAATTTGCAGTTGGTTTAAAATTACAGAATAGAATATTTCTCTTGATGTATACCTTTCCCTTATCTTTTTCTCGTAAATACTATATTTACTCACAAAGTTCATCGAAAAAATATTAGTACAATGATCATGTTATCCGGAAAATAATTTTATACTATTTTTCTAAGACGCGAAAAGCTAATTGTTATTCGATATACTCGGACAGCAATTAACAGTTTAAACAAATTTCGTTGGGGTTCATGTAGCTTTTAGAACCATTCGTCTCTGTACCAATTTTCCAGCTATATCCATAAATTTTCAAATTTGACCTACGTGCCCGAGGAATGGCTAAAGCAATTATATCCTTTTAATACTATTTTACTACCACTTAATTTCATATTTATTACATCATTATTTCTACCTTATCCTCAGTCGTATAAGGTTTTTTTACAATTTGCTTTAGTTCCAATAGTATCCTTGTTCAAGGAGCTCAATTTTATTCACTTGGTTAGGTCGGATTAAGTTCTATATTTAAACGAACAAATATCACTTCTTGATATCTAGCGTTAAATTCAATGGATTAATCCCAAGTGGTTTATTTGATAAATGTATAAGTTTTTATCTCCCTCAGTGAGTATCTTTTCATTTCAACATTTGTTAACATTTTGTCAATTTATTATTGTAAGTCATCATCTCTGAAAAAAAATATCTCGATAGTATATCAATAGTATACGCACGTAATACATTCATTTTTGGACACCGAACAGTTTAATAATCGGTTTCAGATTCCTTTCCCGATTTTATTTTGCAACATAAATCAATTTTAAACGTTTAACCGATATAACTCTTACCGGAACATACGTAATTCCGCAACTACAGTATATAATACAATATAATAATGTACTACACTGATCTAAATTTTATGTTAATAATTCTTCCGTAATCAGGATCCGGATTGTCCGGACGTCTGACTTTTATTTCCATAATGTACGATGAGGGTATAATATAATACTCGTATGTATTCAGTATATATGTATATAATATATAATATATTTGTTTTAAATAAAAAATCGTCCGTATATTTTAAAGCTATGTATATTTTATATGTTTACCGACGAGAAGTTTATAACTGTGTTCGGTTAAGTTTATTTTTTTCTTTTCCTATTCTTCTTTAATAGTATGTTGTGTTATAGGTATATCAACTATACCTAAAGTTGCTATAGTGTGTCACTACACGTCCAATGCGATTGCGCATAACATGATAACGTATTTCCGTTCCCAACAGGATAACTGTTTCTTGAAAATTCCGTCGGTGATGTTTCCACGTGTAACTAGATTGCATATCAGTATACAAATATTATCATGCTGAAATCCATTAAATCAAAATCTAAATATTCTATTAAGTAAGCGCATACACATCGAGTGACGGCTGTATGAGTAAATAAATATATATATGACATTCAACTCTGTCGACAAATGACGTCAGTCATCTACAACTGCGTAGACGTACGTTTGTATAATAATGTGTCTGGAGCCGGATTTATGAAATTCGTAGACGATGCGTTCGGATATCATATAATTGTTATGGCCCAAAGGGGCATGTTTTCCGCTTTTAATATCGCAAATGAAGCTCGTAAAAATAGGTAGGAAATATACCGTTTTTGGTGTTTATCTGAACTAATAAATATCCCGATTGCGCTTTACGTATTTAAAACATCGCAATCACATGACTTAACAATAGGTATTTGGCGCAATTGTTGCACTCCCAACCATTAAAGATAAAAACAGTAGATAAACTACAAGATTGCAAAGTCAGTAAGTATAGTAGTATTTACTCTTGTGCTGAAGTTTCTTATTAGTTATTACGTTAGTGCCAGTGTTGCTTGGTTTTTCGTCTTATACGGTGTTTTAAGAATGGATGTTTTCGAAATGTTAATTAAGTCTTAAAGACAAACCAACATTAATAATATTTAACTTTTATTTTCCTTTATATAAAATGTTAGCAAAAGAAATAGAAAAATTTGATTATAAGAAATTGGGAAGGTAGAAGAGAGATTTAATGTATACATGTACGCAAACATTAATCATTGCTAACGAAAAACGATTTTCAGCAAAGTATAGTTACATATGTTCAGAAAGACCGTAATATTAATGATTTGAAAAAATACATTTTGTAAATTTTCCCGTTTTTTCTAAATTTTTTTTCGGTTTTTCCCATGTATTAGCATAAACCCTAAGAAAATAAAAAAATTACTCCCCTAAAGTACTGTCCTAATCAGATTCAATTTCAAAAAAAGTACTACACTTGATAATTGGAGCAAAATTTCTAATAGAAAATTTATTCACAGAAAAAAAAATTTAATAATAAATATCATTGTTAAACTAATATATTCCTCGTGATAATCAGAATAATTGTAAACGTTTTTTTAAAAATGATACAACACGGAAATTTTAAAAATTAAAAGCAATTTTGTTGCTTATAATTAGGAATTTGAATTTATTAAACTTAAAAACCACAAAAAACTTAAAACAAAAGAATTTCATTTGAATCAATTTGAATTATTAATTTGTGAGCGTTAGAAAATTGTATTTAATGAAGTGGTACTTGTAAAGAGAAATTTAAACCCTTCTACCATTTTTGCTTTTCAAGTGTTTTTTTCATAACTTTTTAAAGGTTTGTAAGTGCTTTTCTGTAGTTTTTAATTGTAATCAGTCCTTAGCTTTGATAATAACCATGAGTCAATTATGGCCTTGATTTAAATTTACTGAATTTTACTATTTATTTGACTACGTAAGTTATGTATACCATTTATTAAATGTCTTCATTTATATATAATGTTGATTGTATTGATATTATTAGTATGTTTATTTATCATTTATATATAAAAGTTATTATTCCTATAATAAAACAAAATTTTTTTTTATAAAATTGTATTTTTGTTAAATTTTTGCCAAAATTGAAGACTATTATATTGTATTATGTACATTATACATATTTTTTTTGTTTTTAGGTAGATTGAATAAGTGATACAATTTCGGTGGAATTTAAATACGGACTTTGCCATGTTATTTCAAAATGAAAGTGTTTTTTGAGCTTTTAACACCCCTACACATCCTCTAAAATAAGCCAGTGTACAGTGAGATAAAAATTTTTTATGCATAGTATACCTAAGTAACAGAGATGTACTTTTTTAGGGTTTGAAATTTTTAAATTTTAACCCTTTTCCAAATGATTTGTATGCTTTCATTTACGCTCATTAAACTAAGTAATGGAGTTAAAATTGTGTTTGAAGACTAGCAAAAATCTCGGAAAAAACATAACCTATTTTGATCAAACGTATTTCGTTTATAGGTAATTTAATGTATATCTGTAAGCAACGATAAATCATTGCTAACGAAAAAACGAATATGAGCAAAGTTCAATAGAAAGTGATGCTTTGTAAACAATGAATATGTCATATTATGGTCAAATAGTTAAATAGGCATTTTATATTTTCTTTAATAATATTTGTTTAATGCACCAAATTTCCCGTTTTTCCCAATTCACAATTGCTTGGAAAAGTCCTTGGAAAATAAAAAAATTGACCTTGCTTAAAGTACCTTCTCACGTCAGATTTTCTTTTAGAAAAAGTGCTATCATTATAAATCAGAGTAAAATTGCTGGTAGAAAGTTGTCCACAGAAAAAAAATAAACATCATTGTAAAACTATAGGATTCTTCGTTCCGCTCAGAATCTAACAAGTAAATATTTTAACAGCAACAGGTCTGCTGAAAATTTGACTCTGGTGACGGAGCTGCTCACAAATGTTATTATAAGTATCCAGCTATTTCCGTTATACGTAAAATAAATATCATATTTTGTGAATCAATGTGTGTTTGGGTGCAGTTGAAATACTTATATTTGGAAACGCAACACGAATTCAGACTACAATCGGGCATTTCCAATCCGTTCTGGGTGACCCAATTTTACAAGAAAATAATATATATGTATGTTCTAAGTGTTAAAACAGTAATATAATCGTTTGAGAGGCGATGAATAAAGATACATTTTTCATTTTATTTAAGTTTGTCAGACGTTTTTCCAAGAAACATATTATTACGCAGTACTCTCAGACTTGTAGTCAATGCGATATAAATCTAATATTGTTATGAACGATTATTTAAAAAATAGTGTAAATTAATACCTGCTTGGAGAGAAACGAGGTCAGAATTTATCGTGAGGGGGTTCTAAACGATGTACTGAAGGGTGGTTAGAAGGGGGGAGGAATGGTCGGATCAGTAAATTTTACTAGACAAACATGAATATATAATAACCATAATAAACTGTCTCGGAAAACAGTTCGTGCAACTAGACAACACTGCAGACTTCAAAGGGACCATATAGTTAAATATCGTTTTGTGCCAATGACTGTGCAAAACAAATTGGACAAAGTTTGTCGGTTCTGTAAGAAAACTTGGTGGAAAATCAAATGCAGGTACGATTTCTAATCAAGTCGAATCCGTCGACTGTTTGAAATCCATAGACTGTGAACCCGTAAACTGCGAATAATATACTCTGCAATGTTTGCATATAAACAATGATTAAGAAAATTTTCGAATAAGTATACGTGATGAATTTAAATGGCCTGTCCAGTTTCGTCAAAGGTATCGGCGATGGCTAAAAAACACGGGGAAATTTCCGTACGGAAAGGGTTATTGAGGAACGGACTAATGGAGCCGTGGAATAAGCACAAAAAAAAAAAAATTAAAAATTTTACAAATGACGGGCACGCACGTGACGTAATTGCGAGTACACTCGCTGGGTGGTCCCGGAGAAAAGTGGTGGAGGGGGGAGGTACTGACGATATAAGGGTTGAACGGGACGTCGTAACAGGACGGCTGCGGCGACGGTGACGACAGCCACACGAGCGTTGGTATACCCGCAGAGTAATAATTGACGACGGCGGCGGTGGACCAAAGGAGAGCGGGAATCATAGAAAGTACACATCCGGTTCGCGGGCGGTGACTGCGATGTAAAGGGTGTGTGTGTCTTTTGCCGCGCCGACGGAAACGCTCCCGTCCGGCGGTGGCCACCAGGACATCGTCGACGGCCCCGACACGCGCGAAACGCAATTGCCGCGCGGCTGCAACGGCGGCGGCAGTACTCATACACTCTCAGCCGTCACCGCCGCAGCCGCTGCCGCCGACGGTCGTCAAGGCGACGGCTTGAGAGAGGTGCCGAAATCGCTTCGCTCTCGTTTTCCGCCCTGGGTCCAGTAGCTCGTCACGCGCGAGCATCGCACCACACGCGCGTGCCGTCGTCCACTCGTGGCGCTCAGTCGTCTGTCGGGCACGCAAACCGCACACACGCGTGCGCGTATCTCGTTCACGCGTACCTACGTATGCGGCGGCCGGCCGCGTTTTTTCGGGGGGCCGTCGTCGCCCTACTACTGTTATTGCTCCAACTGCCGGTGTGCCCGTCCCGGTGGCCAACGTCCGCCGGTGGTCGGGCGGACGCGTCGCCGACGACATCCGACGTCGCCGTCCGGTCCGGCGGCGTCGGCGTCGGCGGCGGTGGCGGGAGTCGGTGGAAACATAACAAGGGCGGCGGCGTCCGGCAATCGCAACATCAGAAAAAGACCGCCGACGAGAGTCCCGGTGTGGACCTGAACGTGGGCATTCTCGTGCCCAAGACGAGTTTCGGAGTGCGCGGCTACTTGCGCGCGATACACGACGCCTTACACAGCATCAACAAAGAGCACAAAAAGGAAACGATCAAGACGCAATTTCGGAAGCTCTACTCGTTTGAGAACGGCAACGTCCGGTACCGGATGATGTCGTTGACACCCAGTCCCACAGGTCGGTAGTATTAAGATTACAGTTATGCAATACTAACATCGGTACGATCGGTTGTGTTTAAGTTTACCCCTAGACCCAACATGGTGTTCACGTTGAATCTGTCAACGTGATTTTTATTCTTCTTTTATTCTAATTGATCGCGTTGAAAGACAATTATCCAATCTAGGTTTCCTTCTTTAACACTCACTTCGAATAACAAAATATCGTAAAAATTACCGAAATGTGTGCGCCTATACGATAATTATTGCATCCGAAAAATATAGTGTCTCAATAAATATTATCTTACCCATTGTTCTGCTGCAGATACGAAAAACCTTATAGCTTTTACTATAATTATATTATAAGGGTGCAACGAAACAAAATCTCTCTCGCTGTTTGCATATTATTACTATTATTGTTATTACATGAGCTTACGTGCCGAGGGATTAGCAGATTTCCGTGATCTGAGGGAGAGGGAGCACACAGATGTTTATACGGGCATTGATTATAGGTGTTTATTTTAGATGTAAGATCTTAGATTTAGAAAAATACATACCTAATAAATTTTATATTATATTATTTACTTTCACACGAATCGTAAATATTTTCAAATGGAATGCATGTTACGCACTATACGAATCGCCAATACGATACACTATTGCCCCTTACCCCCACTAACCCCTTTCATCCCTGTAAGTACGCCCTTATATCGTATAATATGTTGTCGTCCCGCTAGATCTCTTCCACCGCCGTCGACCGATCCCGTCCGAAAACCGCCGTTTTCGTCTCATCCGTAAAGTAACAAAAACGATAAAAGTCAATATCAACCTTCCTACAGTAAGCATTCCAACGGGCGTACCATTGTCAACAAAAAAATAATAAAGTAAAAGACGGTTTTGAAATTGTTTATTTTTTTTTTCTAATTATCTTTAGATCATATATAATTATCTTATACTTAACTCGTCCTTCTAGAATGTTTTAATTTACATTTACGATACATGTCTAAACGATTATTGATAACAATGTGTGGTAACAGGCCCCGTAAGACATTTACCTGTCACTGTTTTCACGTCCAATAATTTTCCATAGTTTTTTTTTTTTACAATACCACATATATTTAAATATAGTTTTATACCTACACCCTTTATTCGTACAAACTATTCAACTTCATTTTTGATAACAGTTTTTATAGATTTGAAAAAAAATATATATTAATATACAATTTAAAATTAATATCCGTAGGTATTATAAGATTTGCTAATAGAGCTGTATAAATGAACGTAACCTTCTGTTATTACTAAAATATTGAAAAAAAGGTTTTTCTGATTTTAAATTACATCGATTATTATTGTAATTGTATTTTAACAAAATCGTATTATTTAGAATTGATTATTTGTTAATATTTTTTATAATAATAAACGAGTTTAAATACGTTATAAGTTTGTTGTGTACTTACAGGTTGTAATAATTATAAACTGCTTTTTATTTTTTTGATGGGAAAAAATAATTGGACGAGGAAATATCTTACGGGTATTGGACGGGTAGTCCATGACTCTAATTTGTTATTTTCCGACAGAATTCGTTATTTATTCTTATTGTGTTGTTGTTGCAAAATCGCGTGTTTATAACTCGAAATGCTTTAAACGAATTTCGTTGAAATTTCGGAGGAGTCCCTCAGGCCCTCTCTTTATAAATGGTCCCCTGTTACTGCTCGTTTATAAATTAAGGATTACGGTACAGCAATGAGTGAATTAATGTTTAATAGATGTATGATTAACACCGCACATATTTGAACTGGGAACTTGACTACCTCGACTAATTGTAATTCTTAAAACAATTGCATATATTTATATTTCCTGTGTATAAACGAATTGACAAAAAAAAATATTTAATTTTCTTGAAAAACTGTATTTAATAATAATAACGATAATAAATATGTCTAACGATTAGGTAACAATATAATTCACTATATAGTTGGTAAAGTTGTCATTAATTTTGTAGTATGTTGAGCAAAATATTATCGAAAACTTTTATACTCTTACACAAGAGTAAAAATAAGCTCACACCGTATCAAAATCACTCGATTAAGATTTTTATTTTTGAACTTTAGGTCAATCTTAGACCTCTGATTTACACATGTAAATGCTGTGCACAGCCGAACGGGGTACAGGCACAGGATCCCCAAATTCTAAGAACTCCTCGTAAATAAGTACAAATTGTATTCTTTAAAGATATTTTTGGTAGATACAAGACTAAATATTTAATAAGCAATTATTATGGATCAGAATAAAAAACAAATTTTATAATTATACTATAAATGTATCATTTTCTGTACTTAAACGTGTAAAAACGTGAAAGTTTTCTTTTTTAACACAATAAAAACTAAATATTTTATCATTACTGTCAATCAGTCATGATAACTAAGTTTGAAGATATGTTTTTTTTTCAATTTAATAAAGACCACAAAAAAAGCGTACATTGGGCCAATATTTCTTTAAATTGGGCCTTAGTCAAGCTAAAAACTAGCGACACTTTGAAAACCAGTGACTTATACACATAGAATATTTTAGGGGTGCTAAATTATATTACAAATTGTCGGTGGTTTGTTTACGATAAAGTCATACTTTTTTTATATTCCATTGTGGTAGTGTCGTCTCTAATTTATAGTTTTGTCTGAGTCTAAGTGCTAAAAGAGTCTCCCTGCATTACTGGACTCTCGGGTTTTCCTCTTCAAAACATGACCGAATCGATATTTCCACCATTCCGGACTGAGTTGATGACACATTTCTATACGTAAGTGTACTGTGAGGGCGAAGAAGGTGGCATGTTTAGAATATGTAAAATGTATTTATTATACGCGAAAACAAATGAAACTAATTGAATTAAATGGCCGGTTATATACGTGCATTTCCGGTTTACTTATAATAAATTATCAAAATTTAACGTTGTATCGTAATAGTCTATACACATTATTATCGTTGTTGTCGGCCGAGCCATTTCGTGTAACGACTAAAGACCTGTGATTACACTTACTAGTTATATATATATAGGTACACGTCTACAAGTCACCGACCTTTTTTCAACCACCAATCGATTGACCGAATATAGGCAGTGGATAACTTTTGATCACGCGCATATTATACATACTATTTGAAAGCAAACGGTCTTGTAAAACAGTTTGATTAAATTCGATTCGCAGTAAAAACCGTTTTCGTTGCGGGAAAAATATTTCATTCATCTCCACCTCTTTTTTTTACAGATCTATATGTTTATTGAATACAAATGCAATATATAGTCAAAGATAATAAATAGGTATGTCGTTTGATAAACAAGGACGAAATGGAAGAAAAATGGTAAATTAATACGACCCTGTATTGTAATCAGCGGGTAGCCCGGTCAGAGGTCGGATGCTTACTTGCTCCTTTCTCTCATAAAAAAAAATACCGAACCAATACTCGCAACAATATTTTACACCGGAAATAAATAACTTTGTATATAATCCAATTGTTTAAACAAAAATAACACAAATAATCGTTTTCAACAAGGCCTGGATTGATTAAAATTTTTGATGCAAACAATTTGATGTCCTAAAAAATATACGAAAATTTTGTGTAGTTTTTATCAACTTATCGACTTTGGATGGAAGAAATATAAAGTAATGTTATTAGATAGCCGACACGTATTTGTTCCCACGAGCGTTTTCGTGTACCAATATAAATAATTTCATATTTTATGTTCCAAGTGTATTATCGATGAAGGTTGTTACTACTATTCTTTTTACTAAGGTGTGTTTTATTATTCCTTATATGAAAATACTTTTTTAACGATTAAAACTGCAAACAAATTATTCACATAGTACCTTTTAAAATAAGGGCATTTTTTGCCCGACTCTGTGGTATTTTGTTAAATTAAAAAGTCGAAATTCCCAATGGTTTTTTAAAATAATTAATACCAATAGGCATATTTTATTTTCGTTGATTTCTAGGCTACGATTTCAACAAAAAACTAAAAACACTACACATTTTATATTAGATATCTTACCGGTTTAACAAGCTCCCCACAGAATCGGTTTTTGATTCCGGCGATTGGTCATTGCTTCCAGTATATTGCATTGCTGTGTACATCCCTATATCCTGTATTATATACCAGTTATACCTTCCAAACTTCCTACTTACAACAGTGACCTATTCGTGATACAAAGTATATATTCATCCCTGAATTTTAAATTCAGCTAGTTTTATTAAGAAATCATTGTAAACCAACTTGCCAACTTTCTGAATATCCGGACCTTTAATATAATAGCAACACGAAGTTAAGTGACAAAATAATAATACATTCAGACGATTTATAATTATATTACAACGGAAAATAAAACAAATACTATATTTCAAATTAGTAACCGGAAGCTTTTCGACAAGCGATCTCGGTTTTCCGACGTTTAAGTAAGCTTATAATAATTATTCGATATAGGATGTACAATGCACAATCCGCATAGAGTAATTTAGTTCAAATGTATATATATATATATATATATATATATATATGTGCACACAACGATAAATCATTGCAATAAAACACGATTCTGGGCAAAGGTTCGTAAAACACGTTAAACATAATAGTTTATTAACTCAAATGAAAAATTGTACTAATTTTACATATGCATACTATGTAAATAACATATGTCCAATTCCTTTTGTCTCAAATTTTTGGATCAAATAAATGTTTTCCTCAAAAACCAAATACCTCGAATGTTTAAAATAGCTATAAATAATACCTGAAAAACTACAAGAATGAATTGAAAATCTTACCTCATCTATAAAGCTCTTATATTATTATTCAGTTAAAGTTACAACTTATTTGTTACTAAAAAGTTTGATTATATCATACTAAATTAAAACGAAAAGACAAAATAATAAAAACTGCCATTGATTAAATATTGAAGACTGAAGTTTTTTCACGTTGATAAGAAAACCACTAGGAAAATCAAAAAAATCACTCTCTCAATACACCAACTAGATACAATTTACTACCAGAAACCACTGCTGTAATCGGTGCTCGAAACATTTCTGTTGAAAACTTGTCTACAGAATGACAAAGAAGAGTAGCACATATTATTTGAATACAGTTTATTCATACATAATATACATTTTTTGTTACGTGTAAAAAAAATAATCATCTAACGAGGACTGTTTTAAAACGAAATTTATAGTTTTAAGCATTTGTTTTATTCGTTTTACACAGACGATTGATGGAATTAAAATAATATTATATATTATTATCGCTGTTGACTGAATCAAGCATTCGTTGGGCGATATAAGTTCTCTATCGGTTACCCTATTTCCTCCAATCCTAACAACCGTACAATTTTTAATACCGATCTAAATTTTGTATAATACACCGAACTGCAATCAACTTTCATTCATTATTATAATCCTTTTTTATTTATTTATTTTTTCAAGTTTACGAATTATCTGTCAAATCAAATTCCTGGAATATGGGAAAAAAATCAAATACTTTCTCGTTTTCTGACGCAATCGGAAAACCCGGAGATTACCATCAGTAACACACCGTATATTATATAGCACGGACGATTAACTCATTTCTGCAGATTACGTGTGCCATAGTATTTACGGGAAACGACATGGGATTAAAAATGTATAATATATTATATTTCACAAAATTACGGATACTTTGTACCCGGTATGAGTATTTATGGCCATCGATACGGAAATATTGTACCATCGGTCGTTCGTATCATAGACCAATGGTTTCCAGTTCGAACGCCTTTTGCACATGTTCAAATGCAAGTGTTCAACGAATTTATAGACCTACCTGAAATTAATTAAGCAGCTCGCCACTTTTGATAATTTGCAAACACAATTTTTCCGATTTAATAAGCTTGAAGACATTTTTATAGATTATGAGACGAGTAAAAATTTTATCTAAATTTTTTTTACTATAGGATGGAGATGTTTTTATGTTTTCATTTTTTTCTCTGGGAAAATGTCGATAGGAATATACTTACCCCGAATGAAAAATGTATAAGATCTTTTTTATTACATAGTATTTTAGATCTTGTTGGCACGTTGAAGGGTGATATTATTGTTTTTTTCTTTTCAGAATTCCTTGTATTTTTCTAAATATTTGTAGAAAGAATAATTGTTAAACGGGAATATTCACGAGTAACTCGCCAGACTTATGTCAAAATCGATTCGTTCATTCGTTGCGTTAATTAAGAAGGTGGCTGATAACCAAAATAATCAACCAAAGATATCTATCTAAAATATTTTCACCACGAATGCTTACGTTAGAATTTTCTGTTCAAAGGCGAAAATGTTTTCAAAATGACGGTTGCTTTTACTGCGCTACTATTTAAAAACACAATTTCGTTCGCAAATTTGATATAATAATGATCAACAAATGGTATTTTTAAATTCTGAACGAATCGAAAAATATAATGGTTTTACTATGATGTATGCGGTTTTTTTTTTAATTTTTTCAGTTTGTTAACAACTTTTGTACTAGAAATTTTACCCTAATCATAAACTGACAATAGCGTTTCTTTATAGTATTTTAAATCTAGTTAGTGCATTGGAGAAATAATTATTTGACGTTTGAATCAGATTTCATAACAATTGGGAAATAATGTGTTGGCAAAATGGACAAATAAAAGTTGTATTATTTTCAATTTTGTATTTGTGTTGTAATTTAGTTAAACATAAATGTGGAAACCTGACATTTTCATAAAATACTAATATTGGCTAAATAGAGACGTGATCAAATTTGCACGGCCTTTATTTGTTTATTTAGGTTTGTTAATAATTGTATGTACCTAGATAAAATTGTTTGTATTGAATAGAAATTCTTTCAAATTTAACACGAAGTTTATTATTAAAATGCACTAATTGGTCATAAAAAAAAGTTGACCGTAATGTAGTAGTTTTTTAAACTCGTTTACGGCCTTTTAAACCATATTCAACCGAACTTCCCTCAGAATCGTATTTCGTCGTAAGAATTTATCGTTGTATACAGTTATAAACTAAATAACAATGTGTTATACTTTCCCCACCTCCCACATAACATAATAGCATACCCAAAAACTGTATTAGTTCTTTTTTTGCCCTCGTTAAGGTTGGCTTCGCTCAACGCTTTAATAACACAACGAGTTCGTGGACCTTTGAAAAAGCAAAATAGAAAAACGAATACAAACTTTTTTCTTTTCGTTTCTATATTCCAGTGCAAATAAAACATTCGCAAGTCAATACAACTATTGTCTATAATTTTGGATGACAGAGAAAAAAAAGACCCCGCGGCAAACTTTTAGAAATAAAAATATAAACTCGACAATGTGGTATATATTTTATGTTCATAAAAAATAAAATTGAAAAATGAAAAGGTGAACAAATTACTTATGACAATCATTTGTTAGCAAACTTTGTCCACAATCGTGTATACACGTGCGTGACATCTGAAATAAACTCGTCTGAATAATTCGACTGCGACATTATGCGACCGTGACGTACCTATCCACTTCCGTGGCAAACGCGTTTCGCAAGCGCATAATCTGCTCTTACCGGACCGGATAATTCGGGATAGAATATATAAATTACAAATTTCGGTCCGGACAATTGTCCCCTCCCGGTGGTGGCGCATGCGGAAAAACGATATAACAAAATTATAAATTGTCGGCCGCGTTTCGGACATTTTGATGAACTCGGGCCCGTCGTCGTTGCTGACACGTGGAGCGAATGAAAATAGTAGTGCACCAATTTTCGGCTTCCGGTGTTCGAGGAAATGTTGTGATATATATATATATATATATACATAATACATTTACAGGGTCTTCTACTCGGGGTCATCATCTCAGTGATAATATGATTCTCTCGCATACCCTATCATCCAATTCTCTCCGTCGGCTAATTTTACTTTTCACTAGGTGACATATTATAATAACTTGGAATTAAATGATTCTAGAAAGTTCTCGCTTATAGTGTAAATATTTTAAAATATTAGTTTACATACACATGCGATACATACATACATACATAAATACACACGTACACAGAATGGTTCTTTAATCGCGATGAACCAGGAATTGTAAATTAAGAAGTAATTTTTCGAGTGAATTTGATTACGATTTTATTTTTTTGACATAGTAGAACCATTTAATTATCTTAAGTATCAGGTAAACATTTTTCAATACATTTTTTCGATCCTAAGAATTTAGTTATAGGTATACAATATTGTCACGATATTAACACCATAATATCCAAAATAGTAAATCACGTTCGAAAAATTAATTGTTTTCTAAACATTAGGTATTGTATGTATATGTAAAACAATAATATCGGATATTATAATACTGTCGTTTATGACTTATTAATTATAGGTAACAGTTACAAATTAAATCTTTATGAATAGAATCATTAGGTTGTATAACTGGAAAAAATTACCAATATCAAATTTATTCGTAAGATTCAAATATAATCGCTGCGACTCCGTGAAAAAATTAACGTAATCGGTGATTTTATACGTTATGTACAATATTTAAAGGAGGATTCACACTATAATTTTGAACGGTTTGAGTTTTAGCATCCTAATAGCTAATACCAGTGATATCAAACGTAAGCCATCAATAATAATCGCTCTGGAAATAAATAAAATAATAATAATAATATCAGGGAATGTAATAACTCAATATTATAAACGATGCAAATATTTGTGTTCTACAAAATAACCAACGATTATCGTGTATAAAATATTTCGGTGTTTGATTACCATAGAATATTTTGTTGTGAATATATTTTAATAAAATATAATACGTGTATGGTTCTTGTCTCCGATTGGTTAAAATTAAAAGCTCTAATAATAATACCGAGGATCTAAATCTTAAGCCAATATTATATCGACCCAACGAGATAATAATATAGCAAGTTGCCGGTTTGTCACATCTGGTGATAAATTGTTATAAAGTCTAGTTTTTTCCCTCTTATTTTCATCAATCAAAACGTAATTGATGTGACCAAGAAATGTAATTTTAATGATTAACAATTTAATTAAATAGGTTACTATGCACTTCTCTTTTCCCGCCTATGAATATTACGAATTTCTTATATCGTTAAAATACTATAATATATAATAATTTTTTTGTCAAGTATATATTTTATGGAAAGGTGTTCACTTGAATCATTCATTTTTTTCGTTATCGTTTTTTACGCGAAATGAATATGGTAGAACATAAAACAGAAGAATAATTATGAAAATAAACGCGCACAATTGTATCTAATCAATGACACGGGTTTTATTATATTGACGTACACAAAATGTATGGTTTCTTTTAATTTAAAATAAGCCACTTTTCAATCTTGAGTAAATACATACCATCTGTTTTAAGCACATTTAATATCGATAGGTTGTGGCAGTCTTTAATTTCCATTGAATAAATACAAGTTCTAAAAGTACGCTGAAGGATAATTTATTTGGTTTTATGACGTGAACGTGTGTTAGAACAAATTTCATTATAACGCAATTAAAATTAAAGACGTTGGGGACTATTTAAAAATGTATATAAAATCCAATTTGAATATTCCAGATTGTTTCAGAAATTTTCAAAAATATATTATTTTTTTCCAAAAGTTTCGTTAAAATTGCCTGTGCGCAAGCCCTTTGAATATTGGTCGTGTAATCTCTCAACCAGATTTCGTTTAATTACACACTCATTTTATTTTCGGTAAAATATTAAATTTTTATTCTAAATTATAGTAACCTATATACGTATACAATATGCAAACAAACCAATTTAATGATAATATATTCAATGTCAAAATAATGGATATATTTTCTAGACAAAAAAGAATTACTAATAATAAAATGTGTCCATTATCGATGTGTATGTTTAAAAAAATAAAAATAATAAAACCTTTACATAAAAAAAATTATAAAACGATACATTATAACAAAAACAAATAACAATATTTATCTTTCGGTTTTTTTTTTTGTGATACATGATTTTGAAAATAAACTACCATATTATATATTATAGCCTTGTTAAAAAGAAAAAAAAAATCAGTAATCGATATTTGTTTTTAAGAGAGGATTATTTCCATAATGCATGCACATAAAATAAAGCAAAAAAAAACCAACTATCGCTATTATTTATTGGTTTATTGTGTAAAAAATGTAACCAGGATTTATTGTGAATGTATTTTTGTCGACGATTGAAATATACGCCATTGCTAACGATAACTGACTTTCAAAATACGCGATAATTTCTAATAAATTGTCTGTAAACTTTATTTGAATAATTTTTCCAATATTGGTTCTGAAAAAATAAAAACCAACAACAAAATTACGGTACTTTGATTTTTTTTTTTGTCTGGCTACAATAAGGAGGAGAAACATATTTAACCTTACCAGTTCACCAATTTCCGTTGAAATCACCGAGATCGATTTTCAATATTGCAATGATTGATTGTTGTTTTTAGAATATAAACAAAATTACTTTGTATCCTACGATTCCTAAGACACCTTTCAAATGTACCACCTATAACAGTTGCCTACCCACGGTGCGATGTAAGTGCGATATTTTCAATACGATATTATAATAGGGTTTCGAATATTTTCGAAAACCGAGTGACAAACATAAATCGCGTTTATTTAGTATTCACATAGAATCGTGTCAATTATAATATGTTAATATAGTAATTAAGACGGTCACTTTTCCATTAAAAAATCCATCATTGTAGCATGCCCTGTTTCCGTATTTTTAACGAGTATAATATGGTTAATATGTATTCACGAAAAACCAACAGAAAATGATTGAAAATCAATTTTAAAAATAACACACTTACAGAACAAAATGTGTAGATGATAACAAATTGAAAACAATCTCATCGGCGTTTTTTTTTTTTTTTGAATATCACGAAATATTTTTTAAAAAGATAATTGTTTAAAAAAAGAAAAATTGTATAACGTTAAGTACGATTTGTTGTACTACTTTCGATAAAGAGTGAAATATAACTATTTATAGGATTATAAAACACAATTTTTATAAATTAGGTTTCTTCGAAATGATATCATCGTCTACACTATTTTATAACAGGTGTTTTACCTTTAAAACTGATATTAAAGGCCTTTCGTTTGTTTTACGTGAACACATGTTATTTGATATCACAATATATTGACCATTAGAAATACGGAAAAACCCATAAATTATTATGCTATTGTCAACGATCCTTCAAAAAATCACTTTTTTTTACAGTATAAATATTGTCGATCGATAAATGCCGTAAATGTTATAAGTAGGTACTCACTAATATGTTTAAAAAGAAAAACCGCCGAAAAACGTTGTTATAAATATTTCAAAAAAATAATTTTCACGTTGATATAGCGGTGTAAAATGTTTACAAAATAATCATAAATAATTTAAATATACGAGTCTAAAGATACGACGACGACGGTAAATTTATGCTAATCTTTAACGCAGCGACTCTGTGTGTCTATATATAATAAATAATGAACGTTCCCGAGCAGAGAGTATCGGTGTTTTTTTTTTAGTAGGTACAGATTTTATACCGGCGAGCACACCCTATAAATTATAAAAGCTTCGTCCGCGATAAAGCCTATTTTAATAATTTTACCTCCCTACTCTGACGACTATAATATAAAATTGTAAATAAAATATCTGGTTTCCGCGGTCGTGAGCAGTACGCGAGTGAAGACCTATCAATTCGCCATGTGCTGCACAATAATTGTCCTTATTTCTGATAAATACTAATTCGTCGCCATGGTGTTGAGTTTTTGGTTTAGAAAATATCAAAATTATGGTTCAGGTCGTTGGTAGTATTTTTTCTGTCGTGACTATTGTGCACTATACACCGTATTAATGCTAATGATTATTTGTAATTTATCTCACATACTCTTCGACTGTCCCTCTTCATCTACTTAATGCCTTGTTATTTTTAATTCTCTAAAACTCTCTAAATACTTTTCTAGTTCTAAGTCTGTGTTTGTTATTGCGCTTATCACTTCTTTTGTCCTTTAGGCTGGCTCCACATTTGATGTCTTACCTATGTATTTTATATTCTAAATTGTATTGTGATATATTAATTTCTGAGTAGAGTGAGGAATGTATTGGTTTTACAATTATTATTATTAATATTCGAGATAATGAGGAAAACTTGGTTCTTTAGATTAAAATAAATTAAAAATTAGGTTGTCATTTATTTATTTTTTGTTACTATTCAGTTTTTATTATTTTAATCTATTTTTATACAATCATTGTTGTCATGGAAACGCATATTTTTGTAATAATTTTACCATAATATATTAATATATATATATATATTGTTAATAAACGAAATATTGAATGTGTTAAAAAACAAATAAAAAAAAACCGTAAATATGTGTTATTAAAAAACAATTAATACTTCTGAATTTAATTTTAATATTTTCTGTATTAAGTAAAAAAAAAAACAACGGATGTACTTACATAAACGACCCGAAAAATTAGCTCGGCTTTACTCACGTGTTTATTATTAAATTAAAATTGTCCATACGAATCACAATCGTATTGAGTATGTTATAAGTATTTCTAATTTTTAGTCCATAGAGCAAAATAATAATAATAATAATAAAAATAAATGACAAATTGTGTATTTTTTTTTCACAAAATAAACGCGATATTATTAGTTTTTTTCTTTGATATTATTGTATCCGAGATTACGAGTGTGAAATATGCGCGTCGAAATATTTCAACAAAATATAGCCAGGTATAAATATAATATTAATATGATTGTAATATCGTTTTAATATTAATACGAAAGTTACATTCAGTTTATGATCGCACTGAAAACAAAGTGGTATGTACCCGAGTCGTTTTTTTAAGCAAGAGGGGAGTTGACTTAAATTCTAAAACATATTTCTCGATTTCACGACAAAACTTTTTTAAATTTTTCGTCATTTTTATATTTTATGTAGAGAATTTGTATTATCGTTATTGTAATGTAATATTATTCAGTTTTAAATGTTTTAATGCATTCTAACCGTTTGTAATGTAAAATTTGATAGGTAATACATTATAATTTTTTGTTATCTCAAAAAATGTTATTAACATAATATTTTCTTATTATTATTATTTAAAAAGTGAAATTATTATTTAGTTTTCTCCAATTTAGATTCTGAGTGGAACGAGGATTGGTTTTACAATGATTTTTTCGTTACCGAAAAAAGTTGATACTAGTTATTCGAAAAAATGTTTGAAATTCGGCGAGGGTAAATTCACACTATATGCTTGATGTATATGAACTATCGATGTTTGTCTTGTATGTTTATGTTATTTAAACCCCTATTTAACGAAGTATTTTTAAGAGTAGGTAATTTTAATTGCATTCCTAAAACCATGCAAATTTAACAGCACAATTAAATGACTTTGGAATTTGTGTTCATTATAGAAGTCAAAGTCAACCTGCTTATATGCATCTAGGATAATAATATAATGGAGTATCGATATTTAATTTATTCGAACGAGACGAGTAGATATTCGAGATTGCGTTTTGGATTTTCTAATTATTTGAAAACAGCCGTAACTTCTTTCGCAAATTAATATTGAACCAAACGTATTATGTTATGTCATTCGGTGAATGAAATTGTGTTCTTCATTTTCATTATAGGCCTTTTTATGCTTAAAAATGATATAATATTTGATAAAAAAGATTTTTCGATGCACGGATTTTATAATCAAAAACGATCACATCACTGGCGTTCTCTTAAGAGTATGGTTAAGTAACATTAATTCCTCTGCCGTCGTCACACGCAGTTCGCGAGTGATTTTTCAATATTTTATAAAAAAAAAAAAAAACGTCACTATAATATAGAGAAATGCAGTACGTGCATCACATTTCGCGGACACGGGCATATACTTAACATGGTGTTCGATCGATCGGACACGCCGTCGAGGGCCCGGCGTTGTCGCCGACGACGACTGCGAGTGGCGAAGAGTACGACGACAACGCGGGGAGGACGCGTCTGGCTCGTATACCCGCTCGCGACATCGATCCGCCAGCATCCGCTAATTAATCTCTAAAGTTTATAAGGAAATCGGGTCGTGTTTTTGTATACACGCTCCACGTGATCTGGCTTCCCGTGAAACCATCTAATTATTTGTGGTAACTATTTGTTACATTTTTACGTAAAGACTTGAGTAAAATACTTTTTGAACATATTCAAAATATGCACGTGATACAAAAATATAGTTAATAAAATAATAAAGTAAAAACAAAATTATTAAAATGGTTTATACTCGTAAATAAATGTATACACAAAAATAAAATAAATAAATGAACGAATTCGTCGCCTGGAATGATATGATTAGTGTATTATACGGCCTGTTTCGAATTAAAAATGTCCAAGCAACACATTAATTGATTTTTTTATTTTATTTATATGTATACACATTTTTTTTATTTATATATTTATTTACTATAAAAATAAAGTGTTTTTAGAAGTACATGTTAATAAACAAATGGAAGTTTAAGTTCGAATGACTTGAAAAAAACTATTGATATTGTATAATGGTATAGGTTACACATAATACATATTTTATGTATTTGAGAATTTCAAAAAATATTTTAAATTAAGAGTACCAACGGATGGAAATTACGCATATTTTAAAATAATGTATCGACGAATCGGAACAATTTTACTAACCGAACAAGTGTTTTCCGAGAAAATAAAGCACACTTCCTAAAGTGATTCGTTAATTAGTGCAAATCGAGACTGAGAGAGGGAATTTTCTTTTAAAAAGAATAAAATACTTTTTAAAACTATTCGGAATACATTACATTAAAATAATTTATTCGAAATACTACCCATGTAAGAGAGTAGATCCTGTATAACGTTCTCGGAAACCATTCAATTATGTAAATAACGAATTGTACAGTAATATTCGTTCTGATTATAATAATAATAATAATAACTTAACCTATTATGACGACCATTAATTGATTTTGCCGCTCGTTGTATACCACGATAGATCGTGCATGACTGGACAGTCCGATCCAAACCCAGTCTTAACCCACAAATTATAGAATTATTTTACAGCTGGGTTGAAGAAATAAAAAGTAGGGTTGGATTTCAATATAGATTAAAACGTTTTTTTTTTACGGAAGGAGATGAATGTTTTTTACAGTATTTTATCCTCCAATGAAGCTAGGGGTAAAATTTTGAATACATAGGTATCGCATTGTCAGCTAGGAATTTCAAAGCTAGGAATTCAAAGCTAGCTTTGATCGGGGATTAAATTGGTTGTCCCTGTGTGCCTAAATTAATTTTGCGTTTTGCAAGTAATACATTTTCAATATATACACTACACAAATTAAGGAACGACAACAATCGTGGCTGATGGAAAACAATCGGCTGTAGTTACGGAGATCTGACAATTTTTACAATCATTTTTATCTTGGGATTAACATATACAGGTGTATAATGTTTATGTATAGGTTCCTCATGATGGACCAATCTTTGAATGATATCCTTCATAGTGGTTCTTCCATTTTCGGTCAGTCAGGTAAATATAATTCCAGTTATACACAAATTTGTTGCATAGTCAGGTATATTAAAGCCGGAATAAACCTTTTTTTTTTTAAAACTTTATGGGATAAAAGTCAAGGAGTTGAAAAATATATACTTTTGATCCAATTGAAATCGATTCCAACTTGTTCTTTAATTCAGATTTTTAATTTTCTACCAATTTATTAGTAGTTCACTATTTATTTTATTTAACTTTATTCAAATTAAAATTAGTAAATGATTAAAACGTTTGACCCGATTATACCGCTAACCGCGTTACCAAATTTCGAAAAATTGCGAAACTATGTATATACTTTATTGTAACGTGTCGTGAGTATACACTGCAGAATAATAACAATAATTCTTAATAATAAAATACACGCGTAATTTTCGAACGTAAAACTCTCAAAACTTCGATAAAAACTCTTGTTAAACAAAAAAACCACGTTATACCGTCGAAACGGCTGACCGACATAATGAGCTAAAATCCGTAGGCTTTTGCCTGTGTTCTCCGATATTCATACAATGCCGACATCAAGTCGGAAAATCGATTTTCCCCACCGAAATGCCGACAACGTCCAATAATAATACGGATATATACGATCTGATGAGAGAAATATTTTCAAATCGAATATGAATAGGCAAACTATCAGTTTTAATACTCAAAACGTAGTTTTGAGTATGTATTACATCAAGACAATGTTTTTGTAAACATTTTCCTGACACTCAAAAGTACAGCGTGTTTCACTTAGTGAAAAACACCCTTTTATTTATTGCGTACGTTTTATTCCTCGAGTTTGTTTCCTCTCAATTATACACTACCGCTATATAAACGAATTGCGGGCCTTACAGTAATTATTGTGAAGGACTCTTAAAGTTCTTTAACATAACTTTTTTTCTTTTTCAAAAGTAAAAGCAACGACGACGTGACGTGGCCATTTTTTCGCCGTGTGTAATACACTATACAACACACAAAAACGGTCGACGATAATAATCTTTTGTCAGCGCGACCACGTGGCTACCCACACTTGGCAAGAAATCCCCTCGAGAAATATAACGTTTGACTCTTGTTTTCGTCACGTTTTAAAATTATTATTATTTATAAAAGTAAATGGAAGTTTTAATGTATATCAGTCTGTATGCAATCCACACATTTAGATCCCTGAAAATACATGTTAACATGTGTACTTCGAAACAATTTTTTTTTTAAATTTGCCCCAAAAAATTGGCTCAAAACCGCATTTTTTTATTGAAAATTGAACTAGCTTTAGTGACACGGATAAAATTATGAAGGAGACATGTGCAATTGTATTTCTTTAATTTATTTTGATTGTTGAAAGAATTTTAAAAATTTTGTTTTTGAATTGAAAACTCAAATGGTAAGAAAATGGGGGATTTAATTGGTAAAGACAATTTCGGGTGGGTAAAATACTTAAATAATTATTATTAAAGCTAAGAATTTAAAATGTTTTTATAGTGTATTTTATTTACAGCAATCACTTGTACTCGTTTTAAACGTGCATGCAAATTTGTTTCGATATCGTGGTTATTATAATTTTATGTTTTAACGTTTGAGCGATTATGAAAATAATCAAATTTTTTTTTTTTTTACAACCGTGCTTATGTTTATTCATGATCTCATAGATAAATTTAATTTTTGATTATAATAGTCCACTGTTCTTAAATTAATACAAATATAAGCCAATCATATTATTATAAACGATTCCAGAAATACTTGACACCGCACACCACAGGAATAAGGATTGTAAATAGCGTATTATACAGGGTATAAGGTAGTTGAGTAATTTAATATATAAATTGCATGCAACGATAAATGATTGCAATACAATTTTAAAACGATTCTGATCAAAAATTTAGTTAACTGGTAAGAATTAATATTAGTCCTGTTTTTTCTTTCTCTTAGCTATAGTTAACGATGCAGAAACGAACATTAATAAAATCATAATGAACAATTCTCTTTTATCAAGGTAAACTTGAGAAGGTAAGATACATAATGTGACTTAATTTATATCTGTACACAATGATACACCATTATTGGAATGCTATGTTTTAAAATGTGGTTTTTACGATTTTTATTAAAATTTTAACCTTCATCTTCTTCTTATGTATGAGAACCATCCCGTCAAACAACCAATCCTCCAAGTGTCTCTGACAGCTGTTTTTGTTTTTCAATCTAGGCCTCCATTTAACGGCGCTACATATATCTTTACCACATCTTCCCATATTAAACAGAGTCGTCTAGGATGTCTTTTCCATTCTGGATTCTCTGCCAACACCATGTCTAATAGCGGGTTCTAACTACATCAGGCGTTATCAGATCACTGTAATCTCTTACTTCAGATTATATTTAATATGTTTGTATTATAGAAGAGTTCCTCTAATAATCCTTTGTTTTTCTTATTCTCTATTTAGCAGTTTCCTCATTTTTTTCTGGACCAAAGATCTTTCTTACGATTTTTCTCTCCAGAACAAATTTGAAAAAATATTACTATATCGTGTTTTTTTTTTCAACATTGACTTATGAACCTTATGTTAAATTGCCAAAAATTTCTGATTGGCCAAAATTTTTTATCCACATAAAATTAAATTAAATTAAATAATTCAACATTTAAAAAGTCCATACATAACTTATACAACATCAGAATATCTAGAAAAGGCTAATATAATCATTCTGTAAAAAAATCGTACCTATGGTAAAACCAAAATATGCCTCGCAGCGTTCGAAATTTAATAAACACTAGGTGGTGTTTACAGTTACAAGGAAGTATAATATAGTAAAAAATATCAATATTTTTCTAAGATACGACGTGAACAATTTAGATCAGTTTTCATTACCAGAATAGTATTTTCTGGGGAGGAGTGATGGAATAAATCTCAGTAGATATTAATTTATGACATCATATACCTATGTGATATTGATTGTTTTGTAAATTTCCTCTTCGCATAATATTTGCATATATTATTTGGTTCCTATGAGTATATGACGATTATTATCGAAATCTTCTTCGAACAATAATTGTTATAATACGCATATATATTAATTAATATGCCCACACGTATAAAACCAAAAGGTAAAATTTAATCAAACTATTCCCGAATAATTTATTATCTTTTTTAATTTAAAAAGTTTTTGTAGTTAAATACTTAGTTATAATATTAACGTTGTTATCGTATTACCTAGTCATGATTTTAATTATGACCTATTTAAAAATAAATATATTTAATATTGTACAGGCGTGTTTATGGCAATGAGGGACAAGGTAGACAGCTGCTCCCGGTCCTCAGTAAGATTATATACTAAGTATTTTTACAAATTTCAAAAAATGTAAATCATAATTTTATTTTATTTATTTAGACTAATGTAATTTAATAGATATTATTGGTTCAATAGGGAAATAACTTACTTGGGAATAATCTGGTTCAGCTACGAAAGTCTGAACATGCCTATGGTATATTGTACTACTTGGTACTGGTGTTTGATGCGAAATGTCAACGACACATTGGGTAACGGTACAGTATTCGGTTAGAATACAGAAATTATAATAATAAATATTGTTTAGGTTGCACTTAGAAGAAGGGTAGAAGTTATTGACATTGTAAACAAACATATGGATATAAATGGGTAAAAATAGGAGGGTTGGTGAGTCGGTAAAGCGACTCCGCGTGGACGACGTGGTGTAGGACATTATTTGGGCTTTTATTAAAGTTTATTTTGTACTATTTTTGAAGTTTAAATTTTAGTTTACGTTGATCTTCAAGTGTTGTAAATTTTCCCTTACTGCGGCATATATAACAATACCTACTGCAAAATTAGTGATTTATGAATTCACTCGATATTTTTCCATATGCTATATTATTATTATGCACGGCGTTCTCGAGTTGTATACAAATTCTGTATAATATTATGAAAAATATAATAATAAATTCAGTTTTTAGTACCATTTTAAAATTATGATTGTGAGGTTTAGGCAATATAATAATCTACAGTCGTCTAGCTATATGAAGAGGTCAATCTAAACCGATATTTCGCGTTATTATTAACACGGACATAAATACAAATAAACTTTTTTTAGAAAATGTAGATAAATTAACATAAACCCCGAGATACACTGTAAACTATACATTCACACTTGTGTACATTTTATAATATTGATAATGTTTAGCTGGCGAATTTTCCGAGGTCGGTTCCTGATAACATAAACGCTATTTTACAATCTTATTGCGGAAAATTCGTGGTGTCGTCGTCGTGGTCATTTCAAGATATATATATATATATATTTTTTTTTTTGCTTTAACAATTGCCGGTGTCTAAAACGTAATAAAAACCTCGAGGCAGCGAACCGCAAACGGCGGTGACAGTGAAAAAGTAAATACAACGATATGAAAAAAAATTTAAAAAATGTTTATATAGAGTTCCTCGGCAAGTTGCGGTAACGGGCGAACGTTTAAGTATATTCTAATGTATTCTTTACCATATATTTATTATAAAAAAAGTATTAAAACGAACAATCGTGCCGAAATGCGCCTTTTGAACGGAAGTGTCTGTGAATATTTTTCGTAATCGTTCACCAACAATTCCGGGAGATGCAGAATTCACCCGTTTATATAAAAGATGAAAATAATATTTACATTGCTAGAAACGAGACGACACGCAGTGTTTGGACGCGGATTTCCATCGCTCTCACACGGCACTCCAAATCGGTAGGTATGATAATAATATTAGTGAGATTAATTTTCTTTGTACAACACCTCTGAAGACGACTACGAGGACACGAATAAAAACGATGTGGGTGAAAAAACGAAATAATATTATTATAATGTATCCGTGTATTGTGTTTACACGGTTCTATATAACATTATATCGTGAGTGTTATTTCAACGGGTAGTGTATACGTGGGATAGGTACTTACCCTTTATGTACCGTCTAATAAAGTATACGCATTTAATTGATGGGTCGCTATAACTGCGATGCAAATTGTATAAAATACATTTTTTTTAGATTCTAATTGGAACGAGGAATGCATTGGTTTTACAATTAATTTTTTTTATTTCTTTTATCTGTGAATAACTTTTCTATCAAAAATCTTGCTCTAACTTTCATGTATAGTACTTTTTCTAAGAGGATATTTTCCTCGGATAGTATTTAAACTTTTAGGTGGTCATTTTTTTAGTTTACCCTTGAGTTTTAATAATAAATTGGGAAAAACAGTGAAAATTTACGAAATTTTCAAATCGTAAATATTACGGCTTTCCAAGCATGTATTACCAAACAACATGCAGAATCGTTTTTTTATTAGCAATAATTAATTGTTTCATGAAGATATACATTAAATTTCCTTCCCAACTTTTAAATCTACATCAATGGCCTACCCTCCATGTGAAGTATCTCCATTTGTTTTTGATATTAAAACATGTACTATTTTAAAACCTCTTATAATAGTATACTCTGCATTACTTAATGAACAATAACGACGTTGGATAAACACTGTGCAAATCACAATATAAACACACGTGCCGAATGAATAGCTAAACTTGGGAACGTCAAACAAAATGTATCTATTAAACTGTCATGCCGTTTGTATTCGCACGGTCAAATATGTTCCATGTGTATGTTAAACTTCAAATATTTTAAGACATTAAGACATATTTAACAGATTTCTTAAATAGGTACTTATGTTACTAATCGCTGGATTGATAACAAATTTTCAGCATTTAAATATGTATAAATCACAATAGCACAGGGCGATACCTTGAAAATTCAAATAGGAAATAAATATTGTTATGGACATGTTTTGAAGATTTGAAGATATTAAGTTGACGAATATCTATTGTAAAGCAAAACGGCGACAGCGAAATGGGTTCTACGACGAAACGATAACAACGACTTGTTAGAGTTCCGATAATTCAAAGGCTATTTTAACTTTAATAGACAAATTAAATTAATTTATGGTAAGTGAACTGACAGTTATAATGAAAATTGAAAAACTGGCTCTTAGAGGATGAATAAACCCAAACAATGATAGTAATTTAATATAATATAATATAAAATATATCAATCTACTTATATATATATATACAACTAATTACAATTTATGCCACATAAACAGCTCTGAAATTTACAAATCTCCACCGAGTTTTAAATTACATGAATATTTTAAACATTATTAGTTTTGATATACTGAAAATATTTTCGAAACAAATTATTGAAATTTGATAAATGTCAAATAGCTGGCATTTATATATGGACGGCATTTGTAAGAAAATGGTCAAGTCAAAAATGACAACTTTTTAGGAGATAATAAAAACGTATTTAATTAATGGAGTTTCAATGTTTTATGGTTTTATGGTTAAATTATGTTTAAAAATATGTTACTATCATTTTGAAAATTGTTTAATAAAAATATAAAAAAGTGCAAATTCTTTCAAGTAAAATCTCATTTTAATTTTTCTGTAATTATTTGTTTTACAATACGTATATTTCAAATATAATATAGTAAATTCATAACAATTTTCAATATACTGTACACATGTACTGTCCCATAGATGATTTACATCATTGCGCTGTATTGAGAATTGTAGCTATTAATGTGCTTGGTATAGTGTGAGTCAGTCTATGAGTAAATTATGGTCTATGGTTTACATACATAGCTTTAACATGATAACGAGTAATTTGGTGAAAACTACAGTGTTATTATTAGACACGACATCAAATTTCCTACAAAATTGATGTATAATCCGAAACTAATAAGATCTGACTTGATCATCTTCTCACATGAAATGACATATATCTAATATACCTATGGTATATACTATTTTAAATTTCATAGGATATTTTAGTATGGCAGTAAATATGGCAACATACCAAGTTCTTATAGTCGCCGCTAAATATTTAGTAGAAGGCGTAATATAGGATTTTATTTCACGATGAAGACAAAAATTAATGGTTTTCTCAATCTCTTCTCCGTTAAAGATAATACCGAAATTATCGGTCTGCCAAAGTTTAGCAAAAACTAATCGGACTAATATCATTTAAAATTAATATAATTTTTAGTTGCCAAATTTTTCAGAACCAATAAAATAGTTGATGCCTAAGGTCACAGTCCTCAATATTATATGTTGTGCCAATAACGATAACGTTCGCCCCAATAATCTTTTATTTCTAGTTTACTGTACATATTTTCGGTAGCTAAAATATATTTATTAGATCATGAGCTAAAATAAGTTGGCAAAGAATTTTTGTAAATTATGGTTATTTTTTTCGAAGAGTGAAAATATTTATGAATCGTAATTGAAAATTGTACCAATGTTAAATTCCGAATTTTAGATTACAAATCATAAAAAAATTTGATCATCATCTCGCTTTAATTGTAAGTTATTAAGTACATTTTTACCAATACAGATGATAGGGTAAATTTTCCAAGAAACCTGGAAATAAAAGATCGATGTTTGAGAGTTAAAATAAAGTTGCGAATCCCAACTTTTGGGTAGTAAATAATTACAAATTGTATCTGGTATCTTACTTTGAACTTCCCACTCGATAGTTATGTCATTAATTAAATAATAATTTATTGTTATTTGCGACCCGAAAGTCGGAATTGAAAAATCCTTCTTAATACCCCAAAAACCGTCTTTATTTCCGGATGTCAGGGGAAGGCTTACACCACAGAACAACTCAAATTTTAAACAAGAAAATATATTAAATCGAATAGAATGTCGATATTATTTGTTATTAGTCCGTTTAATTAGTTTAAAAAATGATGATGATTTGACATCTTTTGAACTTACAACATAATCATTTGTAATTTTATGTCCCCTGAGGGATGCCGCATAGAATAAATTTGTTTGTTCCTTATTATTATTTTAATATTTCACCGGGCTTCTGTGAAAACCGAGTTTTACCGACAAATATTTTTAAAATAAGTTGTTACTTTGTCACAGATATATTATAAGTTACATAATATAGTAGGCATATATATATATCATTATATATTAATTTTTATAAATATAAAAATATATTTATTTATTTATATAGAAGATGTCCCACGAAGATATATTCATTGCACTATCTCCGGAGATAGTAAAGATAATTAAATTCTGTTTTATTCGGAGTAAGGACTACAAATATTTATATTGCAATTAATTTTTTATATTTGGAAAACATTTAAAAGAGTAACTTTTTAATTTATTATTATTAAAAAAATTTAAGATGCAATTGTTTAGAGTTTATTCTTCTAAAAATGTACTCTTAATATTTCAACTTTTTATTTTCATTAAATTCGTGATTCATAATAATTTTTTAAAGTTCAAAAAAAAGAAGTGTCCAGTAATTAGCCGTAATAATAACATTCAGTTGATGAATTCGATTACAGCCTGCTGCATAATTATAGGTACTTTTCTCTACATTTTAAAAAAATATTTAAAAATCACGAATTTAATGAAAATAAAAAGTTAAAACGTCAAAATTTTCAGAATAATAAATTCTATAAAATGTCAATCTTCAAATTGTTTTAAAATAATAAAATAAAGTTTTTTTTTTTTTATCTCCGGAGATATTACAATGGGTATATACTTTTCGTGGGACACTGTACATAATATTATTATACTAAACTGATAATCATGGTGATATGTTAATCTTACTGGCAGGCGCGTATCCAGAATTTTATTTCGAGGAGGGGGGGAGGGCTGATCAAAATATATAAACATTGTCTCATGCAGTAAAATAACAAAATTATATTTAATTTATCATAAAATAACATTTATCATAATGTATTAATATACATTAGATAGGTATTAAACTTCTGTACTAAATAATAAGTTGTAAACGCCTGGCTCCGCCCACTCTTGACAAACTTGTTTAAAACCACACTATCTATTTTAAAAATATTTCTTTGAATACTTAATAATGCTAAACCAATGAGACGGTCCTCTGAAGTTGAGTTACATATTTATATATTTTTAAAATTAGCATTGTTGAAAAACTACTCTCAGCAGATGCAGTTGACACGAGAAGTATGGCAAGTATTGTCAGAAGTTGGCAGAGATTAGGATACAATGTTTTATCACATGCAATTAAAGAGTCTGTGGAGGTAGAAGGTATTGATGATGATTCTACTGAGGTCCATTTAGAAATCTATAAGTCGTACTAAGTCTCAACTGAATCTTTAAAACCTGGCAAATCATCCATGAAAAAATCAGCTGCTTCATGCATAAATAAAAACGATTTATGTTTACAAAGAGAAGGTAAAAATATATACTATAAAGAAAAAACAGTTTTTTTTTTAAGGCATAAAACGATCGTTTAAAGATGAAATTAAATCATCTAAGCGAAAGATAAAAATAGTTCTTATATAAGTAACTTTATTCGGTGGAACACTGTGGTACATTTCACCGATTTCTTTCACCAACGCATAACCATGGTTATTTTCATTGTCATTTGGTTATGTTGCAATCGTTTACACGAAATAGTATTTATTGACAAAATTATTTACAGAAAAGCGTGTGACTGTACCTCTCTGCCTCTCGGGGATCGTTATCGACAGACAGGATTATAATTAGTATCTATGATTCCCAGTATTCGTTCTCCTGTGGTAAATTTTATCCATAAGCGATAAGATAAGATAACAACATGAATCAATCGATCGAATTAACAGTCAATAAAATGTAATTTAAGACTATTTCAGCGACTTTCATAGATTATGGAAATAATTTTTAGATTTTCTTAAAATTTCCCGGGGGGATGGGGGTTACAGACCTCACACTCAGCCACGCTCATAAATACAGCCCTACTTGCATATAATATTTGTTTTTCGCATTTTTTTTCGGGCATTAGATTTGTATTGCGTATTTAATATTATGATATCAGACATTAATAAATGGTATGATATAGTACGATGATAATAGAGGAAGTAAGTTACATTTCACTGTTATCATTTATCATCGTAAATCCGACAAATATGGCGAACTAAGACGTTTTCAACTACCTAGTTTCACAAATTAACAATCTAGTATAATTTCTTACATACCTATATTTTATTGTTGTTGACCTATAAGGTAAACTGCGGTAAAAAACGTTAATAAAGAGCAAAATTGACATACCTCCAAGTTATTATATTATTTACCGTAAGGTCCACAACAAAATAATGTCAACAAATAACAATAATTTCAATTTTGTGCACAGTATGAAAAAATACGATGTTTCTATAGTAAATTAAGAATACATTTTTATAATTTCACCAATTCGTAATCATCGTAAATACAAATTGGTATTATCAAATTACTTCCGTTTTTATTGGTAATGAAAAATGTACTTTTTTAATGAATTCCTAGTTTTAATACTGCAGGCTACTACGGGCAAATGTAATTAGATTATAATTATTTGTAAATGTACACAGTTTTTTTCTGTATTTTTTTTACATCGCTAAATAAATTAGCAACACAATAGAAGTGAGTGATATAAAAATAGGAATATTTAAAAAAAAAAATATATATCAAATTGTATTGTTGTATTTAACAGTAGGTACGTACATTTTGTTCTACGCTTTGATACGACTATACATTATTTAAATGCATTCATTCAATTTCGTAAACCGTATTTTTAAAAAATCTCTTTAACAATAAATAAATGTATATTAACTCTATAAAAGTCAATAGAATACATTATTTTAATTTCTAAAATAAAAAATATGGTGTGAACTATATAAGTGACTGATAAAAGTATATTTAAAAAATTAATACACTTCAGATTTCAAAAATCCAGATTTCTCCTTATCAAATACTGTTTAGCTATAGTTACACAATATAAAATATAAGCAAGTAGATTTTCTGGGTTAAATAGTGAAATTAATAACAAGCAACTTACAAACGTAAGTTTCTAGTATAGAAATCGCACAAAAAAGATGATAGCCAAAATAATAATTATTATTATCGCTATACAGCAGCCTAGTTTAGTTCACACATGCTTAATACGATTCGCGTATAGATACTACTCCCCTTGAAATAACTACCGAAATAATATTAAACGGCGGATTATTTCAAGAAATTCTGAAAATTTTTAAGGTATTCATAAAGATTATAATTTCAAATTTTAACGAAAATCTTATGACATTTTAAAATAAGTTTAACTGAATTATATTTTGTCAGCAACGACTTATCATTGCACACAAATATAAATTTAACAACTGTATACATATTACTATCTTAACTTCTAGCCACAATTTAAGCACATCAGGTTGTTGTAGTTATGTTTGTGTTAAAACTTTAATTTTAACCTAAACACCACAATTATTTATGTTCTTTATTAACTTTATGTTTAATTAACTTTTTATTGCTAAGATGTCCGACCAAGACAACAAATACGGATACAGCGTCATTAGAATTTAATATTTACAATCGAGATTGTAGAAAAATATTTTATAACATCTATAACAGTCGGGGATATATGTATGATGTCATATTTGTGAAATTTGAAGACCGTTATTTATTTAATGTTTTTTTTTTCGTTTATGACCGGCCTAATTGTAATGTTTTAATTTTTCATTCCGAATTCGCTTGGTACACTGCGGAATATTTTACAAAATTCACTTGTACGGTACACTAAAACAACAAACCGAGTTGGTTTTATAATTATGAAGGTAAATATTATGAAAATAACTACGCGTCATTTAAAAATCGGTTAAAAATAATAGCGGTTTACGAATCGGAAAGGCGGGAGTTGCCAAAGCAGTGCGCGTAAATGTTGGAAAATTTGATGTAGGTAAGTGCCCAATTAAACACAAGCGAGGAAAACACGTCTCGGGGGAAAAACGTCCGATCTTCAACGCAATATCAGTTAATGGTAACTGTATTTACTTTTATTTCCTGTAGTCTTCATATAATATCGACTGTGTACTACGTTGTATAATGCATATCATTACGAATTATATATTCCGAACCGTGCAGGCAACGGTAATTTTATTTCAATTGACACCGCAGTTTACTACAGTATCGCATAATAATAATGTAGTAATACGTGCATAATTATTAAATTATACGCGAATCGTAAATTATTGTTATTTAGCATTCCACCCGATTTATAATATTGGAACTCTGATGAAATTTCCAAAATACAATCCGATAACGATAATTTATACTAACACGAAAATATAATTTTCGTTTCCAAAATGAGCTATGAAAAATAAGTGAACGCTAAAACGATTTCAAAAGCGAAACGATTTACACGTGTATGATTTCGTTATTTGCGACGAATTTCGTCTCAGAATTAGAGATATTATATTTTTAATACGTCATCTAGGTATAGGTGGTTCTTTAATGCGTAGGGTGGTGCTTAATATGGTATCGTAGAAAAGGAATAAATCTATTCAATAGCTTAGCTTACGTAGTTTTATAATATTTTTTACTATTATAAATATACAACGTTTTGGTTAGGAAAAAAAAAATGTATTATTATTTAATTTTGAAAAATATAAAATAAATATTGGCAAATATTTAAAATACCTGATAAAAACCGAACCGTTACATAAAATTCCCCAAAATATTCTATCCACATAAAACCAAATAAAAAAAACTAGAATAATAATTTCAAATGGATAAAATTAGTTTAAAATCAACAGAATGTTTGCCATATCTAAAGAAAGAGTTGATATACATTTTCAACAAAAGTTGAAGGTTTTACGATTTTTAAATTCTGAGCGGAGCAAGAAATGTATAAGTTTTACATTGATGTTTATTTTAATTTATTTAATTTGTACACTGTGTATGAAATTTCTACAAGTGCAATTTCTCGCTCCAATTTTCAAATGTAACACCTTTTTTAAAAATAAATTTTATCTATTTGGTACTCAAATGAGGTCAATTTTTGATTTTCCAAGCAATTTTTATAAGAATTGAGAAAAACCGGAAAAACAATGTTTTTATTATTTTCAATATTTTATTTTTTGTTTGTGATTTAATTAAAAATGTTTATAGAAACTTGAAATTTATACGAAAATCTTATGTTTGCTTTTTCTATACGTGGTTTGAGATTTTTATAGACGTTTTAATTTTGGTTGTTTATACGTCATTTTAATCGGTAGGTACTCTGCTGATATAATTTTTAGACCAAATAGAAATGCTTTAAAATTTAACAGAAGGTTTATATAATTTAAAGTTATACTTAGTATACATCAAAGTTCAATATACTTATTTTTTTTTTTTTATAAGAATTTTAATATCAAGTTTTTACAAAAATTGTAAATATTTTACGGCCTTTTATTACACGTATAACCGAACTCTGCTCAAAATCAGTTTTCGTTGGCAATGATAATCGTTGCATACAAATATAACTTAAATTCCCCTTTATATCCTAATTTCTCAAATTCTTACTTACAACATTAGCTCACCCATCGCTTGAAATATGTTGGTCTTTTTTTTTTATTAAATTACAACAAAAACCCCATATCAAAAATAACAGAACCATAACTTGTTCACTTTATTATTAATAAACAAAGATAATCAAAAAATAACCTTACTTATGCACTTACTAAATGCAAAATGCTACTAAAAAACTCGTTTGTCGTTTTTTGATTAGAGTACAATTTCTAGTAGACAAGTTGTTCTCGGGTGAAACAAATAGAAAATGCACACGCCGTATTATTAAAATAAATACATTCCACGCTACACTAAAATTCTAAAATCAACTCTTATGAAAATCAACATGATCCGTTTATAGTTTTATCAATATTTTATTCCAAATATTGAATTTTATATATTGTGCTCGTTTAATACAGAGGTCTTAGAGATATTTTAGTTTGAGTGACGGTGGAATTTTTTTTCGTCATCTATTTTAAGAGCAAAATTTAAAAAAATAGATTTCTGGTTGAGTTTCGAGTTTTTTCCCTCGTAAAGAGATAAAGTTCTTTATACGTTTTCTATAAGTTTTCTATTTAAAATACATTTTTTTATGTTTACGTTAAGTGTTGTGCAAATTTTGTTTTGAGTTTTTTCATCAAAAGTTCTTGGTTCAATTGTAATATTCACTACAGAACACCATATTTTCTGGTAATTAATAGACTTGTACAAAAAAATTGAATTTAAGAAACTGTCCTTGACTTATCCAAGTTAAGCACAATCATTTTACATTACAATAACAGACATTTTGCAGGAGATAAAAGACAATTTAAAAAAAATGAATTTGGAAAATGTCGATTGAAATAGGTATGTATTATTTGATACAGAATGATTTACATTCAATTTGTATAAGTTAACTAAATACGCATAATCGTTTTTACGGATATTTCCAATTGTAATGAAAGTTAGAACACAAAAAAAATAATTTAAAAAAAATAAAATTAATTTAATTAAACTATAATTGTTTCCCTCAAAAAGTAGCTCAACCTCAATCGTTTCCATATTCTACGAATTTGTTTAGTAAAATCTTTATGTCTTATTATACATACAATTTATAATGTAAGAAAAACCAATGCATCTTAAATGTAAAACTTTACCTCGTTACATGAGCACGAAGAAATTATTTTATAAAACTCGAATAGGGCTCAATATTTGTAATTTTTTTTATTTCAAAAAAATGGTGTGGAGAAGCAAAGATTGAATTCCACCAAATAAGAACCACTCTAATATATATACATAGGTATATAGGTATACCTACAATAAAATCAAACTGTATCCTCCATTGTGATTAGAAAATTAATAGCGAAATATTGATGGGTACGAAGAGAACAAAACATTATCTACCTAGGAATAGCCGTATATCAATTTGTCATAGAATAGTAATGATTGTTAAGCATGACGTATGCGAATGCACGCAACCTGCATAATTGACTAGGTATACAAACAAGCTATTAATAATTGATTGAGTATCGCGTTAAACGTTAGAATTGGTATAGACACTATAAACTAGCATATCTATTCGATGTTACAATAATTATAATAATAATATATTTTATTATAATATCACAAATCTATGATCTATAAACCCACACGAATTATAAAACGAGTTTCACATAAAATATGAATATGATATTAATTTGCGGGTAGTATATTATAATAAATTACGAACAACGTGTAAGACTACGATGGAAGACTAAGTGATTTTTTTTTTTCATCATCCAGCAATATTCTACGAAAATTTCTGGTAAATTTATTTTTAATTTTTATCAGTCATTATAAAGAAAGATAACCATTTTTTGATTTAATAATTGCAATATTTTCTGGATATTACCTTTATTCGATACACCATATTTTAAAATAGCAACCCCTCTTCATTTTAAATCAAACATAATTATTGCGTTTACTAATTTTTACATGTATAGCGCCTAAGTTCGATGATTGTTATTATTTATGATAATTTTTGTAATAGTTTAAAAAGTAAACCTCTGAAATATGATGAGAGAGTTATCATTTAAAAAGTGATATACAATTTTTCGCCCTTTTCTTATTTTCCCGGTCTAAGTTTTAAACTATTATAAATCTTTCTCAGTTACTCAGAGTTATAACTATTTCACTATCACATAGCATATTTATTGTAAGTTTTATGCAGACCAAAATGTTTAAATAAATAATGTTCTATTCTTGGATCTGTGTAGAAAATAGGATTTGTTATTTGATCAATATTTAGTACTCGTTTAATTTGAAAAATAAAAACTATAAAATCTTTAAATTCCCGTCAAAATCTTAACTTCAAACAATTAAAAAGAAAAAATGACTATTTTTCACTTACATTTAAAACAAACAAAAATAAAAAAATTACAATTTATGATAAACCTTAAAAAAAGTTGTTAAACATTTCTAATTGGTTCAAACAATTGTATGCACATAAAACTAAATAAAAACTTAAAAACTTTAAAATATCAAACACCTATAAATAGCTTAAAAATGGCCAGTATTTTTGGAATTTTACTACGTCTAGATTAGGCTCATAAAGAATAGGCCCATAAGTATTCTGTGAAAATGCCCAGCGTTTGCGATTTTGCGATCAAATTGAAATAAAAAAAATAAATTTGAAAATAATTACAAAATTATTATATACATTTTTATAAGAACTTTAGTATCAAATTTTAACGAAAATCGTAAATATTTCGGATTTTTAAAGCATGTATAACCGAATAATCTGAATGATTTTTCATTAACAATTGTTTATCATTGGTTACAGGTATAAATCAAATAACTGTATGTACGTTACCTTCCCAACTACCCACTTACAAGTTACAACAATGACAGCACCTGTCCCCAGTATAAACTCTTTTTTTGTTTTCTAACCATTATTATAATGTTATTTATTTAACTTGAGGGAGAAAAAAAATTTTAGGACCTCGTATATAGTAATATAGATGATCGCTTTCTAACCGCCTGCACCAGACCGTCACTTTTTTAACATACTTTGGACGATGTTATTTGTATGATATGAGAAAAAAAAATCAATCGATTTAAAAAGAAAGCATTTTTTTCACAAAACCTCATATATTATCTCATATATAATATCACGGGCTATCCTTATTTTTTATTTTATAAATATTATTATTTATTTATTATATTCTGTTTTAGACATAAAATAAACATTCGGATCAATATTATTAACCTGCAAATGGCTTGCGTTATACTCCTCGTAAACCGACAAATGCGATTTGCCGTTGCAAATTACAAACGAATGTGATTCATATAATATAATATATATTGGTAGTTGGTACAGGTGGTCCTTATTTTATTTTTTTTTCTCTCTCATAAGTATGTACTTTGTCTCTTTGATCTCTTAAAATATATAATATGAAAAAATATAAAAAACAAAATTTTAAACTTTCTAAACAAAACATCTCGTCTGTTATTATAAATAGTTAAATTTGAAATTTGTATTTATACATTTATATACACTTTGCACTCTATACACAACAACACTGACATCACTAAATAATGTTTACGGTGCACATAACGTTCATTTGTTAATAACCCATCAAGAAAATTTTACTTTTTACTGTCATCATACTATGCATTTGTGTGATTTAATTTGGTTCCGTTGTATTAATTATTATCAGCAATTTATTGTAAAGGGTATTTATATTATTTACAACCGTTATATATTTTTAGCTCGTATTTATACAATTATGAAACTCTTGTTATAGTTTAGATTAGGATAGAATAAGTAAATAATATATTTACATTTATAAACCAGTAATATTTCTATACTGTGCTGTATGTTATTCGAATGATAACACGAGATATTTTAACCAAATAGACTTTGATTGAATATAAATTACCATTTATGGTCAACAAGAAATAGGAATATTTTTCCGATGTAGTACGAATTATTGATAATACATTTTTAATCAATATGCAAGTAAATTGATATTAACATTCCCCACTCCAAACCCCGAACGTATTGTTATGTCTTAGATCAGCGGTTCCTAAACTGTGAAGCGCGCCTCCCAAGGAAGGCGCGAGCTTTTGGCAGGGGTGGCGCGAGCCGCGTGGTAAATATTTATATTTTTAAATCAACAATAATTTTGTTGAAATGTCATAACAATTCCAAAAAAAAATTTCACTATTATGTTAGTATTACTTAAAGTTGCGTTATACTCGTACAATAATATACTTGATTCGGGGATTTCCGTAAATGTCGTTACAGCATTATCGCATTATCGATAACCCAATATTATTGTGTCTACCGAATAGTGTTGAATTGTAATATCAGTTACATAGTAGCAGTAGTAGTCGTGAATGAACGTACGTAAGGTGTATTCGTCATTTTCGAATTGTGCATATTCAACTCGTGTTATAGTATATCTTTTCTGGAAAAATGTCTCAATAATAAGAGTACAACCAAGCGTTTAAATGAAGACAACAATAAAGAAGAAAATAAACGTAAGTTCAGAAAATACGATAATAGTT